CCTTTTCCTTGGCTGCTTTCACTCTTGCGCTAGAACGTGTTGGCTTGGAGTCTATAGTCGATACCGACGCCGATGTCGATGGAAAGTAAGCTTGTTCTGATTCTGGTGGCTGCAAGGGTACACTGGAGCTTGTGGCTTCTTGTTGATGGATTGGTTGATAGTCCATTAGAACATGCCCCCAGCCATCGATTCTGAGGTTCTGCTAGATGTTGGGAAGCTGGTGGTCAATGAGAAAGAAACGATGCGTCAACGCAATGCTAAAGCCGGTGCTCGAATTCGGGTAGATGCCGCCTGGAGAAGGCGTGCGAAAGCGATGGTGGCGTTACCTTGCGGAATGCCCCGATTTCCGAGGGCTTGGGGTTACTACGCAAGAATGCTTATGCATTCAAAAAAAAGAGAGACTGTGTACAGGAGTGATCGACATTTATGCAAAATTTTCTGTTAACACCTCCTCAATGCTCTTGACGAAAATATCCACAATCATCTCTATCTCCTCTGTGGTTGCATTGTATGCCGGGCCGAGCATGAGGTAGTCCCCCTTTGATCCATCGAGTGAGGAGCCACCGACCATGCCCATCGCGACAAGTCCATTCTTAAGACAACATTCCTGTACCACCATCGCAAATTGTTGGCCCTTCATATCAACAGAGCGTGCCTCGAGGGTGGAAAAGTCGAATTCGATCCCAAAGAAAGCCCCAGCCCCGCGCACATCGAATGTATATGGCGCTGCGAGAGCATTTTGGGACTGTAAGCGGTCTTTCAGAAGCGCAAGCATGTGTACACCATTCTTCCTGCACTGTGCAAGGAGATCCTCTTCGATGATGACCTTTTGCACAGCTAAAGATGCTGCACACGCTAGTGGATTTGCCTGTTTAATACATGTTAATGAGCGGCTCAGCGATAGCATCAGATGACTGACCTGATACGTGTGACCGTGCTTGATCAGTCCGGAACTCCCCCTGATCCCTTTCGCAATTTTAGGCGAGATGAGCACAGCACCTATGGCAGCGTAGCTGTGGCCCAATCAGTAACATTAAAAGTGAAGGGGTGTGTAACACTCGCCCACCACCCAAACCCTTGGCTACTGCCTGCAGGTCAGGCGCAACACCATCGCCGAGGCTCTGCCAAGCGTGGAGAGTTCCCATTCCTGGCGAACTCACCATCAATAATTGTCAAGATGAGCATATCGAGATTACTTACGGCCCATACCAGACATTACTTCGTCGAGCATGAAAAGGGCACCATATTTGTCACAGACAGATTTCATGGCTTTGAAGTACCCCTTGGGTGCACTGACAACGCCTGTTGTGGCACCGACGACAGTCTCCGCGACGACTACCGATGGTCAGATTTTGAAAGGGTAAAAATAGAGGAAAATGACATACAACCGATGACAGTCTCGGGACCGAGTTCGATAAACTTGTCCTCGAGTTCTTGTCGGAGTCGGTCGACATACTGTTCCTCGGTCTCATCTGGTTTTTGGAACCTCTTTGCAAATGCCGGGGAGACGTGGTGGAAATTGTGGTCGTCTAGAATGGCGGCATACGGTGCACGACGGGTGGGATGGTATGCGAGGGACAGAGTACTCAATGTATTTCCATGAAAGGACAGTTGACGGGCAATATAATTTGTCCGTTTTGGCTGGCCGACCTCGACGTAATACTGGATTGCTGTTTATGAGTTGTTTACCTGCGGCTGGACAATATAAATATACCTGTCTCGAGAGTTTGATGACAGTCTCCATCGCTTCAGAACCTGGAACGGTAGGGGTCAGCAATGATCAAGGAGAGCTGGATGACAATACCTCCAGATAGGAATGCGACCTGCTCGAAGGCACCATCGCTGGTATCGACGAGTAATTTAGCGAGCTCCTCTGCAGGAGGGCTTGAAAGCTGCATATTGTATACATCTATTCATGATCAGTTGATGGTGGTGATAATTGAAGTTTAGGACAATACAGGACATGACATCGATCTGATCTTTGAGGGTTTTGACTACCTTGGGATGGTTACCGCCGATGCAAGTGACAGCAGCACCACCGATGCCATCGATGAGACGTCGACCATCCTGGAGGTGGATATAGACACCATCGGTGGCGATGGCGATAGGAGGTGTCCATGGAGTTCTATGTAAGATAGATGTTGGTCTTTGTGCCATGCTGGGGATTGATTGGAGGTGTGATGAGGACGAACCTGTGATTATAAGAAGAATCTGTAAATGAAATCGATACGGCTTGCTGCTTGTCTAAAGGAGGATGCGGCCCTCCTTGAACTAATCTAAATTGAAATCACAAGTCAATGGTTAACGTTATTTAACTCTTATATTCGGGAATAAAATCAATGATAGTCAGAGCAAGCGGTGTCCTGCGGCGTCACAACGGGCGAACGAGTTTCATCACCAATTTGGGACAAACATGCTACATGGCTTCCTTGAGCAAGAAACGCAAGGAGCCTTCACAGTCTCGCACAATAATCGATTTCTTCTCAAGCAATCCGTCTAAAAAGCCCCCCAACAAGAAGAGCAAAGCTTCCCTATCACGGGAGATCATCGTTATAGACTCGGACAGTGATGATTGTTCAACAAAAGTTGTTCACACTTCTACGGAAGGGAACCTCCGTTGTGCTAAGCAATCCGAGTCGAAGTCGTCTCTCACACGTGTCACTTCCTCGTCAAACCACGCCCCCCTCACATTTGGAAAGCCATCTGCTTTGTTGCAAAGCCCCGTTCAGAGCAGCACGAATACCGTTGAATGCAAGGAGACCTTACTCCAGTCGTCATCCACCGCCTCTATTTTCGGTGTACCGGCATTGTTACTTCGGTCCTCAGTCGAGCCCGCTCATCATATACCTTTTGAACGAAAGGCATCTGGTGGCACTTCAGACTACCCCTCAGTCGATGTTCCCACTCCCTATAGTGATCCTGGAAACATTGACGTGATAGACATCGATTTCACAGGTGACGATCAGCAATGGGATGTTGGCGACGATGAGCTGGCCACTGTCCTCGAAGCCGACATTCAAATGGAGGACGTCTCAGAACAACTCGATGACTGCGTCAATCCTGCTAGTTGTCCTATCTGCGAACGCGATATATCATGTTTACTTGGCCTGGTTGGTCCCATGACCGCGTTGTAGATAACCTCTCTGATGCACATTTTAGGAGAGGCAACACCATGTCAATCAATGTCTTGACTCCACTGTCAGTTCTTCAAGCACAAGTACCATCTCAACTTTAGACTTGCCACGCGAGCAAAGTACGAGTAAACTTGAACATGTCCCAAACACCGACCTATATTCTGTCCTCATGGCGTCCCATCAGGAAAATGAAGCTTGGAAGGAAGCAGACCTCGCAGAGGACCGTAGCTTTCGACCAACACGGGCGCCAGGCAGCCGCAGAAAGGCACCATTCTACAAAGTCCTGCAGGGGATGCCCATTGCCGTTGATGCGTTCCGCTATGGAACCATACCAGACGTCACCGCCTACTTTTTAACGTGTGTATCCCAAACTGATAATATCGTCACAGCCTCACAATTTTTAGTCATGCTCATTCCGATCATTATACCAACCTTGCTTCAAATTGGAAAAGCGGGCCGATTTATTGCTCAGGTATAGTATATCCCAGCTTTTGGTTGAACATAAATATTGAAAATCTACCAGAGGACACAGCTAATTTAATCATACATATGTTATCAGTTGATCCCAAGTGGGTTCACCCACTCCCGATGGATGTCCCTACAGTTGTCCCCCACACCGGCGGGGTAACTGTCACACTTATTGAAGCTAACCATTGCCCAGGCTCGTGCCTATTTTTATTTGAGGGTCCGCAGACTGTACACGCGGGTGACAGCGCCTTCAAATCGCCATTTGTTGGTTCTGGAAAAACTTTTCGATATTTGCATTGTGGAGACTTTAGAGCTTCGCCTCAGCACGTAACACACCCTGCTGTGAGAGGAAAGCAAATTGACCATGTATATTTGGACACGACCTACCTGGACCCGAAGGTTGGTTAAGATATCTTGACGAGGCGATGACGCTTATCGCGTATCAGTATACATTTCCTCCGCAGCCGTTGGTCATCTCAGCTTGTGCGGAGTTGGCCAAGAGGATCGTTTCTGGGGAGTCGGTTGGTGCTCCGGACACGAATGGCAAGCGGAATTCAACCATGGATGCTTGGGTTATCCCTTCAGAAAAGGCGGACGATACTGTTGCGAAACAGCCCAAAGACAGAATGTTGGTGGTTGTCGGGTAAGTTGGCTATGCTAGATGGCCAGCTTAATTCAAATTGCTGATGCGGTTTTGTGCAGCACATACTCCATTGGTAAAGAACGCATTGTTAAGGGTAAGTATTCTTGCGCGGACAGTATCTTGTTTACTTACCTGTTTATAGCTATCGCGCAAGCTCTCAAGACCAAAATTTATTGCGATGCGCATAAGGCGGCCATCTTACGATGTCAAAATGATCCTGGGTTGCATGCGCTATTGACAAAGGATCCAATTGAAGCTGGCGTGCATGTCGTTCCGTTAAGCATGATTGTTTCAGACAAGCTCAAGGCATATGTGCAACGTTTCAAGGGGACATACTCGCGGGCCGTCGGTTTCAGGCCTACAGGATGGACGTGAGTATTCACTATTCGCTATACACTCATCGACAAATAATACTACTTCAGTTACACACCACCGTCCGGTAGCGATCTTAGCCCACCCATCCCATCCATCATCTCGCGCGGGCAGTCACGATCTTTCTCACACGCAGACCTAAAACCCATGCAAAAGTCGACATACGCTGTGCAAATGTACGGCGTGCCGTATTCAGAGCACAGTTCGTTTTTTGAGCTTACATGCTTTGCAATGTCGTGTGACTGGATGAAGATGATTGCGACTGTGAATGTCGGAAATGAAAGATCCAGGGCGAAGATGGCAAAATGGGTGGAACGCTGGGAAACTGAAAAGAAGCGGAGTAAGGAGGTGATGGTAAACCCTAGAGCTGCTGATTACTGGTGATTTTTCCTCCATTTACACTGCAATGCCATTCGAATGTTTAGTGAACACATGAAGTAGAGAGTGCAGATGAATCATATATTCATAACCACCATGCGAGTATCTGCGTTTTTGCGTCATGATCGGCCATACACATGGGGCATAGAGAGAAAGTAATGCTGCAAAAGAAATCAATAGACCCTCCATGACAACGTCTATTGCTCGGCAGCCCGCTGTCTCCTCCTGAGATCTCTCTCCTCCGAGATGGTGAGCTTCGTACCCTTGCCCTTGGGTAGCGATATCCAGGGCTTTGTGCCCTCACCGATGACGAAGATGTTAGAGATACTAATCACGACCATTAGAAATTATATGTCGGCTCATGAGAGGCACTTACCGGGTGGCGAAGGTTCTGTCCAAGGAATCCTTGACGTGCACGATATCGAAACCACCAATGTGTTTCTCGCGGTGCGTGATCACACCAGCACGACCCATGTTACGTCCACCAGTAATCATCACAATGTTTCCGGTGTCGAAGTGAACGAATTCGGTGATTTTGCCCTGCTCAAGGTCAAACTTGAGAGTGTCGTTAACCTTGATGGCAGGGTCAGGATAGCGGATGGTGCGACCGTCGTGAGTGACGACATGGGGGACACCCTTGGCGCCGAGAGCGACCTTGCGGACTTTGAGGAGCTTGTAGGAGGCTTCCTCGGGGGTGATGCGGTGGATGGTGAAACGACCCTTGACATCGTAAAGGAGACGGAAGTGCTCGCCGGACTTTTCGATGGAAATGGTGTCTAACCAGCGTAAAAATGAGATCAAATGAACAAACCAAGAAAGAACGCTTCTTTACCCATGAAGCCGGTGGGGAAGGTAGTGTCAGTTCGCACTTTGCCATCGACCTTGATCAATCGCTGTTTGACGATCGAGGTGACTTCACGGCCGTTCAGTGCATACTTCAACCTGTTGCGAAGGAAGATGGTGAGGGGGAGCGATTCACGGAGCTTGTGGGGGCCAGGAGAAGGACGGGGAGCCTAGGGGATGATTCTGGTGCTTTAGGACACAGACATCCATATGATCTGGGATGTACGCACGTAGGTACCGCTCAACTTGTCCAACATCCATGAGGAGGGCGCGGCAAGGCGCTTCAAGTGTTTTTTCGGTCCGCGTGCCTACGGATGACAAGGAATAGTCAGCTCTGCGTTTGAGCATATCAAGCGGCGAGAAGAGAAAAGCGAGATTTGCGGGTCAAGGATCCTGGCACATCCATCTATAAATTATCACATCCACCCATTCCAACGTCGATGATCGCGTCAAAACCGAATTTATGGCTGCCATAGGGTCCTAAGAGGTGCTCAGGACGAGAAAACTGACCATGATGAAAGTCTTGAGGAGCGAACGGCGTCAGCGGCGACGATATTGATTTCGGTGCCTTCGTTTGACTGACTCAATACGTCCACTGAGCTTACGAGTTTAGGGTGGGTTAAGATAAATCACGTGATTGAAAAGCGCGAACCACACCAGAGCAAGGTGACCTCCTGCGTGTAAAATGAGTCTCAGAAAGAGGTATGTATCGATTATTATCATTGCCTAGATTCCCTCGTTGATTATCCCCAGCAAACTTGACTTGCTCGTCCGTGTTCGGTATTCGAATCCACTTCCCGCGCCTCCATGTCCGCCAAAACTACTCGATATCCCCACAAATCCCTTACGCTATGCGCAACCGGCTTTCATCAATGCCATCACAAATGACACTGCTCTGCCGATGATTGTTGACGCCGAGTGCGGTATGCCTCTGGATCTTGGACGGTGGGAGTGTCTATGGGAAGAGGATGGTGACGATTCTGGTACGGGATGCTTCAAGGATAGTTGCACAGTAGCTAATGTTCTACAGCACTGAACCCTGACCCGGACAACTTGGTTTCCCTCGACCCAAAAGACCGCTTCCTTCTTGGTGACCCCTCAGCATCTGCCGCACCCTACGCCAATGGTTCAATACCCGCAACATCAGGGGCGTCAACACCTCTCCCTCCACATGTACCCTGGCTCCGAAAAACGGAGTACCTCAGCCGTGAAGGCGTACAGCGCACTCCATCATCACAAGAATCGTACGTCACGCTTATAATTTGGATTATGCCTTGACGTTCCTGATAAACGGTCTACAGGAAACAACTCTTGCAACCCATTGATGTCTCGCACGAGGCCCAGCTCCGTACCATTGAAGCTGGCTTCGCTGCTTGTACGTCCCTTGACCTGAGCTCGCTCTCTCATCCCAATAAGACTGGGGTTACCGCTGTTGAGTCCTACGAGGTGCTCCCAGATGCAGACATATGGGCGAATGCATATGACTTGTTCCGCTTCAGCGAGCGCCCAGGCGAACGACCTGTAGACACAGAGGACCCACGACTGGACTGCGCGATTCTCCGTCCGATGGAAAGCGATGGGGATCATTTCCTGGCATACTACTTAACCAAGGAGGACGCCGATGCCTTGGAATTTAAGGAGGAGCGATTGGCACTAAGGAAGGGCGATGAGAATAAAGCAACAGCATTCCACTTCGTACGCGACTATGAGACCGTCAAAATTGAACAAGAAGTTCCCAATGAATTTTTGCTTGTTCTTGACAATGGGGACACAGGCGAGCGTGGGCCAGGCGCATACTACAAAAATATCGAGCGCAAGATGACGCTTAAGAAGAAGCGGATGAATGTGTGTAACTCTCTCTATACTCTGCGCACTTCGCCCTTTCGTCCAATCACATGGCCGTTCACCATCACTAACAATTGTCCGACAGCAAAGCGACACCTATGCAGACAAGTGGCAGGTTGTGCACATTTCGCACGTGGCCATGAGCACCGAGGAACTCGAGGAGCGCAATGAGGCTCTCTCAGAGGTTGTCGATCCGCTGTACCTGTTTTCGCGAGACGCTGAGGGTGAGGTAGACGCAGATGGTGAAGTGGATGTTGGGGGGACAGAGATGGGCGCAGACGGTGGTGGAGATGGAGACGGGGGCATCATGGCTGAAATATTCTAATTTGTGTGCTCACTGCTGCATAAACTACATTTACTGTTCTACACTTCATTGCTGTTGCGGGGGCAGATTCAGTGTGGTGTTGTTTAATTGTATACTCAGGACCAACTCATTGCTGTGAATGTTAGCGATCCTCTGAATTTCTGAAGCAAATGAACCGCAATTCATTTGTGGCGAGAATGAGAACAAACCATTGGAGCTGGATGAACAATCCATGATGCACGATATAGTAGAGGTTCCTTGATTTTGAAATGGTTCTCCCACGTACGGGGCTCTTAATGCGAATTTCGTATTGAGAATAAGCTGCCTCTCCGACTACGCGCTGTGCCACAGATGGGTGTTTAAAATACCCCTTGTAAAAAGAGCTACACAAGTACATGCAAACAGGCTCTCGGCGAGTCCGCTCAATAATGATAATTAGTCCTTTATAATGCAAGTAGCATAAATACCACGGTGACACTCCCGAGTGCCATCGTTATACCTATCTGCGCCGATGCAGAGCTTCCAGGTTGCCTCGCTGAGGCCATCATCACAGGCGCGGAAGTAGCGGTTGCAATATATGCATTCCAAGCCTCCACTGTGGCGGTGGGGAAGTAATATGTGGATTCAGTAGTTGCGGAGCCATAGTAGATGGCAGCCTGTCCTGTCATAATCTCATTTGCCAGGGAAGAGACCTCGCCACCTATGACAGTCGCAGCTCCCGAGGAAGTGGTGGTGACCAATCCGGTCTGGTTGCTTCCAAAGACGAACTCCCTGATGAGGACGAAACCCTTCGGAGTTTCTACAGTTTGAATTTATGGCACTGCAGATGAAGGACGAGACGTACCGATTCGGGGTTTGTGTTTCCCACGAGGTGGCCTGCGTGGTCAACAAGGACATAAGTCCAATTGCGTTCCTGATGCACGATACCAGCGAATTCGTCGTTATCGTTATACCATGGCGTCGACGGTTTGCGCGTGAAACCTTGAATTCCGCCAAAGGTGGTATTCTATGCATGATGAGTGAGCTGACATCCCTTTGTGAAACAGTTGGCGTTCAACATACTTGGATAGTAACTGAGGAAGTGGTTAACACTTTGATGCGACGGATGGTGGCTACTCACTTTGTGAACCAAGGTGCGGAATGAGGGAGTCGTCGTTTCCGGAGAATATGACAACCGAGATCTTGTGGGCCGTGGCATTCGTGGCCAAGTCCGTGAGGAATGCCATAGGTCTGTGTTACGTGGTCAGTACCGAAGACTCCAAGGCATACAAGGATCCACTGACTCGAGACCTAGAAAGGATCAGTCAGTCAGAAATTATAAGGGAGAGGACGAGCATAAGCTTACTTGTATCACCATTAGCATAGTCTTGAGTAAGGGTCATTAGTCAAAGGAACCCTTCAATACAGTCACTGACTGACCGTTGCCAAATGGGTAGTAGATAGACTCTGCCCAATCCTTGCTCGTTGGCGCATGGATAGCAGCGCGAGTTTGTGGGTTGTTCAAGAAAACTGACCCATCCATAGGTGCCTCAGGGTTCAGCGCATCTGGGATGTTATATACCTACGACTTGCAATGAGCACAGCACAATAGCGAAAGCAAAGATAGCTCACGTCGAACATCCCTCCAGAGTCTCGGCTGAGTGCTGTTCTCTCCGTAAGCGACAGTCAAATGATAAAAGCAACGAACATACACCACGGGAAGGTGAAGTTGATGGCATAATCCAGCATCTCATCGTAAACATCGCACCCGTACCATGCGTCGATGGTGCCATTTGCACGGCCAGCTAGATCACGTTTCCAAGCATCCCGCCCACGCAGGCGCTCACGCTTGGACAGACTAGTGCTCCGCTTTGCTAGATGTGCATTGTACCTCTGTGCCATGTCGGCCAAAAATAGCTTCTTGGAGAATTGACCTTGTCGGGCTCTGTATCGCCCCGATGCAGACATACCAATTGTGTTAGGATTTGCTCCAGGAGTATAAGTCAAGGTAGGGAAGTGTCCGTTTTGAGGATATTCGAGGGTAAGGTTATAGCCGCAAAGCGCTTCTCTGGGGAAAAGATTAACGACACCACAGGAGCAGAATTTTGGGTATAAGTACGAACTGTTCACGAAAGTACTCAAAGACATTGGTGTCGTACCCGACTATCTGCGGGTATGTCTCAAGGACACTAACCTTTTGTACGTGAACACTGTGAAGTAGGTCATCTTGTGAGCAGAAGGCTCACCACCGGGAGGAGTTCAAATGTCTCTCCAGATGCAATGGAGCCATCTCCGATGGCTATCTTAGCCAATGTAACTGGCGGATTCTCCATCTCAAAGTACGCTTTCGTGATGTAAGGCTGTTCCGAATGATGTCAGTTTTACGCTTGCAGCAAGACAACACACTCACTATATACATGCCGGCATAGCTTTCGCCCGTTATATGTAATGGACGTTTAGCCAGGCCAGGGAAGATCTTGACAAGATTCTCCAAGAACCCGAACTGTGCGCTGTCAGTGAAAGTGAGGAGCGAGTAAGATAGATGTACTGACGAAGTCCGCCGCCATTTGATCCTCGTCAAAAACTAAAGGAATAAGTTAACTGGGAGGCAAATCTTGTAGGATCTAAACGTACTGTAACCAGTGGAATCAGCAGTTCCAAAACCAACGCCGCTGATGAGATGGATTCTATTGAAGATTGGACATTCAACAGAAAACGCAATACTTACACTGGCTGGTCTATCCAGACGTAGTCTGCTACTTTGTTCCATGCATACTGGTTTTCAAACAGCGAATAATCGTTTTGTACTTGAATCGGGCCATTCTTTTTGCCAATTGTCAAATTCAGAGTTGACGGTGATCAAAGTCCAAGAGAGAACAGACCTCAAACAATAGGCCAACAAGACTTGATGAGCCGGGTCTGCAGCGGTCTGAGCATTGACACTGAGCAAGAAGATATCGTATCGCCTACCCTCCATTGAGCCAAATACCCCATGGTGCATCAGTGGAATCAGAAGTGAAAGAGCCTTCCTCGCTCTCGAAAGCCCAGAAGAATAAGGTATCATTAGGATGACCATCCCTCTGAACAGGAATGTTCCCTGCCCAATTACGAGCGAGAGGCCATGTAACATTTGGCAAACTCTCTGTCACTTGGAAGTCTAGGAGGTGTGTGGTGAGCTTGCGGATTACACGTGTGATCAAGGGTTGACATACAGGCCTGCCACTCCGGACTGTATTGACCATTCGGCATTCCCGAGTACACTTGAGGCCAGCTGCTTGGGGGAGTGCCAGAGGTCTGTTGGGCGTTTGAAAGTAGAATGAATGAGGCGACAACGGCATAGCAGACAAAGGGGTGGGACCGGGACACCATAGCAAAGAAAACAAACGCAGCAAAAAGCTGATAATTTACGAAGGTGACTGGATGTAAGGGTCAGCCAGGTTCTTTTATACCCAACGACCAGGGGGAGAGACTCGGCTTGCCGAAACATGCATATGGATACAGTTTAAGATCATCTCACACTATTGTGAGCGGGGATGTGCCGGCTTCATTTGCTACTTCGGACAATAAGTAGCTCGACATTATCGGATTCGGTTATTGTTGGCACACATCGATACGTGGTCATAGAGGAGAAGGCCGCCGTGCCACGTTCACGCAGTGCATACGTATGGAAGGCCAGCACTAGAGTGCACCAGACCGGATGCGCGTGTGCAACAGAAGGCTGAAGCGCTGACAGAGTGCCAGTGCACGGGAAGAATATTAATAGAACCACACTACATATATAAAGAACCTTCAAGGAGAGAATTACGGGACCGCCAGCTGCGCCAGGAATGTTAAGGGGGATCAAGGCGGCGGATTCCTGCGAATTCTCTCCTGGATGTTGACATCGTGCGACTGTCGTCGTCCTCTCAATTGTTGATTCTTTGACCCATGAAAATAGTGCGGGGAACACCTTGCACATGCATGTCGACACCTGAAAAATTTCTGATTGCAATTGGCGTACCCGTATATGCAAATAGTAGCACAAACAAAAGTTAACGTTGACTGACGAGTCAGTATTTGTGCTATTAGCTACGGTTTCTAAGTAGACCAAGGAAGACATCTGCCTTCAGTGTTCTCCAGCATCTCTCAACGATGGGATCTGATATTGCCGCGGAAGAAATCGCAAAAGCTGCAAAAGCTGCATTTGAAGAGTCTCAGTTGCTTCCCCCTGCTGTTCGAATAGATGCCCTCGCGAAGATCAAACAGCAGCTGGAGGCTAACAAGGCTGAGATACTCGCAGCAAATAAGCAGGACATGGAGGTGCAACATCGTTTCTCGGCTCAAGATCCATATTAATGATCCTCACACTTTCTGTTTGCATAAGGCGGCACAAGTCGAGGTCGATGCAGGCAGGATATCAAACGCCATGATGAAACGTCTCGACCTCGGAAAGGGCGATAAGTGGGATTCCATGCTCAAGGGCGTGCAAGATGTCGCAGACCTTCCCGATCCGACTGGAATCATCTCCTACGCTTCACGGCTCGATGATGATCTCGAACTCTATCGTGTATCGTGTCCAATAGGCGTTCTTCTCGTCATTTTTGAAGCACGCCCCGAGGTTGTGGTAAATATTGCGGCTCTCGCGATCAAGTCGGGTAGGTCTGTTATCTCTAGCTGGTGAGATGTGCATGTAAACCCACCATTTTCAGGCAATGCTGCGATCCTCAAAGGCGGAAAGGAATCGAATCATACCACATGTCTGCTTGCCAAGGCCATTGCGCAGGGATTGGCACAAACCTCACTTCCAAGCACATATATCCAAGCCATCCAAACAAGAGCAGAAGTTTCTGCACTACTGGATCTTGATCGCTACATTGACTTGGTCATTCCCCGCGGAAGCAACAGTCTCGTGAAGGCGATTCAAAACAGCACGCGGATACCAGTCATGGGCCATGCGGACGGACTGTGCCATGTTTATCTCGATGAATCCGCTGACCGTCAAAAAGCCATCCGCGTGGTTGTTGACTCAAAGGTGACCCTCGCAATTGTTCAGCCAGTGATCATATTCTCACGACAACACATCCTAGACGGATTATCCATCAGCTTGCAATTCCGCAGAAACTCTTATTGTGCACACCTCTCTTCTCAACACGGTGTGGCGAGAGGTTGCACAAGCACTCTTGGCAGCAGACGTTCATCTCTTGTGTGATTCGCATACCTTGTCAGCACTTGCCTCGCTTCCCAACATCCCCGAAAAGTTTTCGAGTCATGTCCACTCGTCTACAGAATCTTCCTACTCTATCGAGCACCTTGATCTTACGATGTCTGTCATAGCTCTGCCTTCGATACATTCCGCAATTCAATTCATCAACTCTCATTCCTCCCATCACACGGATGCCATCGTAACCGAGTCCGAGCCTGCAGCGTCTGCATTCTGCAGAGGCGTGGACTCGGCAGGGACATTTGTTAATGCTAGCACGCGTTTTGCAGATGGATTCCGTTATGGCTTCGGAACTGAAGTTGGAATTAGTACAGGACGGATACACGCTCGTGGGCCAGTGGGTCTTGAGGGACTTGTCATCTACAAATATATAATGAGGAGTAAAGCGGAGAGGGGTCACATCGTAGGAGAATTTGGTGTAGGAGAGGGGAAGAAGAGCTTCAAGCATGCAGCAATTGCAGCAACCAGCGTACCATTCTAACAAAAATGAAGAACACCGTAGCCGAAGTAAATCATAATATGTCGACAGATCCTCAGGATTGTGCATCCTCTTCCAGTTTTGCCTTCTTTGCAGTAGGGCTGCCATCATCTTCTCCGTCATCTGCTCTGCGTTTAGCTGGTGCATCTACTTCAGCGGCTTTCTTCTTCTTCTTCACAACCAATGATGTCAAGTCGTTAACCACTGCTGGTTGTCCGGGCACAGATACCGGCTTAGCATTCAATTCCGCATCTAGCGCTCTTGCAGCCATCGCAGGAGCAGACTCTGTTGGCTCGCTGGGAGTTGTTTTAAGTTCCTCCACCTATGCAAAGCCCTGTCAATATGCACTTCCTGAGCCTGCAAGGGCTCACCTTCAGAGCGAGGTCTTCTTTCAACCCTTCGCACTCCTTAATTTCGGCTTCCATCTGAGTCTTGGTCAGATGCCGCACGCTATCTGCGAATACGCCCGAGCCAACGGCCTTGCCCTTGCCCTTTTTATCTGCTTTGGCTTCCTGACTGGGTACAGGGAGCAGCTTTCCGTCCATTCCGTCACGGAGTTCTGCTAGGCGAGCATCAACGCTTTCCAGAGCCTTCTCCGCGTGCAAAATAGCATCCGAAAGTCGCCCAGAGGTTAGGTCAAGTACTATACTGAGTTTATAGTGTGCTTCAGCAATTTGACGGGATGAAATCGGGAGAAGATCGATCTTAAGTGCGAGTCCCTCCGAGTAGTCGGTAATAGCTTGGTCGAATTTCTCTGTAAAATAGTCTATTAGTATGGGGAGGCTTAGCCAAACAAAAGTTGGGCGTACCCGTCTCGAGAGACACATCTCCAAGGGCAATATATGTCTCAGCGAGCTTCATTTTGACTTCGTCGTCTTCATCCTTGCCTTTCTCATAAATTGCACGTGCAAGCTCCAGGACTTCCCATGCGGCATTGAAGTCATCTTCTGGCTCTCCATCTTCCCCTTCAGCATCTTCTTCGTCACCCTCTTCTTCTTCTGCAATTGCAGCTTGACCGAAAAGGTCGACGCCTTCATCCGCATCTCCGGAAAAGGAGAGAATAGGACCCTTTCCATTGGCGCCAGTGGCTGAGGCTACACAACGATCAGCTGCAGCCACGACAAACTAAAACGCGTCACACACGTTTCCCTTCTGCTTCATCTCCGTTCTCGGGCTGTTCCTTACCCAAAACTGAAGCCTGTGATATCGCGTTTTCTAGCAGTGCTTTTCCATACGAGAAGTACAGATTAGCTGTTTCTGGCGCATCCTCGCCATGCTTCTTTGTTCTATAGTACGAAAGACACGAAGCGCGTCAGAGCCACAATTTAATGAGTCCTACTTTGATCACGTACTGAAGTTCCAGAGCAGTAGCATAGTATTCGACTGCTTGCTCGTATTTTTTGAGGGCAAACGCGCGTCTAGCATGCTCAAGAGCGGTCTCCACAGTCATATCTGGTGCAGACGCGTCGGTAGCATTTGTCTGCGCTGCTTTAAGCTGTTCCCTGCATTTGTGGTAGTTCAGTCAAAAAAAATACTAGGTATCTCCGGGGCGCAACTCACGGGGCCATTATGTAGTGAACTAGACACCCGCAGTGGTAAGGTTGATGGCGGTTCAGAACAAAGTGCAGCCAGCGCCGGGAAGCGTGGATTGTTGACGCGACTTCCGATCACGGTGGCTCGGGGTCTTTGGGACTCAACTTGTGGAGTCCTCATAGTACTGCAAAAATTGGTATTCAAGACGCTTGCACAAGCTCGACTACTAGATTATACAAAAGACAGGTAGGAAGAAGTGAATGGGAGGTCCGGGCAATGTGATATCCGTGAGCGTAAACGATAGTGGGATACTTGAGCGAGGGATAGCGATAAGAGACAGAATTGAAAAGAAATAGATGCGTGAATTAGACAGTGAGAGACAGGTCGAGACTAAATAAGCGATGCGGTCCCGCTTTGCTGCTGGAAAGGCTGCTGTGAGGGATCCTGGGCTCCAGGATATCCAAAAGCGCCCCTTCCGTAATTGGATCCAAAGGATGAGGATCCGTTGAATCCACCGAACTGTGGCAGTGAGTTCATAGTGGGCAGCCCAGATCCACCCCCGGCATTTGGCGAAGATGCAGCATACATCGTAGCCCTGAAAGGATTGGCTCCACCAGTTGCCTGGGGTCTGAGACCGACCCCAGGCGTGGGCCTTGTATCTGGCTGTGAACTAAAGGTACCAACACCAGTGGGCTGCTGCCCGATGCTCGAAACACCAGTGCCAAAAGCAGAAGTTGCTCCATTCGGAGCTGATGTAGAAGAGATGTTGCTGGGCGTACCAGTGACACTAGGAGTAGTGGGACTTGACTGTGGTATTGGAGGTAGCGATTCCAACAAGGATGCCCCAAACGATGACGTCGGTTTAAATGGCTTGATACCACTGAAGCCGGTCATTTGGGGCTTTAACTGGCCACCTAAAGGCGACATGGAAGGAGTGGAAGAGGTGATGGTGGCACCAGTAGGTTGCGTAGATAGTGGCGAGAAAGAAGAAAACGAAGAATCTGATGCAGTCAGCGCAGTCGCGGTGGAGGATGCGCTCTGGGGGTTGAGTATTCCAGAACCGTTAGGCCCAAATTTGCTATCCTCTGATTTTCGGCCGAACGCAAAGGACGAGGCAACACTCGATATCGATGACTCGCCACCTAACGCGCCTGGCGGTCCATAAAAGCCCGTCTGTTGTGGCTGTTGGGTCTGAGGTGGTGCAAAATCGGCGGGCGGAATATTGTTCGAGCTTCCGATACCCATGGCCAGCTCCATCAGTGTTGGTGGCTTTGGCACTGGTGGGGCTGGCGTGGTTGGCACTCCGAACGGATTGCGTGAGCCAGTCTGGTGAGATTTGACAGGTTGTGCTACTGGCGGCGAGGTTGAAGACGCCTGCATTGCGCCAAAAGTTGTGAGGGGAGTCGATGCAGGTCGAGTGGGGACGTCGAATGACGTGTGCGCCCCATTAATCTGTCCAAACTGTGTGTTTGTGGAAGGTGGCTGCATAGCAAATCCGCTCGAGGACTGTGCGAATGACGCCTGTGATGGTTGAGGGTGGGAAGTAAGCTGGAACGGTGGGTTGGTTTGTCCAGCAGGCTGCGATTGGGGCGAGAATGCATTTGTTGACCCAAAGTTAAAAGCAGGCGTGCCTGTCCCCTGCAGCAGCATCATGCTTTGTCTAAATGGGTTCGCACCAGTAGCTTGAGGCTGCAAGAAACCTGCGCCTTGTGGCATTGCGAAGCCAGTAGCTTGTGGTTGCAAGAATGTAGAGAAAGGTCGATGTTGGTGTTGAGAGGATGACGGTTGCTGACCAAAGGAGTTCGGCTGAACTGACTGGAAGGACTGGGAAGAGAAAGCAGTAGCTTGCGGTTGAATCTGACCAGGGAAACCGAAAGGTTGGCCTTGAAAAGCCCCGGTCACTTGTCGCTGAACGAAAGGATTAGGCGCTGGCTGTTGACGGAAGTGGTTGGATGTCGGGCTGTGCGAAAATTAGCAACATCCCTGAGATATCGGCAGTGATTCATGGCTTACCTGCTACTCGTAGGATTGAACATGGTAGGCTGATCTTCCTCGACAGAAGCAAAGAAGTCTACCATAGCCTGAGTAGCTTCGGGCTTAGGTGCGGGATTTGAAGCTTGAGTGGATGGCCCATTTAATGGGGCGGATGTAGATGCAGTAGATGTGGATGGGATTGCTTGCGATGATGAGGCTGAGAGAAGTTAGATTGTAGCTCTGTGAAAGTAGACTTAATCACCTTTAGGCGCCGAGGATGGGGCCCCGCTGCGACTTCTGCCGCTTCTGTCGGCAGCTTCCTTATTTGTCCTATACTCAATTCTGTTCTGCTCAAAATTGGGGTCGTTCAAGTATTCTTGAAGTGCACCCGCCAATAATACAGGGGCCTGATGGTATCTGTGAGTGGTTTAACAAGGGCAGGAAAACTCTACTTGCATGCTTCAATGTTGGGATCGGAACGTTGAGTATATTCTGCAATTTCTTTGCGACGCCCAAGTACTCCACTACTCGCTCTGTCTGAGTGCAGAAATGACGATATATGGAGAGGGCCTGCTCAGCGTCAATCTTTGACATCTCGAAATAGTGTTCTGGGATTCCATTAAAAATTAGGAAATGATACAAGGACTGGTAAACAAACCTAATACATTGATGACACCTTCATTGCCAGCCTGGAAAAGAATGAGTAAATCCTTGACAAGCATGCGTAGCGCAGTTATTGTTAATTCATCTTCCAGATCATCGAGATAGAACTGATAAATACTGTGTAAGTGACCTGGCGGACTCGGACATATAGGCGTACCCTGCACTCTACCAGAGTGTCTATCATTGTTTGCACGGTCTTGGTCTCCCTGAGTAAGCCCTTGTCCACAGTCATGACGCGTAATTTCCTTCCCATGATTGTTTTGCTCCTTTGAGGAGCCCTAGACTTGGTGGATGCTGACTTTTGGGCCGGGGCACTCGAGTATGCCATATCCTCTTCGATAGAGTTATTGACGCGCATGTCACGATTGGACTCTGCCTGAACACGAATTGCGTCGTGCTTCAAATCACGATATGCGCGTATGCGGGAGTCCAAATAAATTGCATAGTGCTGGAGATTCTGAGGAGCGTTGTATCCTGAGTACAGTGGTAAAATATTAAGTGGGTCTATATTTCCAAGAGGATTATGACCATTGGCAAGACGTACCTTCCCAGTTACCAGCAGAGACATTTCTCAGACGAAGAATTTCCGAAGAAGATAGATGAGACAAGACGTTGTCTGTCGCACCATTGCGAATCATGGTATGGAGCACGATTAGTGCCTTGAACACGACCTATGTAGATCGTCAGCTGTACTCTCAAGTGCTAGGGCATTTGTGACGCACTATAGCATTGGGTTCGCGAAGGCGAGGAACGAGTGCTTTGCAAACGTCATGGACAGCGCCGTCTTCTGACCAAGTAGCAGCAATGATAGGATCTAGGTACTAGGGGATAAAAGTTAGTGAGAAATAAAGGAAAAATAGTGCTATTGAATAGATACCTTTGCCTTTGGAGGGGCAGCCTTTGGTTTGCAAGCTAGCTTGACTGTCTTGTCGAAGCTGGACATTGCTCGACGATGATGTTGGTCATAAGTCAGACTTCATTGGCACATTATTCACTTGCCCAATTCTCATACGAACTTCAAACTCAGCTCCGCCAGCTTCCGCTCATGCTTCAATCCATAAAATATTAAACTGAATTATTCAATCATTCTTCCCAGTTACCAGTATCACTGCAGGAAGTTTCGCATTACTGTCACATCAGAGCGCGTCCTCCAAGGGGACCAGTAACGGCCTGCAGGCAGGGTCTTTTTTGGTTTCCTGATTTGTTATTGCCACGTGCACGTGCTTCGGTTCGACAACGCTTCAGTCGCTTCTGCATGACTTTGCATTTCTTGCGTTCAACGCTCTCCTAGTCGATTAATTATTGCGTCTGGTGCACGCGGTTAGTTGCCTTCTCGTTGGTTGCAGGTGGAGCTCAATTTACATCCGTATCCATCTACCGTGGGTGTTTGGGCGTGTACTGGTTTTAGTACAACTCACGTAGGAAGTCCCGTTGCCCCACTCGTTCACACCGCACAAGTTTCCCCATATCTTAATCTTCAACCATGAATTTTCCTGCCGGATTCCTAGGAAATAATGCAGCCGCCAAAGTATTCTCATCCCTCCGTCGCAGAGGCATCTCCATCCGTCATATCGCATTCACATTCGGCCTTTCCGTAGCACTCCTGACGCTCTACTTCAACTTCTTCCGACTTACCGGCTACTCATTTTCCGCTGATGCTATGCATTACCCTCCCGAGACACCAGAGGTATGGGCAGATAGATCCCTTCAAGTCAGGGACGCCTTCTTGCATGCCTATCATGGTTATGAACGCTTCGCGTTCCCAAATGATGAGCTCCGTCCTTTATCGAACGCCAGCATAAATAAGTGAGCTAACGTCTGCATTTCAATTTCACATCCACTCACGTAACAACATAAAGCTTCAATGGATGGGCCGTCACTGCAGTTGACTCCCTTGACACAATGATCATGATGGACTTAAAACAAGAGTATAACCGCGCAATGATAGCTGTACATAATACAAACTTTTCCCTACCCACGGTGAGCGATGTCATCTAACACCTCTCAGCGATGCTCAAATTGTCCATAGAATACCCGTGTGCCATTCTTTGAGACTGTCATACGTCAACTTGGCGGCCTCCTCTCCGCTTATGCGCTGACTAACAACGATATATTACGCACTCGCGCTGATGAACTTGGCACAATACTGGCTCCTGCATTTAAGACCGCCAGTGGGTTTCCTAAGTTTTCCGTAAACACTGTCAGGTAATCCCTATCATTTCTAATTCATATCGCTTCTGTAGGCCTGATTTTTTATCGTTGCTTTAGAGGTACAAGTGACGGGCCAATGGTCGGAGGCTTGGCAGAAATTGCGAGTTATCAAATGGAATACGCTTATCTCGGTAAGATTACTGGCAAAAAGGAACATGTTGATCGAGTGAGTTCAAAGTCATGTTTATCGCATAGGATCGAGCCTATTCTGTCCTGAACTGCACCTAGGCCACAGCTGCCACGCGTAACTTTTACAGTGCTGAATTGCGCGAACACGGCGGTATGTATCCGATGCTTTGGAATCTGTCATCGGGACAAGCGAGAGACTGTATGTGCATGATACATAGTAGATAGACTCGTACTGACAGCATTCTTGCGATCACCAGCACACCTTTCCGTTGGCGCCGCCTCCGACAGCGCCCACGAGTACATCCTCAAGCAATACCTAATGACCGCTCAGAAGGACAAGGCAAATCTCGAGATGTGTAAGTTTTTACCCACCAACGTTTCATCTCTGCTCAATTGTACTTGGTAGACCTCCGCTTCACTTCCCACGTTTTTAATAACTTGATGTACATCTCGCCGAATCGCCACCTCTTATACATCACAGATTCGAAATTGTATAGGACCGGCAATCGCCCCACACATGACTTCGAACACCTATCTTGTTTTTTCCCTGGCCTACTCGCCCTTGGAGCTCACACCCTTCCGCTTGATAATCTCGAAGAGGTTGGACTGAACTTCACTGCGCTCGCAGACGACCTGCTCCCAAAACAAAAAATGGGCTATGAGGAGCTTGCCTCATTCAATCTTACGGATTTACATCTATGGGCTGCTGAAGGGCTGGCACAGACCTGTTACCTGACTTACGCAGACCAACCGACAGGGTTGGGACCCGATATCGTGACCATGCTATCTGGCGGCGTGCGTCCCGAGATACCGTGGATGGACGCTATGCGAGAGTGGAGGACATCTGGTAGAAGAGGTCCCCCACCTGGAGTGGAAGATAAGCACCCTTGGGTAGGAGATAGCACCCCTAGGAATGGGCGAGAGCGTGAGATGGCCTTCGCTATGAGAGACTATTACGTTAAGAACGCTGACTACCAACTGAGACCTGAGGTAAGACAATAGGTTTCCAAGATATTGCAGTCTGATATCCGCTTTTTAGACCGTAGAGTCGCTTTACATCCTGTATCGTGTCACTGGCGATGTGAAATGGCGGCATCGCGGATGGGCCATCTTCCAGGCTATCGAACGGGAAGCGAAGACTCCATCGGGGTACGCCAACATTGACAAAGTGGACACCTACAACCCACAACAGCTTGATGTTATGCCTAGGTTTGTGCCTCACCTATGCATCTTGTCTTTCTCCTTTTCATGTCGTACAACAGCTTTTTCTTGGCCGAAACATTGAAGTATCTCTATCTTCTCTTCCAAGAGGAGGACCCCGTGCCCTTGGATAAGTGGGTGTTCAATACAGAAGCTCATCCATTTCCCGTCTTTGAATGGACTGAGAAAGAGAAAGAGGAGTATGGTGTACCATGATATGTACTCTTCACACATCCACTAAATTCAGTGATTACCATCACACGAACTGTCAACGTACTATCTTCGCTGCCTAATTCTCGCACTGTGCCATTTACTGTTTTCTGCGCTACTTTGAACGACTCGTGACTCAGTTAATGATCAGTGGTTTGTGGGCCGGCCGGTCCGGAGCCAGTGAGGTTGTTCAGCTGGACGGTGGGATATGCACATTTGCGCAGGCAGTCAGTCAGGGAGCCACCAGCGTCAAAGACCTCTCTAACTACACCATCTTTACACCGTCATGTCAAACTTGAAACAGGGCGAGTTTGTCGGGTCTCTTGATTGCGGCACAACGTACGGCTATGTTCTGATTACTGAATAGTCAATGCGGCTGAGGCCATGTTTGCAGTTCCGTGCGGTTCATCGTCTTTGATCAGTACGCAAATATCGTTTCCCAGCATCAATCAGAGTTCCCGCAGTATTACCCGAACCCAGGGTGAGTAGTCATCCCCTCGTTCCTTACCCTGCTCGATTCCTTACTGGCGCTGCATGTGGCAGGTGGCATGAGCACGACCCTGAAGAAATACAACAAATCTCTGAGGAGTGCATCACTCATGCTTGTGCGAAACTGGAGGAAGCAGGATGGGCCAAGGAGAGCGTGAAAGTGATCGGTATTTGCGTTCATACAGCCCAAGAGGTTCCATCCATCATACATTGCAGGCATTACGAACCAGCGTGAAACTACTGTCGCGTGGAGTAGGACTACAGGTAAACCTTTGTGCAAGGCTATCGTTTGGACCGATTCTCGTACGAAGAATACTGTCGCTCACTTTGAGCACCTATTGGCTACGACTGGACTCGAGGTGGAGCCTGGGCAATTTAAGAGCGGAGAAGAGGGTGTTGAAGCTCTGCGTGACATGTGAGTGATGTACTACTCTACGTGATTTGACTACTCACTCCAGGATAGTACGGGCCTGAAGCTCTCGACGTACTTCTCTGGAATCAAACTTCGATGGATGATTGACAACTACAGCGAAGTCCAGAAGGCCCATGACGATGACGATCTGCTTTTCGGAACAATCGAATCATGGGTTGTTTATGTAGGTGTACTGCTGCCAATCAATGTTGATAGATTGTCCTGATGTCAGAGTAGAACCTTACAGGCAACGTCCAGGGTGGCATTCATGTTGGCGAGGTAACGAATGCATCTCGCACCCTTTTGCTAAATCTACACAACCTTACTTGGGATGAGCGGTTGCTGAGCTTTTTCGGTTTCCGACCGTCGATACTACCTAAACTCGTGTCTTCCTCAGAGGTGTATGGTCAACTGTCTCAGGGTCCCCTGAAGGGTGTTCCAATCGGAGGACTTATCGGGGACCAACAAGGCGCTTTAGTGGGAAACAAGTGCCTCCGACAAGGAGAAGCCAAATGCACGTATGGTACGGGTGCGTTCCTCCTGTTCTGTACGGGAAACGACATTGTTAAGAGTGGTCATGGACTTCTGAGCACGGTAGAGAGCCTTCTCGGTGTCACGCACTATTGCTCATGAGTTTTTCGGAAGGTGGCTTACCAGCCCGGTCCAGGGGCTGCTCCAGCCTATGCATTGGAAGGAAGTAGTAAGTGCGTTATTATTCTTCGATAATGCACAAATGATAAGTTTGTGTAGTCGGAGTTGCTGGAAGCGCCATCAAATGGTAAGATACAAGTATTGGTTTACCTCGTCCCCTCAGTGTTCGTGTCAGGCTGAGGGATTCCATGGGTTTCATCAAGTCCGCCAACGAGATAAACACGTTGGCAGCATCAGTACCTGATACTGGAGGTGTGTACTTCGTCACCGCGTTTTCTGGTCTCCTCGCACCGTATTGGGATCCGGGTGCTGCAGGCCTCCTTATTGGTACGCTGAATTCACCATTTCCCGTTGACAATATAGCAACTTTTAATGACAGGACTGTCCTCGTATACCACTCCCGCACATATTGCTCGTGCGACTATGGAAGCTGCTGCTTTCCAGACTCGTGCAGTTCTTGAGAGCATGAAACTTGATTCACGCACAAAGCTCGAGCATCTTAAGGTTGATGGAGGCATGACCAATGGCGATGTTTGCATGGAGATCTTGGCGGACATCGGTGGTTTCGACGTTGTCCGTCCTGATATGAGAGAGTATGTGCTTATCCATATCAAGAACGGAGAAAAGCACACTGACTATTGAGACAGATCAACCGCCCTGGGTTCGGCGCTTCTTGCCGGCTCAGCCATCCGGTTATTCGGTTGGGACATGTCTAAGCCAGCGACGCTGTCGGAAGTCAATACCAAAGGCAGCCGAACCTTCACGCCCCATATGCCCGAGGAGGATCGGGAAAAAGGGTGGACTGCATGGCTGCGTGCCGTCGAGAGGTCAAAGGGCTGGGACGAGGGCGTTGACGAATGAAATGGAAGTAATACGATGAAATCAAATTCAATACATGTTGGGTACCACTGCTGGGTAACACACTACCGAAATTTCTTAAGAGGATCTGATTTTTTCTTCCCGCCACGACCTCCACCCCCACCGCCTCTGGTACTACGGCCACGGCCACGACCGCGTGCAGAAGACTTTTTGAAAGGTACAAAACCAACTGTAGACTCTTCAGCTTCGATAGCTGGAGCTGAAACTAGACGGGGAAGCAAATATTTTGGTATATGTTTCATATGGGCCTGAACCCTGGTGGGATGCAGCGGTTTGTCATGGCGTAGATATTCGAGGTCGAGTGGATTGTCCTCAAAATGGGCCTGCACAGCACATTAGCATCGCACAAAGTAAAATAATTAGTGTACCCACTTTAAGTTTCTCTGAGTTGATAATCTCAGTTTTAAGTTCCTTGATCCTGGCCTCCTTGATAGCGCTTCTTGTCACAGACCGCAGTGCGTCGTCCATTCGATAGCGGAATGACTCCACTTGTTTCATATCAAACTTGTACTCCTGTATTTTGGAACTCCGTGCCGCCTGCTGTTTCTCAATCCTTGCGAATACAGCCTCGTCATTCTTTGCGCTTTCAAGGCAACCGACGACCTTGTTTTTACCCCATTGGTCTTTAGGAACAATATAGGATAACGACATTCCTGCCCGCCCAGCGCGAGCAGTGCGTCCTACGCGGTGAGTATATGACCGAGATGACGTGGGTAGATCGAAGTTGAGCACACAAGCAACGTCGACGAAGTCCACTCCACGGGTAACGCCATACTCTTTGTCCGACTTCGTACGGCGCCTTGTCTTCTTTGATTTGGAGGGGCCAGGTTGAGGAGAGTTACGAGGATGCTTCCGCTTTTTAGATGTGGGTTCAAGTTCCGCGTCTTCGTCTGGGTTGGTCTCCGCGCGCTGTGTTGGTGTCACTGGGAAGCTGTGAGAAGCGGTCAAAGCTCAGAAAAAATACAACCTACACTCATCGTCAACACCATCGAGGCCATCCTCCTCAAGTTCATCGTCAGAATCAGCTTCCGCGTGGGCTCCATTTTCGTCAGTCGCAATGATGTAATCGTAAACACCTTTGTTAAACTCCTGCACTGTATGGTATCTATAAAATATTGAGTGGGAAGACATGTGCAACAAATTTTAAATTCTCTCGTACCTGGAATTAAGGGGAAGCTCAGAGTTTAGCACACAGCTTTTGATCGAGAACTGTTCCAAGAATAGTTTCAAGCGGTAGCAGCGGTCGACGTCGTTGACGAACAGTATGCATTTGCCTTTTATGAGGCGGAGTTTGAGGATGACGTATGTGAGAAGGAATTTGTCGACTTCGGAGCACCTAAGGAGAGGTAAGAATCAACAAGTGATGAACTATGCACGACTGACTGAACAGAGTATTGGCTGAGGAGTGAGGTTTCATCCTCATCCTCTTCCAGCTTCAGGATAGCCTGAAGACGAAGTTAGCAGAAATCAGAGCCAAAAGTCGGCGAGTTGATAAGCTCACTGGACTACGAAGTGCCAGGCCCTTCAATGTCTCGACATCATCCGTCATGGTTGCACTCATCAAGAATGACTGATACACCTTTGGGAGATATGCTCCAGTAAAAATTTGTCGAACGTCCTCATCGTGGCCATAGGACAAAATGAGGTCAGCCTCATCAATAACAAGGGATTCCAATGAAGAGAGGTTCAAAGTCTGGATAAATATGAGGTACACTCCGTGTACTGTGGGATCACGACGCACCTTTGACTGAAGCAGCCCAAGGGCACGAGAAGGAGTTGAAATGACGATATCTGGCTTATCTGCAAGAAGTGCACTGGATGCTCAAGTCATAAGAAAGTGATATGAACAGCAGGAACCATCTCACCGTTGCAGATGTGTAGAGGAACCGGTGGCAGAGTTAACCACGATAACTTCCTTCTCGCAATAAGTGAGGAGGCTTTGAAGACATGCCGTGACCTGTTCGGACAATTCGCGAGTGGGCACAAGAATTAAAGCACGCGTCACTTGATAACCTTCATGTAAGGTGGATAACGACTTGTTGCATGATTTAATGAGCACTCGATACAATTGATCAGAATGTGATACACCCACAGATTTCGCACTAAGAATTTTCTGCACAATTGGGATACAATATGCAGCGGTTTTGCCGCTGCCTGTCCGAGCTCTTGCGAGGATATCGCGGCCTTCTAGTGCAATGGGCAAGGCTTTCACCTGGACGAGGGTTGGGCGAGCGAAGCCCATGTCTGCAAGGGCGCGTAGTATGCGGGCATCCAGTAAATGAGCAAAAATCGAGAACGTTGATTTAGAGTCAACCAAGCGTGTCTCCACCATTTTTGTCTTTGGAACTGCGTCTCCCAATGGAAGATAGCGGCTGGGGCTGGCTGAACAACAGTACTTGCAGAGTTGTGAACTTGTAGTCGTCGAATGAGTTTTCAATCATAAGCGCTAAGCGGTGTGCTGCCCAAGAAAGGTATGTTCCCGGTGGCCCGACAAGCTATGGTAATAGTATCATTTCTTGATCAGACAGTCAGGCTGGAAGGACAATGCTCATCCTCTTCATCGTTTCTCCCCGACTCTACACCAGACTTGATTATCATGAGCGTTGCTGAACAAATTCGAGTTCGCGTAGATGACTCAAATTCTGATGAGGGCAAAGTATTGTGTGGCATGTACGTGCATTTGAACTATGCAATCTCGAGAACTTCTTTTTCAGATGCTATTGATTTCTCTCTGAAGCTGTCGTAGACAGTTTTCTAGGTATACGTGCCCGGGGTGCAATGTTTCTTACTGCAGCCTGACGTGTTTTCGTTCAGAGGTAGGTACATAACCCACTCTGAATGACAAGGCAATCAAGTCGTGCAGGCTCATTCCCAATGTTCGGAGACATTTTATCGAAAGGAAATTCAGACTAGCATCAAATCAAAGTCTTCGAAAACACACGAGGAGAGGGAAAAGATGCTTGAGTTGCTGAAGCGTCTCGAAGACCAAATTGAAGAGGAAGATAGCAGCTTGCTGCGTAACCAGGATGAATCCGACAGTGACGCCAATGACCTCGTCTCTAGATTCGCCGGCGTGGATATTTGTGCGTGATCCTGATCCCTTAGCTAGTTTGCAGCCAATTGCGGTCCGTTTAGCTTCAACATCATCCGATGAATTACTCAGACTTTTGACCAAGGAAGAAATTGACAAGTTCTTCAATGCGCTCAGGGACCCAACCGGTCAACTGGCTCAACAATTACTGTCTAGTGAGGAGTTGCAGTCTGTGAGGCAGGAGCCATGGTGGGAAGGTTCTTTGGAAGGATCTCCGGGCGGGAACATGCAATATGGATCAAAACCTGCACTCATGGAGATCCCGCTCAAGCTCCTAAAGCACCAGTCCGGTAGTCCCTCTCTGATTTACAACATTTGCGCTGTCCTGTGAGTTTTGATGCTCTGTCATCACCAGGTGATCTCCTGATTGTGATAGTATTGCTTATGCGTTCGCTACCCGCCATTTGTCTGTTTCACCATTATCCTTGGCGGAAAATGATGCGTCGGATGAAGCAGAGGCGCGCAGAATCATCTCGCAAGCCGTCCCGTTCCTGATAGCTCGTCAGTCACAAGTGCTGCACTCGACGCTAGGCAGTGCTGTCACAGACGTGTGGTCACGCTTTGACCCTGTATGTTTCGATTCATTATCAATCACTGAGGCGGTACTCAGTGCTATTCAAGGGGACCGTGGGCGCCATGTCTTTGTCGGTGCTCTTGCATGATTCATTCATCATGATGAGACCCAGAAAAGTGGTCGCCGCATCTTCTGGTCACAGCTCATTAAGTGATCATCCGTCTGTTACATTATTAGCCGCATTGTCGGACCTCTCAGGTCTTTTCGCTCCACGCTCAATTGGTGTGCCTAGCCACATTCAGATGAAGCTTAAATTTTACGCCGCTCAAATCCTGTCGACGCCACATTTCGTCCTTCGCGCCCTTGCGACCGAACTACAAGATTACGCCCGGGCCCTGAAGGCGGAGGCAGTAATCAATCCTAGTCCCCAGGAGATGAACCTTCACGCTTCACTGCCAAAGCCGGCATCAAATCATAATACTACAACCAACGGCCGAGGATTTGGGCCATTGATTGAGGAGTATCCTCAGTAACGCGGAGGTTCTGTCTGTTGGTCAATCCACGGTTTCTATTCTTTCGAATGTGTCTTTAAAATACATGGTAGCATGTGGTGATGCATAATACTGATACTTAGTAATGGACGCGAGTCCGTGGAGGACGTGAAATCAAAACCTGTGGCCTTATTTATGCATGGATAGCGCACTTAATGCAGCCGACAGTCTTGAGGTCAAATTGCAGCACATTTAGGAAAATCGAGTAATATGACCACATTCACTCTAGTTCATGTATTCCCTTGATCGACGATTCATCGTACGTATGATTCAGAGACTCGCGCGAGTATGCCACCTGGAGCCAACGTCGTGGATCAAGTAAAAACAGGGTGGCGAACATATGGTGGCTGTGACGCATGTGTAAATATCAAACCCTTTCAGACGGGTCCGCATCAGGAGGTCCGATGCCCTGAGGACCCTCCCAGTCATGAAAGTCAGAGGGGATATTTAACGTTCACAAGCACCACTAAATTCCTCCCAGAGCATTCGTTTTTCTCTCTAACCCGCCAATATCTTGGACGGTAACTTCACCTCAAATTATGTCGGACTTAAATTGCGGTTCCGGTGGAGGCGCGACCACATATCCACAGTTGCGTGTAGCATCGGTCTTCATCATCCTCATCGGATCGACTACCGGCGCACTTTTTCCAGTTCTTGCTAAACGGACAAACTGGCTTCATGTTCCCAAACCCGTCTTCGAGTGAGCAATGAATTATTCAATGTGAATGCATGCAGCCGTTCTGATATGAATCCGGTAGCTTTGCCAAGTTCTTCGGTTCTGGTGTCATCGTGCGTTCCATCATCTCATCGATTAGATCGGTCGTTCACAATTAAGCAGATAGCTACAGCTTTTATTCACCTCCTTAGCCCCGCTATCAGTGAGCTTGGATCTCCATGCTTGTCACCGGCTTGGCAGCAGTATGTAAGTCAGGAGTCTCTGCAACTTGAAGCAGTATCATGACTTACGTACATGTCGTGTATCACAGCCCTATCCGCTTGCATTAGCTATGCTTAGCATATTTTCGATTTTTATTGTTGAACTGGTGGCCTTCAGGTGGGGTACGTCCAAACTGGCTGCCCTCGGCGTAAAGCACGGTGCGTTTAGGAGTCATCCCATGTCGAGGCTTCTCTTATTCCAATACAGACGCACATGGTCACGGTCTCGGCGCGCACGCTGCACATGGACCTGAAGGAGGAAGCTTGCCGGATAGTGACTCACACTCTGAGAAGATCCATGAGGATTTAGAATCTGCCCACGATCATACGCGCCTGGATCTTGGTGCTGCAGGGCAGATCATCGGTGTGTTCATCCTAGAATTTGGCGTATTGTTGCATAGGTGTGATATCCTTTAACTGAGTCACGTCCAAGATTAATTCATGCTCACTATTTGCGAAGTATACTCATTGGTCTGACGCTGGCGGTTGATCCGAGCTTCAAAATATTGTTTGTTGTCATCATATTTCACCGTAAGTAATTCCAGCATCTATAAATTACCGTTGGACTGACATGATACTGCAGAAACCTTTGAGGGCCTTGGAATTGGTACTCGTCTTGCTCACTTACAGGTTCCCCCGAAGTACAATTATGTAGCCATCTGTGCCGCGCTTTTGTACGGAATCACCACACCATTAGGCATTGCAGTTGGGCTTGGAGTTAAAAGCACGTACAACCCAGGCAGTACAACCGCCTCCATCGTGAGTGGAGTGCTCGACTCGCTGAGTGCAGGTATCCTGTTGTATACTGGTCTTGTTGAGGTATGTTATATTTCTTAGCGATGCGACCGAAGCCCGAACACTCATCATTTTTATGCAGCTTCTTGCTCACGAGTTTATCTTCAATAAAGAAATGATCACCGGGTCTAACGGACGCGTTGCCTATGCCATCTCATGCATGCTCTTTGGATGTGGGATAATGGCGCTCCTGGGGCGTTGGGCATAATGAATATCAATATGTTGTGACCATCTAGTGTACCATTGGAGATCTTACTGGTTTACAGTTGTATTGCCCCGGAAGCTATTTTTAATGCATGGCGGACAGTTTCAGAAGTTGTTGATTACACGCGGCAGGGCCGTGGCACAGTCCGTACGGCTTACATCAGATGGCCTATTATGTACTTAAGTTGGTCTACTTAGGGAGTCTGAGGCTCCCCATTACGCGTACTCGTGTCGTTTTGCTGGTAAGATGAAGACAAAGGTTTCACTACTCCTGCTCTCTTTCAGCGGACTTACACTTTCGAATCCTGTCAAACAAGCCTTCTATGATGCAGGAGGCAACCGACAGGTTGTTATGCAAGGCCAGGTGTTTGATGTGCCCTCTGACCCTCAACCCGGTTTCAATCTGGACTTGAACGAACTCCGGCTGGTCCAGCTATCGGAAGGTCAGGAACCGGTATGGATGACAGAACTCGAGAAGGTGAGGATACGCACTGCACAGTCACTGCGATCTACTCACCGTGTGCCATCTAGATCGAAGCTAAAGCCATGGGACTTCGCTTCTTCGACGTGTACTTATTTTCTTTTCTTCGTTTACATGTTGATTCTCAATTTTGCTTGTATGTCTAGCACAGATAATCGTGGCCTCGGTTCGTCTGCTGATTTGCGCGTCGCGACGAAAAGTGAGTATACCAACCTGTCGGTTGCAGAAGTCGTATAGCTTGCCTTTTCACAGCTTCATACCCACCGCTGAGCGCGCATGAACAAGTCACCAAAGTCATCAAGACGCTGTCCACCGAAGGTCCAAGGGCAAACTTGGAGAAGTTTTCGAGCTTTAGAACGAGGTGTAAGTCTGATATCCGCTTGGTGTTTCAGCACACTAACCCAATGTTGTAGACTATCGCAGTGAGGTAATTCCTCTCCTTAACAGTCTATCCTGCAACTCTCTCAACTGCTGTGTAGACAGGCAAGGAAAGCCAACAATGGCTACTGTCAAAGATAAATGAAGTATGTTCTTCGCATGTTGCTGGAGTGATTGCCCACATTTGGTCATCAGATTACCGCGGATTCCGCATCGCCTTCATTGAAGTCTCTAATCAGCGTCAACGAGTTCCATCATTCTTGGGGACAACACTCGATTGTAGGTTCTATCCCTTTTTCTCATTCTCTCGTTGGCAAATTACTGGCTAGATCGTCAGAATCAACAGTTCCGATCCAACAGACGATCGGATCGTCATCCTTGGTGCTCACCAAGACAGGTGAATGTTGTCTTTGGATTCAGTGTTTGTGGAACTGATGTTTTTTCCTAGCACAAACTTATGGCCATTCCTTGCCGCCCCTGGTAATTCGTACTCACTGGATATTTTGAATTTGCTGGCTGATTTCAGTAAGGCGCTGATGATGACGGGTCGGGGAGCGTAACTATTCTCGAATCATACCGTGCACTGTTGGCATCTGATTTCCACCCAATTCGGCCTGTTGAGTTCCACTGGTATTCTGCTGAAGTAAGTCATGTGAATGCGTGACGTATGTCTGTGTTACTGATCCTGGGTTTTCAGGAGGGCGGTCTTCTTGGTTCACAGGCTGTCGCTCAGCACTATGAAGCCCAGGGCTTGAAAGTTTACGCTATGAGTCAGGTAGGAATGATGTGTTATCTTGATTGTAGTAACCTGACTTCCGTAGTATGACATGACAGCATGGGTAAAGAGAGGTACACCAGAGGAAGTTGGTGTAATTGTAGACTATGTGGACTCAACGTGAGCATTTTGTCATGATCATTTATTGTATTCTTACCTGGCAATACTAGCTTGACGGACTTCAACAAGGGATTGATCACTGAATATCTGGATATACCGTTTGTTGAAACCAAATGTGGATATGCTTGTTCCGACCAGTAAGTAACTTATGCGTATTACGTTGCAAGTGCCAGCTACTTACTCTACCAGTGCTCCTTGGAGTAAAGCGGGATACCCTAGCATCTTTACCATTGGTAAGATGATGGTTCATTAATTCCAGCTCAATCTGATTATTCCATTAGAAGCGGCCTTTGAGAATGCAAACCACAGGAACATCCATACCGCCAACGAGTTAGTATTCTAGACCAGATTGTGGAAACTGCGGATACTGACCATCACTCTTGTAGTCGGATTGATATCTCGGATGAGTTTAGCTTTTCACACATGTTGGAATTTTCTAAATTGGCTGTGGCCTTTGCCATCGAGCTTGGATGTTAGCTTTGTACTATTCTACCGGTCTGGAACGTTGTTAGACCACGTCTGGAGCAATACCCTTGTACTTCAGGCGGGCATTTCCGGCGTCATCTGACGTATGTTTAAGTTTGGCTTAAGGTTATTACCGTAATGAGCCAGATATGCTAGATTATCATCAAATCTTCTTGCCCCGCATCAGTCCCCGTGTCCCCACCTTGGTCCCACCGTTTATAAAGATCTTCACAAGTACCAGGGTAAACGAGTTGTGAGCCCCCTCAGCTCTTCAACTTGAAGCGACTATGTCCCAGACGCAGCGAAGGCTGTCTGCTCGTCGAGGATCTGTCAGTGCATCAGATCCATTTGGACAGCATGCCACCCTTAATCATGATCCTAATCGATCATCGTCATCGACTTTGACCATCGTTCGCGTTCTGGATCCCAGTACGCAAGCAGGTGTACCACAAGGCACTGGAACCACTTCGATTCATCTTTCAGAACCGCCTGCACCAGCGCTTCACCGCCGTTCACTACGTCATCCTGGAAGTATAACATCTTCTTCGACGAATGCAGATGGATCAGCTGGTAGACTCAGCTTTGCATTTTCATCTTTCGCTCCCAACTCTTCAGCTTCAGCTTCCTCTTCTATGTCTGCACCAGCCGTCACTACTACTCCTAGCCGACGGGCCTCTAGCCCGTCTACTTCCCCCCGTCTACGCTCTAGCTCACCGCAGTTCAGCCGGAAATTATCTTCGTCAGGTTCTTCCCCATTTTCTAAACCCAACTTGTCCCCAGAACAACTCGTAGACCTTGCTCGTCAATCAACTAGCCCTCGTTATGTCCCTCCGCCTGCATCTACCCCTAGTACTCCTCATCTTCCCGCGCTTGCAAGTCCGGGGGGTTCCTCCAGTCCCATCTCTGGCACAATGACAGCACCTGCAACATTCACACCGTTACCCGAGGACATATACCTTCCTTTCATCGACCGCCCCATTGAAGTGGCCCAATTACTATCAACTCATCCCACGACCAAACTTTTTTCCCTCCTCGCTCAGACATTTCCGAGGACACAAGGCCCGGAAAATCTTGATGATTCTACATTCTCTGCTGATCCTGCGAAATGGTCCTTCGGGACTTTGCGCCTCTGGCTAACCATTGTGGATAGACACACAGCCAGTGACGCCCTCTGGGTGCGCAACGCGCGCAGATGTGTCCTTTCTCATTCAGAGCTCATATGGGAGCGTCTGAAAGGGGCACTTGGCGTTCCTCCCGAACTCGAGGTCGACGGAGAATACGACACGGAGAGTGTGATTATAGCGGATGATCACCCGTCGGATGTTTCTGTCGCCCCCACTCCAGCGATGTTGGATGCGGACGTTGCGGTCGAAGACTCAGGAGAGACAAACACACCTCTCACATCGTTGCCGCATAGTGATGTCCAATCTTCTCAAAACGACTCTATGTCCTCATCCCCGCAAGAGGCTCCCCTCTCCATCTCAACTCACTTGTTGATTGAGCCCATACTCGCAACCCTTGCCTCAAACGCAAACATTTCTGCTCCTGGTTCAACTAATCCGCCCCCGCTCAGTCTCCCACCAAACATGTCACAGTCTGCTTCTCTCGGAAAGGGAGATGGGCTGCAGGACATTGGCGAGGAGGCAGAAGACGAGGACTGCGCAGATACAGAAGCGCCTGAAAGGGACACTCAACCCGTCGAGGATTCTTCGCAGATTCATGGGTTACGCATCTCCACTTCACCTGTGCCGTCTTCTCCTGCTTTTGCGCCACAATCATTTTCACATCCCACTAGCCCAGTCTTGAATCCGAACGACTCAGGACGCAACAGCACTGAGCTTAGATGGTCGTCGGAATTTACCCTTCCCCTTACTAGGCGCATTTCTCGTACGAGTTCGCATGGTTCGGTCAATAGCCTCGGACGGCCCACGTTTGGGTGGGTTCCTCCGTGGTTTTCATAACGTACTTGCTAACCTTCCCAAACTCTCACAGCTACAACTACAGCTCAGCTGGTTCTGATTTCGGAGACAACGATAACGAGCGCACGTATGATCCTGTTGGAGACCGTGGTCCAGGAAACCCGCTCTTCCCCAGCAATTTCGCACGACTGGCATTGGGCCCAACATTGAGCGCCAAGTAAGTCTTCCTTTTGAAGCATTGCGTGCAACAATTGAATATTGACGACTCTTCCCTCAGTAATCCTAATTTGCGTCCCTCACGCTCTTCCACCCAGCCAGCATATTCACGCTTTGCTAAGTGGGCGCCAGGTGGGCGCCCTCCTAGTTGGATCGATGCTTGGGACCCTGTCAAGCACGAATATGCCGCAACCACCGCTAGCGGTAGTAGCATCGGGGGCGGTGAATAAGCTGGCATGGCACCGCAATGCACGCGCTCTCAAATTAAATCCCCTCATTTCTCGCCGCTCCTATTTTTTTTTGATCTTTGACAATCGTTCAATCCATTGTTCTCATGTCCTCCAGAAGTCGCAGCAATGATCAAAAAATCTCGCATTTCACTGATGTACTTCTAATGTTGTTTCATTGCTTTCCTCGCTTTGCCCATTTGCCTCTCATCTGTAGTCTTCGTAGTCTGAATTGAAGGGAAGTATGCATACTATGGGTACAATCAAGGAATAATACACGAATCACGTTGGCTCACGGAATACACGTAGCTCTCATTGCAAAACACCTGTGGGTCGAAATCTGATTTGGGTATGTGAAGTAATGATACAACGTGGCTGAGAACTAGGATGTATAAGTTATAGTGTGAGGTTTTTCAACTGGAAACCTACGGAAACGCATTCAAATTGTGAACGTGTTCCTAGACTCTTCCTCTCCGTTAGAATCCGTCAGCGTCCCCACCGTACCTCTTTGGCAACTGGTCGGCAGGGATCAGAGGTAGAAGTGCGGATCCGATAACCTTGGGACCAGAACCAACAACACTCATCTTCGCCACCGTTGCAGCTGATAGGAGCGGCTTAAATATCCAGAAGATCCAAGTGAGAAAGCTAGGCACGTTGACAAAGAACTTCTTCGCCTGTGAATGTAATATATATCACATTCTGGAGTCAGCATAGAGAAGAGAACGAACCAGGAACTCGGGATAGTGGCCCTGGAATATACTGGACGCTTCGGATGCTGCATTTTTGGAGGCCGGTGTTCTACTCGACATGCCTACGCCCTCGTAGTCTGGAAATATCCAGCGAAAGCTGAGCAGAACGACAAACCTAAACACGCATGTACGTACCGTGGATTTGGATCATTTGGTCAATAGTCTCAAAGTCGAGCAGGGCTATGCTTTCTTCCATAAAGGCGACACGCCATCTAGAAAGGAGTTCATGGATGACACCAGGAGAATGAGCACACTATGTATACCTTAGAAAGCGCTGTGTGTCACCGAAGACGGCATCCAGATCCTTATTGGCGCCGTATAAATTGTATCTTCAAAACTCAAATCAGAACGAGAGTTCTCGGAATGTACCTGGACATACGCGATAGGATGTCCATCCTTGTCCTTTCCGTATGTTCTTCCAAGCTTTCCAAATACATCTTCAGGAAACTTTTCCTTCATAGCTTCATCGACGTTGAACGACTTGCGCCACCGTAAAGTCGAGATGAACATGTCCTTGGCCTCCGCAGGATTGAGATTTCTGTCCAGTTGATATTAGGTATAGATTCTAGTCAAATCAAGTTAAATATACCTGGCACGAAGGAACTTCATTAGTACGACGCTGACGCGGGCATCCTTGGGTTTCAGTGGGTGGATGGTGACACCCCACAAGTTATATGATGCGGACTCAGCATCCTCTTGCTCTGGAAAGGCCTCCTTGAAGGTCTCAGGCAGAGTAGACTGTAAATACAGGTTGAAATCAGGTCACAAGTGCATGAATAGTCTTGACCCAACTCACCCGGAATTCCTTCAAGGCCTTCCACTCAGCATCAGTGAATTTCTCCGTTAACGCATTATGTGGTTCCTTGTCGTCTTCTTGTGTAGCCTCAACAGCGGTGGGCGCGTTCAGAGTAGGCGTTGGTCCTGGGCCTGGTGTAAGCTCAGGGACAGTGGGCGTCGCGCCTGGTTGAGGTGCAGCTGCCTCCGCTGTTGTTGTTGCTGTCAGAGCACCCTCGACTGGGGATTCCGGGGCAGATGCCGCAACCGAAACTATCTCACTATCAACGATCTGAGTCATGTTTACTTAGTTGTGAGAGGTTGTTGAGGCTCCAGCTTAGGCTTCAGAATCAGACGTGGGTATATGCAAACTAAACCTTCCGCGGATTCGTATCTAAATATGTACTAACCAGGTACAAATGGCAGCACATACGTATGTACACATCCAGATCGTCCTTCGAACAGAATGTGCAATACACAGTATAATGTCACGTAGAGACCGTTGGCCGTAATACTATTTACACCAATCAAAGGCAAGAATCCTCAAGAATAAATATGGATAGAAATATTGAGTTCTGCTAGGCAACAACGTGTCCGACAGTCAATGACTCCGCGAAATGCTGTTGTATCCGTGGGGGCTGATATCCAATAGGGATCGTATTGGAAGGTGGCGAGTCTATGGAGGGAGGCGGCGAGGGGTATGGCTCTGTGGGCGAAATGTTATGTCGCTTCGAAAAGATGGACGAAGGGTCCTTGGGAGAAATTTGGATATGTAGGTTAGGATGCCCATACCCATGTGAATCTGAGTGTAAACGCCCATTTGTTGGAATCTGCACCCGCGGTCGGCCACCAGCAGAGTGTGGCCCCATTCCCGTGGTTGCAGCCACAGGAAGCTCAGGCGTACCAGGAACGGGAGTTGGTGGCGAGCTTCCATTCAATAGCTTCTCCTCCGTCCGATTGATGGGAAGCATCATGTCTCGCGTCGCCTCTACTCTGCGCATTCTATTCTCCCCTCGTTCAACATCACTCTTCGCCGTATTATACATGTATAACCCGACAAAGGTCATCCCAATACCGAGGCCCTGCATGGGGTGTACGCTCTGGTTGAACCAGACTATGGCGATGCAAATGACTGCGACGCGCTTGATAAGGGAGGCGATTGAGTACGTCACAGGGGACGTGCTTGAAAGGATCACAAATGCGATGATGTTTTGCGCAAAGTGGACGGTTCCATTCATGAAGAAGTAATACGGGATAGTATGAGGAGCTTCGTGTCCACGAGTCGGGTGTGTAACATGGGCGGAGTCGGCGGCGAGGAGACGAGGGAAATCGGTGAAACTCCAAATCGGGATCATCAATGCGAATGCCATGGCCGAAGAATAAAATAACAAGTTGAGTTTATCTAACTTGTGGGACGATGTCTGCGACCCTGATGGCATAATCTTCTTAAAGAAGATGTTGGAACTGACGAACACAAGGGCAGAGCCAAATGCGCACAGGAGGCCCGTCGGACTTGAGGCCGACTCAAACGTACATGCCAGCATGACACCAATAGTCAAAGGGAGTAGAGAGAAGTACGTTTTTGGGGAGTATTTGACGCCGAAAAGCATGGCGTAAGCGGCAACGGTGAACAGTGGAGATAGAGCCTGAAGGCATGTTCATCACCTAAAAATGAGGAACCAATAGTTCAGCATACCTTGATAGTATGAACAGTGCTGACGGATGTTTTGGCAATTGCCATGCTAGAAAACATGTGACCGCCGACTTGGAACATGCCCATGGGCAGGGTGCTTCGCAAAATGGCGCCAGTTGGCGGACGCAATTTTGTGAATTGAATGACTGGCGACATGAGGAGCAGACAGTAACCGGCGACGAATGCAAATTGTATGATGGTGAGGGTGACAGGATATTGGAATTGCATGAGGATAGTCTTGCCAGTATTTGACGAAAGTGCAGATGTGGTGTACCAGAAACTGCACAGAAGGATAAATCGAGACATTGAAACGGCTGAAGATGGGGAAGGTGTGGTAAGAGGGCCAATAGATCGCCGTGAATTCGATGATGTAGATGCTAAGTCGGAAAAAATGGGATAGCGAGACAAGAACTTTCTACATCTCGCCAGGATTGCACTTGGTGCCAGGCGTGATGATGGTTGTCTTGCATAAGGATGACCTCCGTCCAAGGCAGATGTCAGAGGCTTCTCGTCCGGGAAGGTGGCCTGCCAACCTTCGCCGAAGTTGAGGTGCTGATTATCGAAGACATTAGCTGGTGAGTAGTTGTTGTAGGCTAGTTTTGGAGACAGCTGGCGGTCAAGCATGGGTTATCGAGGAAATGGGTTGAAGAACCTAGCCTGGGATCTATAATAAGTAGAAAGAAGACAAGCACTGTCGCAGACTCGCAGTGACACCGCAAACGTCCTTGGCGGGATAACTTGAAAGGTCAAGGATACACTCGCACAGCCGTCCTCTCAGCAATTCGGTTTGGCTTTATTTGCCGACGTGGCAGGGGTAATAAACCACACCGTGAAGAACAATATTTATCGGACCCGTTATCTCTAAAGGTTTATGGTAGCAATGTAATGCTCAAGGGCTACCTCTGGTTCGTCCCAAAATATAAAGTGGTTTCCTTCAGTCTGGAATTTGAACTTCACGTCTCGCGCCCTTTCGGCATCAGGCCCATACATTGGCTTGGGGTCAGCCAAACACTTCTTTAATTCATGCAATGCCCAGACTAAAACACCAGGACTCGCTCCACCACTCATGTATCTGACACGTAGGTTAGGGAGAAACTTCTCCGCCAAGGCCGTGTTGAATATAGCACGTCTTGTCGTGGCCTTGAATACGTCTAGTCGAATACGGAGGAGGAGTGTGTCGGAAGCACCGAAAGTTTTGGCAGATGTGAGCTCTGCAAGCTCCTCAGATGACAAATCGTGCATGGAGTGGGTTTTGTCTGAGAAGTTGTTGAACTCGAGGTCGTCAATGTTTCCTGAGGTGACATCCGTGTTCGGGTAGAACGCCGTCACCCATTCATAGAAAAGATTGAACCTCTTCTCGACATCGGGTTCAAACCACAGGTCGAGATTGTAGTCTAGGGGTTTGGGCATACCAAGGAAACCCCCACTCACATCTGCACCACCGTTCAACATCCCGAATGTGTTGGAAGACAAAATGTGCCTACCATGAGAAACCATAGTATGGAGATACTTTCCGAGGTCAGAAAGAATATTAGATGGCAAGGCATCAAGATAGGCCAAGACAGCGTGAGTGAGCAATGACCCTAAAGACCACCCCATCAGGGCAATTCCACCGCTGGTACCTTCCGCTGGGGGAATATGTTGCTCGCGGGCAAACATAACAAGGAAAGTAGCGATATCGACCGCTTGGCTGCGAAGGAAGCCTTCCTCTCCCTCCACTGTTCCAGACACAATACCAGCCAAGTCTGCATCACGGAAGCTGGTGGTGGGTTTATAATCACGCCTGTATAGGCTGACTATGCGGAGACGGTGCGCAGCAGCTAGAGGGAAAAGCTTCCTGAAAACACCTGCATAAGGTATAAATCAACGGAACTTTATGGAGCACTATGTAAATCATACCTCCATTGAAACCCATACCATGGACAAAGACCAAGGTTGTATATTTGTTTCCAGGGACATTACCACTATCAAAGTAATAGTAGGACACGTTGTCACTGACTCTCAGACTTTCGAGTTTTGTTGAAGTGGGCATAAGTATTCGACTCGGAGATCAATCGGAGATTCACAAAGTCGTATTTATAATTAATATTGGTAAGTATACGGAAGAGGCATGCGACGGCGAAATCCGAAACACTGACTATACTGTAAGCAGAAACTTTAATTTCAGCCACTTTGCACCTTATATTTCCCACAATACAGACTTAGTAAAGCAGTGCTATGTGACGTGTAGCACCGCTTCTGAAGATCAGAGGCGAGCGGATCGGGCGAGGGGGCGCTAGTAGATAGAAAACAATTCTAACTTCAGTCTGGTATTGGGACTCCTGGTCCATAGTACTGTACCTAGTAGATAGAAAACAATTCTACTAGTAAATGTTAGGGCACTATCATAAATCTGAATGGAATCAAGTACTCACACTTCAGTCTGGTATTGGGACTGAAGTGCTCGTGTGGTAAGTACAAAGTCTATAAGGTAAAAATGTTGCTATACAAATATTAGTGTCGCGGGGGATCGTAGTGAGACATTGGATGCTAGATGTCGAGTGTCACTCGACGTCACCTGTCAGTACCTGGTCGCGCTCGCACTACATCTCTGTTCCTGTCTCCGTCTCCGTTTCCACTCCCGTCGACTCCGCTAATCCCGATCCCAACACCACTTAATCAAGCATCGTATATGCCTGTATGGAGCACCGCCGGTTAGTGTTGCTGCAAAGTGAACTGAACTGAAACGAAGTGTTGTTACGACAATGGTCGTAGTCGGACTGGGATGGGTAAACGAAGGAGGACGCTCCTAAGTTATCAGTTGTATGTCGGTTGGACGTCAGTATACCCAGTAGCCTAAGCCATCGGGTTATGACAGAAAGGGGAGGTACTGTAGAGCAAGAGGTGTGCGACGGCGAAATCCGAAACACTGACTACTTGCTTACCGTAAGCAGAAACTTTAATTTCAGCCACTTTGGCATTATCTCACATTGTCGTCCGAACTCCTCTCCAGCGCCTTCAGATCTCAACAAAAACTTTCTGCGACCTGGGGGAGGTGGTGGTTATTGGGGTAGTAGGATAGTCTTAGGTAGCTAGATTAAGTAGTTTCCTACCTCGTTGCTTAATTGCCCTGCAAACTGTTTTTTTTTTTGTTTTTTCACCCACACGTGAGTCGCAAAATCCACGTGATCAATGAATGAGACAATGAATGAGACGATATCATAGATGCATAGACATATGTCCTAAGTCCTTGAATGCATCGCAGTGTTCTGTCCCTTAATCTTATTCGGCCATCATATGATGTATCCACCCCAGTATGAATCATGGTTCCCCGCTGAGTCTCAAGCATCCACCGAGTCTCAAGCATCCGACTCACAAAGCAGTTACACCTCTCCAACCTTTGACTATGATCAATTTGAGCCATACCACATGTTCAGTCCTTCTCAATGGACATATAACCCCAGTCTTAGTCTGATCGACATCAATTCACATTCTGATACCTTTAATTGTGATAGCCCAGCTCCTGTCGATACCCCAGTCCTCTTCTCTTCCATCAATCAGACAGGAACAGGAACCGAAGCACCCGAAGCACCTGAAGCTGCTCATTCCGATGATTCCCACATGTTGGCACTTGATATTGACGCCTTGCTTAAATCAAATACCCCCAGTGATCTCCTTCAACTATTTTCGGCAAACTTAATCAAACAACGTGCTGGAGCATCTAGGCCTTAGGTGCAAAATAATCAGCCGGCACCCCTCATTCCCACTTCCAGACCCTCGTGCCAATGCAACATCCTTGTTGCTTGATCAATCCGTCCCCCCCACCATTTCACCCCCTGAATCCGCACTCCCTCCTCTCATTGATCTCTTAATGGCAGGGATGGCTCCAACAACTGCAACCCCGACATTCCCAGATGCCTCTGCAATTGAGGGTCTCCTGTTTGAATACAATCAAGTTGTTCATCCAGAGGATCCAGATGTGTCTGGCAAAATTGTGGACCCGGGTGATCCAGGCAACCTTGTCCCAGAATACGACTCTTCAGATGACATGGATGTTGAGGTGGATGTTAAGGTTGAAGCATCTTCTGAGGAGGTTGACATGACTATATAATTGCATAGTGATAGATGTATATACAATTTGTTTCACTGAATGTTACCTCTGCCAGTCCATTTATCAAATCACTGAGTTTCGAGTACTGAGCCCCAAAACCCGAGACCCAAAGCCCGAACATCACACTCAACACCCGAAATTCGAACATTGAAACTTACACTTTGAAACTCGAAACTTGACACATTTTTACGAGTTTCGAGTTTAGAGTCTCGAATCACCGAGTCCCAAGTCCTGAAACTCCAACGTTAAAACTCTTGACTCTTCACCAAGTGCCGATTACTGAGTACCGACACCCGAAATCTCATGCAAACATTTCTGGGAGATGATTTTCGACTCCCGAGATGCAACATTTGGGTTTTGGGACTCGGGACCTGGGACTTGGTGATTCAAGACTTGAAACTCAAAACTCATAAAAATGTGTTGAGTTTCGAGTCTCGAGTTTTGAAGTTTGAAGTTTGATGTTTGAGTTTTGAGTTTTGAGTTGGAAGACTTTGCACTTTTGTTGTACACATCTACTATGGATTTCGGACCCCTCGCTGGGACAACAATGTCTGTAACTTCGACACTGCTGGTCTAATATCTACTTGATGACGATGGTTCAATTGATGAGCACTGGCAAAATGTGACTGTGATTGTTATCGGTATCACTCGTCACTGAGTCTGAGTTGAAACGAGGCAGCGCTCCAGTTCTCTGTCAGCGCTTTTGAGGATTTAGTATACTAATACTATATGATACGTATCTGGGCCCACCCGTCTATCTAATATTACCACACGTTGGCCCACCTGGCTATGTAAAATACCCTGGTTCGGCCCACCTGTCTATTTAATACACCCCCATGTCGGCCCACCTGTCTATGTAATAAATAATTCACCTCAGCCCACCTGTCTATCTAATATTAACCCACATCGGCCCACCCATCTATATGATAAATATTTCACCACACCCTCAGCCCACCTGTCTATCTAATATACCCCCATGTCGGCCCACCCGTCTATGTGATAAACTGTCTCTCGGCCCACCCGTACATCTAATATACCCCTACATCGGCCCACCTGTATATCTAATATACCCCTACATTGGCCCACCCGTATATCTAATATACCCCTACATCGGCCCACCCGTCTATATAATAATATGTGCTATACATCTCTCTTCAGCCCAGCTGTCTATAATATATGTCCATCCTGCTCTAGATATTACCCAGATGGGCCCACCCATCTCCATCGGTAATAATATTTCTCCCAGCCCATCCGCCATCATCGAGGATATTTAGAACATAGGTGTAGATGGGCCCACCCATCCCCATCAGAAATAATATCCCTCCTGGCCCACCCATCAACATTGGGGATATACATAACATCGGCCCATAGTCCACTGGCCCGTCTTACACGGGATATTATGTAGGTTGGGTGACCCGTATAATATGGAGTTTGTCACTGAAGGGGCCCATATCACAGCCTCAAGAAGGCCGAGAAGGAGACACTTATCAAGGAATTTGACCAGGTTAAGACCAGCGCAAGCCACCATCCTCCCACCATAACTGCTCGTTCATGCGCAGCTGAGTGTGCACATAGTTTTCAATTTGTTAAGGAGGAGGTACATAAATTGCATGCTAAATTTACATAGTACTAATTGTTACAACAATGGTTGTAGTCGGACTGGGATGGGTAAACAAAGGAGGACACTCCTAAGTTATCAGTTGGTATCAGTTGGTGTCAGTATACCCGGTAGCCTAAGCCATTGGGTTATGACAGGAAGAAAGGTAAGCTTCTAAGATGTGCACCAAAGAAGGGTTTTGTGTTCGACAATTAAATCTAGACAAGGGATCAGTATCGACTCAAAGATAGACAGTTTAAGAGAAAAGAGGTATCAACTCAAGGATAGCAATCCAAGAGTATAGAGGTTTTGTGATCAGACTCAAGAGAATATAGTTGTCAAGGTAAAACCCAGTAGAATCAAGTTAAGGAATAATAGTACAAGTGGACCGACTATATATAGGGAATGACTACAGTGTTCAGGGCAGGTCTGCTAATCACAAGAGAGTCAGGAAGGATATATCAGGTAGGCGGGATCAAGCCAGGAGTCCATGAGGTCAGGGAACATCAAGGGAAATGGAAGTACAGGCCATGAGGCCATAGATCAAGGGTCCAAGGGAAGCATATAGCTTCTGTCACAGATGGACAGGGTTGGTGGGGATCAGGAAGTGTGCATCAAGCATCATGGTGAGTTGTGAAGAGGTGATAGTGTGACATTGTGACAAGGTGAAGAGGTGAAAGGGTCAGAAAAAGATACAGGGGCCATGTTACTGTAACACTAATACTGCATCAACAGCTTGACACTTTAAAGCAGTGTGTGGGTGTAGAGGCCATAGTCCTCATGGTCCGTGGGGTTTCCGACTTCGCCATGGCACGAAAAGCATTTTTTCAAGTGCTGCTGCTGAGCAGTTCATTTGCTTATATCTACGCAAGGACGTTGTGCAGCTTGCTACAGAGTTTGAAAGCACCATCCTGGCTAATGGTGTCATCCTCAGTGTGTCCTTTCTTTGATTTATTTTTTCAACTCTAACCACGTACATGTACATATAGCTTCAGCTATGAATCATCACGACCATGTTTCGAAAGCAAAGAATTCAATTAAATTCAACCTCCGTGTATCTATGTGTAAGTATGAAGTTATTGCTTGTGTCACTTGCGCTGACTCAATTCACAGGTGAACTCACTGGTGATGCAAAAGTGTTATGCTAAGAGTGTAGACTCAGGTGGGAACTCTGAGCTAAATCTCAGGAGAGACATTGATAGAACAGAGGGTCATTTGTATTGTTTGTATCTAGACTTGGTGACAAGAGTCAGCGAGTCAAGATAAGGTTAAGTGGTATTGATCGAGTATCAGATACAAGGACAAATAGTCCAAGCAAAGTCAAGTAATACAAGAGCGATCCTGCTCAAGGAAGGTCTATCAGAATACTGAGTAGATTCAAGTTAAGGACTACAGGACAAGTAGATCGACTACTTATAGGTAATGATACTTCAGGGCAGGACTACTGAATCAATGGTAAGGGTACAGGGTACAAGATAAGAGATAAGATGGTGATCAGAGATGCTGTACAAGAAGATGATGGGGACGTCACAAGGCAGTACAAGGTGAGAGAAAAAGATAGGGGGGTACAGTCTGAAGTATGTTATCATAACAAAAAGCCTCTGTCGAATTCATGCACTACGAGGATGGTGTGATCCAGCGCTATTTGGTAAAGCTTGTTGGATAGAACCACCTGCAATGGGTCAATCCTTCGGATCTAAAAGGAGGCATAAACACCCTTGAGAAAGTGGCAGAGGCCTTGTCAAAGATGACATGCTGTTTCGTCAAGATCACTCAAGATGAGGTCGAAGAACAGCAGCACCGTATTGCTGCTGGGGAGAAACTCACCCCAGAGTTGGAACCACCTGTTCCTCTCGACGACATTCCCAAACCACTCATTCCTCTCGATGATGTTCCAAATGAAATTGTTAAGACTGTGCTCAAAGGGCGGATCCGAAGGGCTTGGCTTCAGCTCGTGCGCTGCGCCCCTTACCCGAGTACGTGCCCTTAATTTCCGAAGGCTAGAAACAAAGTCCGAGGGAGGATGATGAATCCTGGTGGACTTCAAGGGGACAAGTCTGGTAGGCTTTTCGAGGAAGAGTCAGGCCGATGTTCAGGGGGTTAGTCCGGCCGACGTAAGGAGGGTTCGTCGGCCGACGTAAGGAGGGTTCGTCCGGCTGATCATAGGGTTAGTCCAGCTGACATAAGAGGATTAGTCCGGCCGACATGAAGGGGGTTCGTCGGCCGACATAAGGAGGGTTAGTCCGGCCGACATAAGAGGATTAGTCCGGCCGACATAAGAGGATTAGTCCGGCCGACATAAGGGGATTAGTCCGGCTGACATAAGAGGATTAGTCCGGCCGACGCAAGGAGGGTTTGTCCGGCCGACATAAGAGGATTAGTCCGGCTGACATAAGAGGATTAGTCCGGCCGGACAATAGGGGCTTAGTACACCCGGAGAATAGGGGCTTTAGTCCGGCGGACGTGGGGGACAGAACAGACAGGTATAAGGACAGAAAGACAGGAAGTCCGAGAGGACAGGATGTCCGAAAGGACAGAAGGACAGGATGTCCGAAAGGACAGAAGCTAGAGGTAAGACTACACTAGACAATGTCCAGAGTAGAAACTGACAGAGGTAGACTACCCGAAGGTAGAGGCAGAGTATAGCCCGAGGAATCAATCCCAGGACACAGAGGTTGGACAGGGAAGTGGACCCGGGCCCATGGAAATGGACCCGGGCCCGAGGAAACAGGAATGAGGATAATCTAAGGTGATATTTGAACTGAGGAAACTACTATGAGTTTACAAGGTATTATATACTATGGACATGTGCGACAGGGACGGAGTCAGTGGAGATCCGGGTCAACGCAAGGAACATATGGAAAGGTTAAACTGACAGGTGCAAGGAAAATGATACAGGAACAGAGACGGAGATGAAGTATCGAATGGATCTGGGCATAGGAGGTATGCTCGAGAATGAAGTCGGATATTAACTGTCAAACAGATCCGGGCTTATAGGGGTTAGGACAAGGGGACTATACAAATGGGGGTAACAGAATAGGAGCAGGACCGGAAATGAACTGTCAAGCGGATCATGGGAAATGGAGACGGAGATGAACTGTGAAGTGGATCCGATGTTTTAGGGGTTAAGTGAACCTGGGTAGTGCTGCCGCAGTCCGGTCCTGAACCTCGGTTCGAACCCGAACCTTTCCGAACCGGACTCAAGGTCCGGTCACAGGTCCGGCGTGGCCCCTGGACCGAACCTCCAAACAGGTTCGGGGTTCGGGGTTACCCAGAACCGGTTCGAACGCGTCCGAACCTATTCGAACTTATATTTTGTCGTCCAGCTGCCATCAACAATTGCTTGCGTTCAAAAATGAATAACGGTCTTTTCTATCATATCCGAGATTGCAGCAACCACTTTGCGGGAGTATTCGGCTGACGATATCGCAGCAGCCAAGAGTCTGCAGTCCTTGACGGTGCGTCACCTTTTTGGTCACGGTTGTACGAGGGCAATATAATAACAGATATACCACGCACCACCAGTACCTATGCAGTGCGTATGAGTTTCTGAAACCCTTTTTCCTGGTGTTAACTTGGCAGGTCAGCATCGATGACTGCATTCTGGGTGGGCTTGTTCAGATCTATTCCCGTCCGCAGCTAAACTTGTTGATCCAGACCTATGATTATGCTTGTTCACTACACGAAGAGGTAATGCGCTCGTTCTGTAATACACCTCGGTATTGATATATGCTGTTCAAAGTGTACATTCCTCCTTCAATCACGCTGGACCAAGGTAAAAGGCCTTTATGTCATCACATGACATGCCTCCTTTGCTTCCTCGCCGCCGAGCTATCTTGTGCGTTCGGCTCCAGCACACATCCCCCGATGGTGAACTGACATATTGTGCTTCAGAGTACTTCACCCCGAACGGGAACCCCTACGTATGTGAACATGCAGCAGACTGACTTATTGATGAATGTTGCTTACTGCGTGACTTGACAGAATGCCGGATACCGTCCAATTTTTACTCAATCTAATTCATCTAGTGTTTTTTGTGATCAGAACATATGCGCTCTGGAACAACAATAGAATCGCACTCGCAGCAATGTTGTCCGCCTTTCTTGTAAGTCCCCTCACTATCTCCATATCCAAAGCTCGCGGTACATGAACTAGTCAGGCTGCTGCGGTTGGATATATCGTCATTTTTTCCATCACCGCTATCACATCACAAGGTTTGTGCCCTCACTTCCCCCACTACTATTCGCACATACTCACTCCACTTTCACAGTTGCGACCATCGCAATTCCAGGCATCACAGGCAGCTCTGTTAGTTTGATCTGCACGTCACGTCTTTGGCATGTTCACCTCTTGTATTTTTACCGTGAACGGCAACAAGCAGGCCCACTCGATATGGTGTCTCATTGGCGCGGGTCTGCTGTTCTCCTTTCCCATGATCTACCTGCGCGTCAAAGATACGACTGTTATCGAGGATGAGGGCTTGTGCGTGTCCCTTCTTATTTCGTGTGTTACTAGCTTATGATCCATGACCCCAAGATCGTCGAAGTCGGCGAAGGTGTGTTTATTGGACTCGGGTCAACACAAAGTAAGCCAGTTTGTGTTTTGTATAGCAAGCCGCGGCCTAAGCCTAGGCCGAGCCTGCGTGCTTCCGTCGTTCGAGCTGCTCACACCATGCTGTCATAGTCGCTCCCACCACCTGCTCAGTGCTTGCTGCTGAAGAGGTTCGAGGCACCTGACCCCCGAAAATTGGCATGGCATGGCACACAATTTGTTTTTTTATATTTTATGCTAATTAATGAGAAATTTGACGGTTCGAACCGGTTCTGAACCTGAACTGGACCTTATGAATGGTCCGGTCCAGGGTTCACCCTCCTTGCCTGAACCAGACCGAAGGTTCGGTTCTGGGTTCGACAAAACACCCCCAAGAACTGGACCGAACCGGACTTCGGCAGCACTAAACCTGGGTCCGAAGCTCAGGATCTGAGTAGGTCCGATGTTTTAGGGTCCGATGCTTAGGGGTTAAGTGGACCCGAGCGGGTCTGACGTATAGGATGTCCGACGAATACAGGAGGAGTGGAGGAGTGGAGGAGTGGACGAGCGGACGACATGAGTGGGATCCGACGAATAGGACATCCGACGAATAGGACGTCCGACGAATAGGAGATCCGAGGTATGCAGGAGGAGGACCGATGAATAGGACGTCCGACGTATATGGGAAACAGGGCAGATCCTGCTGAGGGGTATGTCCGGTGGAGACTGGGATGCGGAGTTATCCTGCCGAGGGGTAGGGATAGGGTTAAGGTATAGCTTGGCTACATTTCGGAGGTCTGGACATTGTTTGTTGGGAGAGATGGGATATGATTCAGGGGCTCAGTGTACGGTATATGACAGAAATGACAAGTCCGGGAATAGGACCATCCCCGGACCCATACTCCTTGGCTACATGAGACTACCTGGATGTTAGATAAGAAAAAACACAAAAAAAGAAAAATACATACCACAAGTGTACCAACCTGTTTTCCCAGAGCTGAGTGTCTGGGACTTGGGGGAATCTGCCAGGTGGCACTGATGATGGGCATGATCTGGGCAGTGAATGCCTTGAGATCGGTCAAAGAGTTGTCAACTGGAGTAGACATGATGAGTGAGTTGAGAGATTTAAAGATCTTGAAATCAGATTGAAATCAGTTATCAGAAAGATGAAGTTTCAAAACAAACAACACATTTGATGGACGATCTATAAAATCATTGATTGATTGTGTTTGTTTGGTCATGGTTCAACTTTCGGCAATTGCCGGTTTTGTGTTGAACTTTGAAGTTTTTTCAATTATCAGTCAACAAGTCAATCAATTCCCCACACAACATGAGCCCTCAGTCAACCGTGCAATTTAATGACCCTCCAGTGACCGACTACAATTCAATGGATGTGGATGAGTCATTTGTGTCCCAGGTATCACTAGGTATGTTGTATTCTTATCATGCCTTATCTATTTACCAGGTATCCCTTAGATGACTTATACCTTGGGTCAGATGATGACATAGAATATGATTCTGTGTCATCCGGACCACCGGATGCGTTGGCTGCAATACCCAGTACATTTATACATTGATTAGAATCAGGGATCACCTTGCATGCTCACTTCACCCTTGAAGATCAATCACCTCCGGCTCAGGCTGATGATTCTGGCTGTATCATTGATCCAGACTTGTAGCTCGGGCCTGAGGATGATGTCATTGATGTTGATGAGTTGCCAAATTCTGCTGATCCTCCCATGTTTGCTCCGGCAACCTCAGAAGTATCTATGTCATGTGAGTCCATTCATTCCAGACGATTATCAATACTTATTTTATCTCCCAAGCAGACAAAAAATCTACTGAACTTCATTCAGAGCAGCTGGAGCTCAATAACGAAGATTTATGTTTGATGAGCCAGGAGTTCCGACCATTTGGGTCATACCAACATACAGGGTTTGAGTATCTGACTTAGTGAATCATTTATCTTTGTACTAATTGTTCTGGAAGTGAAATCCGTCCAAGATCGACTCACCAATTACAAACACCGTACTGGGGATCTTCCTGATCCTTCAACACTACTACTCGAGGCCGAGAGACCCTTCCAGACGGCTTGGGCAGATACTTCCGACAAACTTAGAAAAGCTGATGCAGACCTCCAGAGGTTGCAAAGAGCTCAAAAGATGACTCTTGAGATGCTCAAGGTAGTAGATTCCATAATCAGTCAGTTTGAAGATCAGATTTAAATGTCAATTACTGAATTTCTGATAGTATTCAACTCATATGTAAACTTCTGAATTTTCATTAACATTCCACCTAAGTATAATTCTCACTTTCCCTCACCAAGTTCCAAGTCTCAAATACCAAAGTATAATTTTCGCTTTGGCTCACCAAATCCCGTATGTTGAACACGGAAGTTCAATCTCGATGGTCAGTCCTCGATATTTGACGGTTGGGTCTCGATAGTCGGGCCTCAATAATTGATAATTGGGTCTTGATATTCGGTGATCAGAACTCGATAGGAAATCGATAGTCGGGCCTCAATCTTCAATATTCGGATGTCGATATTCAATAATCGGAACTCAATAGTCGGGCCTCGATAGTTGGGCCTCAATATTCAATATTCAGATCAGTATCAAAAACAGAAGTTCAATTCTGACTTTGGCTCACTGAGTCCCGATTCTTGAGCAACAAATAGATATTGAGTAACATTGACATGTACATAAAGGCAGGCAGTGTAGTATAAGTCCATTACTTCTTTCTCCTCGCTCTAGTCACTTGAGGGCTAGTGTCCAATGGCTGTTGTGTTGACTTACTCCGGGTTGTCCTCACCAATGGCTCAATCACTGCTTTCTTTCCCCGCATGTTCTTCGGCGCTGGCGACCTATTGATTCCTTTGGTTGCACCATCCTCCTGAACATTGCCGGTGACTCTCTCAGTCAGCCCAGCCAGGAGGTCGCCCATTCGCAATGTCAGCAGTGCACCAGTTTTCCATGCATTGACCGGGTGAGGCTTTGTAATTGCACGTGGGACTGCTGTCCCTTCATGTGCTGTTGAAGGACCAGGCTCTGTTCTGGGTCTCTTTTGCGGGGATCTACCTTCCACTGCGTCATCATCAGCATCATCCTCCATGTGATGAAAGTCACCCTCGGGATTACTCTCGGGATCACTGTCAGTTTCGGTCGCTGAATTCCAAGGCCTTAGGATCATATCTCTGCTGACTTTACGAGTCCGATGAGAAGGTGAATTCCCAGATACAACCGAGGCTACCATGTCCCCATCTCTGTTCTTCCATCTCTGTTCTTCCATGCTTTGAACAGGAATATTGGACCATTGCCTTTCTCCTGCCGAGCATACCAGAAATTCAGTAAGGCGGTTGTGTCCAAATGTTGCAACTTCGAAGGCTCCTTCAAGTCCACATCCACCGGAACATACTTTCTTGCCACAAAGTCATCCTGACTTTGTATGATGGCGCTCCATGGCACAACTGCCTTGTCAATCCCGGAACAAATACCTGTATACATGCATTCAACAAATTTTTGGGTGTTGCGAAGATAGACTCATGATAGTGCTATGTAAGAAATGCCCTGACTATGGCCTTCTTCTCCTCGAGTTTCATTTTGGTGATGTCTGGAAGCACCGGCATCCCATCTCCATCGGTTTTGAGTTTAAAAACAAGCTTTCTGATTCTCTTTTGACCTCCCTTCACCTGTCACCCTCCATCCTGTGCCCCGGCACCTATCATCATGAAGATCAATCAATTACTTCCAGTAGTGAGATTCAAACACTCACCAAACTGTTCCTGTGCGTACCCCTGCCAAACTGGCTCGATGTCCTCCCAGTCCTTTGTCTTCATGAACTGTCCCCATCTCCTAATGCCTCATTATCATCGTGCCTGCATGAAATGTATTGAGATCAAAGATCTGCGATGACAAAATTGACTTACATCCCGAACAGCACCTCTCCCTATTCATTCTTCCACACCGACATCACAAACACGCTCATCCCCGCATTGCCTCCACATCTCCTTTGAAAAGTGCTCTATATATGCTGGTCCCTTCTTACGAGCCACTTGTGCTTGTATCTTGGGAGGCAGAAAGTTGTTCGACCATTCTTCGGCTGTTTCCTTCGCCTTCTCCAACTCATTGTCGGACAATTCAGCCATGACTCTCTTTACAGCCGCCTGATAATGCTTGAACATACCGGGACCTCCTGGCTTTGCCCCGGACTCATTCTCAATCCTCTTCAGCACCTCTTCCCACTTCTGCTGGTAGATCACTTGCCTAGGAGTCCATTTCCTCCCATACTTTATCATGTCCTTCCTCTCCTTTTTTTTCTTGTTGTTGAACAATCATGTCTTGTACATCTGAGAGTTCATGGAAGAATAAGATGTTCAAATTTTAGTTTTTCAACAAAGCAAGGATGAATCACCTGCTTCCTCTTCTTCCATTGTGCTTGGTCGACCTTGGGAGCAAATAGCCTGGCAGCCCTAGCTATGGCAGTGAAAACTGCCCGCTTCTCATTCCTTTTCGCCAAAGTCCACTCAGGAAGGTAGTTCTTCAACTCCGAAATTTCATTTTCCATGAGCTTCTGTGTCTGTGGTTGATGCACCCTATGTCTTCCAGAAGTGGAAGTCAACTGAGTGGAATGACCTGATCTTGCCATTGTGAATGAGATTGCAGAAAGGGCTGAGGATGAGCAAGGTGGAAGTAATAATGGTGACAAGCTGAACTTTGAGCAAAGCCTAACAGTAGGTTAATTGACCCATATTGGACACAATTCCATTAATGGAAATGAATTTGTAATGACACATCAAGACTGCATAACATCACATTGCAATAACAATTTATTCACATTCCTGAGCTAATGTTTTGCTTGCAGCCTTAGAAAATAAGATGAAGATAGGTAGATGCACCCCACTGCAAAAATCCCACAGGGTAGAAGCAAGGGGCAGCAAAGGTAGGAAAACTTGGGTCAAGGTCCCACTTGCAAGCACAAAAGACATGCCTACAGGTCCATGCCTAACTCTCCCCCAGAATCACCAACACTTCAGCCTGTTGAGGCACCACCTCTTTGGGAAGACATTCCTGACAATACTTACAAGCATGACTAAGGCTCATTTGAGCCTTTGCAACTCCCAAAAACCATGGCAAGTTCATGTAAAATGTTGCATTGTAATTCAAATGATAGCTAAGTATAACAGATGCAGAGTCAGAACGACTACCTCAGGCAATGGCTGCCAAGGCAGGAATCATATCTACATCACCTCCTGGATCGAGCAGCTCCACCAGAAGATAGGAGATGTGCCGTCTGCGACCAGGATGGGGTCTACAAATGTCAAGATTGTCTTGGGGAGCCACTCTATTGCACTGGCTGTTGCAGAAGTCAACATCGTTGCAATCCCTTCCACTGGATCAGTTAATGGAATGGTCAATTCTTCGAGCAAAGTTGTCTTACTCACGTCAGACTCGTCATACACCTCGGTCATGAGGGCAAACAATGTCCAGTACTTACAGATAGGTGGGATTTGTTCAATGAAGATGAACCTGAAGACCAGCTTGAGCCTGAAGATCTACCATCTGTGTCGGGACCCGAGTTCCAGCCGAAGGAAAACATTATGGTCATTGTTGTGTCGGAAATTTCCAGGGACCATTTCAAGGCCTCATAATACATTTTAAGGCCTGATTTTCACACACTGTATTTTAAGGCATTGCAATGATGGAGATAATATTTAATGGCGCCTTAAAAGGTCATTGTTCCCACCTTATGATGCCTTAAAAGGGTACCCCTCACGGGGAATATCATGTAAGCTTTGCAAGGTCTTGAAAGGGTTGGCGCAAAAATTGAAGATAAAAATAGGTTTTCCAATGTTCCCGGATGTATTCCAATCTTGACCGATCATTATCTAATGCTATCTAATCATATTGTAATCGTAATCACTTTATCTAATCGTATTCCAATCTTGATCATCATTATCTAATGCTACCTATTACTATTTTAACTTCGACCATTTTATTTGAAGTTGAACTATTGTACTTGGAGGGATTCGAACGCTCGCCATTAGCATTATTTGAAGTATTATAATTCATAGTACTCACCGGCATAGTTACCGCTTGGTTATTAGGCCTCAGAATACCTTGAAACCTGCTTCGCTATATAGGGTATTTGAGTACCTTATAAGGATACTACTGAGATTGTCAGAATTCCGACAAGAAACAAACATAATTCAACCTATGCGTGTAAAATGAGATACAACAAATCTAAGAGCCTTACGAAGACACAACAAAATACGACGTAGCGACGACAAGATCATATATCAGCGCTTTCCCCTCCCTTTTCCCTTAGGTCCAGGTTTACTAGCAACTTCCCGGTTGCTGCCACCATGACGAGTAACACGCTTGACTGGTTCAGGCTCGGGTGCATGGGCTGGCTCACCGGAAGCAGTGCGAACTCGAGGTTGATGAGCAGACACACTGCGAATTGCTGATGCGGTTGTCTCAGCGACGGCGCCACTGTCCAGCGTCAACTGACTAACACCCAACTGCAACTGTGCAGTTGCAGATGTGGACGGACCATGGTTGACGGATATGGAAGCGCGGTAACTGGAGGCGACATCGACCACTGCTGAGCTAGTAGGGAGGGAAGTGAGAGCAGACGGTATCTGAACGGGAGCATCAAGCTCATCTAGGAGGTCATCCTCCCATGTTCGAGCTTGAGTGGCAGAAGGAAAGTCGTCAGAAGTTGGTACTAGACTGCGACTGGTAACGTCAAAGACCTCCTTGTTGAAGAAATCTATGACACTACAGGCCCATGGTGTGCGCTTGAACAAGCGCTCCAAGTAGAAATTGTAGTCTGCTTGATAACTGATCTTGGTCTCTGCGCCAGTCGCAGTGAACTCAGGATCATGCGTCAACAAAAACCGAGCCTATGAATTGGAGTAATCAGTAGTAGAAAATGACAATATAAGACAACGCGCTCGCTCACCATAACTGCAGCACCTGCAATTAAACCTTCAGTGACACATTGTGCATTGCAGCGCTGTCCTCTAGCCTTCTGACCCTTGGTCTTTCCAGAAAGGATCTTTTTCCCATACATTTCAACACGAATGATCTGGAATGAATGTTGTCAGCATACCGGTCTTTCATATTAGAGTGTGTACTTACTTTGACAAGTACAGGATTCTTGAGGAACTCCTTGGCCACCATGGTGTCTGGCCTCGCAAACAGAATGGGTGCCAGCCGAATGTACTCTCCCTCGCCATTCTTCTTCAGCAGATGAAGTAGATCGTGGTCGTCCCGCTTTCTGGTATCTGTCTGAGATGAAAAGAGAGTGGGATCGAGCTTGAGTGTTGAGAAGATGAGACTTGCACAGCTCTTGATAGTATGCACAATATTTGACCGCTCAGCACTAACTGCGGCACGAAACTGAGAAGAAATATCAGGTAAGTAGGTTGTAGGACAGAAAGAGGTGAAAGAACGTACCAGAGAATCAAATGCCGTATATTTCTCCATGGATTTGTGCAAGTCCTTGGACACACAGTTATATAATTCCGCCATGGCACCATTGAGTTTGGCCTCAGGAGATGCCCAACGTGTAGGACTATGTGGGTCATTGTCAGGCTGAGGAGTTGTTGGGAAGACGCCAGGGATGACCCAGAAATGATAGAACAACGTGTACTTCTTCCCTTCGGCAGTGATTTTCATGTCGAGAGCGGATGTCTTATTGAGTGCACGGTTACGGCTGCGGGCAGGAACAGTAGCCGAGAGCACAAGGTAGTCCTTCTTGAGAGCTTTGAACTCAACTCGTAGTGAGTTGTATGCTTGCTGTGCAGTTTCGAGTGCCTAATTATTAGATACATTGAGATTACGTCAGGTCGAGTAATAGAATAGCAGAATGAATGTACTTGCCTTGTGAACCTCGTGCATGGGTGCTTCCGGTCGAGGGACAGTGAGGATTGTCCTCAATGTTTCAAGCTCATCGCCGCTTGGGTCTTCGCCGTCTGATGCTTCGTCGACATCACTAACGGCATCATTCTCGGCCTCAAAGTTCTCGCCATCAGAATCATCGAAAGTCTGAATCTGGGGCATTTTGAAACTAAGGCTGTGATGAGCTGTTACTAGTGAGGATCGTTGACGGTACAGAAACAAACCTGCGTGCTCCAAGGTTATAAGGAGAATGCTATCCTTGCGTCGGTTATTGATGTGGTGCTGCTGACGTCTATTGGCATGATGATGAGCGGTGATAATGATAGCGAGATACATTAACAAAACTTACCCGTGCATCAATGCATCAAATTGCACCCTTCGTACGTACTTTGACACGAGCAGTATACCGAAAAAGCATTAGCCGACAATGATGCGTAAAGATACCAATAGGCTTACCATGAGTGACCTGTCCAAAAACCGCCTGGTGCTCTTTGTGGTGTCTCATAAAGCGGACTCAGAAGGCTCTAAGGTGGGGCGCTGATGAGCATCGTGGAAGATGCAGCGCAGGGGCCTCGAGGCAACATGCATGGTTATTACTGCTGTTGCGGTTGAGTTGCTGGCGAGATTGGAGGAGATCCATAGGGAGGGGGGTGATTGAGGCTGTGACCGTCGTTAACAGTGCTGTTGCTGCTGCTGCTGCTGCTGCTGCTGCTGCTGTTGTTGTTGGTGCGGCGGCGGCAGTTTCTGGTTGTGGTTGCAGTTGTTCGCGAGATTGGAGGAGATAGAGAGGGAGGGGGGTTACAGAGGCCGTGACCGTCATGAACAGTGCTGCTGCTGTTGCTGTTGCTGTTGCTGCTGCTGCTGCTGCTGCTGCTGCTGCTGCTGTTGTTGTGGCGGTGGCGGTTTTTGGTTGTGGTTGTGGTTGTCGGCGAGATTGGAGGAGATAGAGAGGGAGGGGGGTCACAGAGGCCGCGACTGTCACGAACAATGCTGCTGCTGCTGTTGTTGCAGTGGTGGCGGTTTTTGGTTGTGGTTGTGGTTGTCAGCGAGATTGGAGGAGATAGAGAGGGAGGGGGGTTACAGAGGCCGCGACTGTCACGAACAGTGCTGCTGCCGCTGTTGTTGCTGTTGTTGCTGCTGCTGTTGTTGATGCTGCTGCTGCATCTGTTGTTGTTGCGGCGGTGGCGGTTTTTGGTTGTGGTTGTGGTTATTGGCGAGATTGGAGGAGATAGAGAGGGAGGGGGGGTAACAGAGGCCGCGAACGCCATGAACTGTGCTGCTGCTGTTGGTGTTGGTGTTGTTGTTGTTGTTGTTGTTGCTGCTGCTGTGGTTGCGGTTGCGGTTGCGGTTGTGATTGTGATTGGTTGGCTAGTTAATGAAGTCAGAATAGTAGACACGAAATTCGAGTAATACTTACATGTGTCAACGCGCCCAGGTCTTCATACGGACGAACATATCACTATCAACATGTTCGACAACCAAATACTCGCCTTGGTGTTGAGGATCGGGAGACAAAAGGGCTCCTCGAATGAAGGACTTGAGCGGGACAATAATTGAATCAGCTCTGGGGACTGCTTTGACCCGAGTAAGCCTCAGGTCTCGGTCAATCCTGCGTGAACCGCCAACAATCCCAGCGGTATAAGGCTGAACGAGTGCGAATTGAAAAGCGCCAACATCTGGAACTTCACATTTAAACATTAGTATGAGCCGTACGAAGATGGCCCTTTCTGCGGTAAGCTGGATGAGCGCACAATCGAAGCGCGGGTGTCCATGGAAAGATGGATTGCACCAGAGGTGGTCTGTTGACTGCCTCCAGTCAACGGCATTCTCATAATTAACCTTGACGTAGCGATGCTCATAGATCTGAATGATATATCATAATAAGTTAGTGTGATGAAGAACAATCAATCTACGTACCTGGAAATCAGCCGGAATGGTCACCCATCTCGTCAACTGGTACCCATAGGTTGGCAGTGACGTGTTGATGAAATCAGTAAATTTCCTGCGGAAGCCTTGAAATGCTCGATCCTGGACGCCCAGCCTCATTTCAATATCCTGGATAGTAGAGCAATTTTGAGGAGAGCCGAGCTTGATGTGTCCATCAAAGGCAATGTGGCCAATGTCATCCTCATCCGCGGATTCACCCAAGGCCTGCAGGCGATGCTGTTCGTCGAGTGTATCCACACGTCCTCGCAAAAGCAAGGACGCGCATTTATGGTGATCCACACGAAGTATCTACAATTGTACATAACATATTAACGGTATAATAGCATGAAAAATGAATGAATGCGCATACCTGTTTAGCAACATCTTTGCCGTTTGAGCGACGAAGATAGGCTGTTTTGAGGGGACCGTGGAGTTTTTCATTAGGGCGCGTACTGAAATTACGCGCTGCACCTTTCCTTGTGATATCGCGTCGTGCGTGTATCCAAATATGTGCCTTCGGGAAGTTCCAGTCTGTCTTGAGACCTTCAATGGATGAAGTTGTAGCATATTCCACATAGTCCTGAGATCTAGTCAGTAAGGATAATTCAATGAAAAGTGAAAAGGTCACCTTGAGAGCAGCATCAAAGGCAAGGAATTCGGCATCTAACATTGCAAGTGTCTGCTCTGTATGCACGTCAAGCCCGATCAAGCTGTCCAGCTGTAAATAGCTGCAAATGACACGAAGAAGGCGATAGCCTTCTGAGCTGGCCCTGCGTGTCAAAACGGAGAGCGCTGCATAGAACGCTTGCTTTACAATAGTTAGCCAAGCATATCTATTAATACTCTTGTTTGTACTTACCATGACCAGATCGCGCTTCTTGTTACCATCGGTAAATGTGACGTGGATGACGGTCGTGAAATGAGTGAGATGACACCATCGAGGGAACTCCTCGACACTGAAAGTAGGTGTAGAGTGATGTCAATACAGTAGAGACAAAGAAACTTACAATTTCTCAACTGCCGCTTGGGCTTCACGTCCAAGATCATCAAGAATCGTCTTTAACTCTCCCAACAAATGGTGCCCTCCCATACCGCTATGCACTGTATGCAACCTGTCAATGCTCAGTGCATCGTGAGGGTCGGAGCGCTCAATAGACCAGAATACATTCTGAATGTAATGTGTTAGTAGAATAGATTAGTAGAATGTAAACGCATGACTTACAGTAACCGGGCGTAATCCTAGCACTTTCAAAAGCTGCTCGCCTTGAGTTTTGTTGCGTCTGTAAACCTCGAGCGCAGCCTGCGCATCCTTTGGGGACCTGATTGCGAATGTCTTGGACAAGTCGGAAAGTTCTTCGAGAGGCACAAGGCACACGGGACATGGGCATTTGCATTGCACACCACGAATAAGAGACATCATGCATCTATTAACGATTGGAGGCTGTATGTGAGTCTAGTAGACATTAATAAGTGGCGCACTCACTGCTCTTCGTAATCTGCGGAAAGTATTAGTATTACAGGGAATAACCAGCGCATTATTTTGTCGTAGCACGTATACGAATATCCGGTCTTTGAATAGTGCGCGAGGTTGAAAAAAAGCTTGATGAGCGATTCGTGCCATACGACACGCTTAACGTTGATGTATCCCGGTTTCCCGTGTTCAGATGCTTCTTCGTCAATCTGCGATATAAATAATGTTATTCATAAGATTCAGTGGGGCATCACTGATGAGCGCTGACTCACAATTGGTAGCCAACCAACAACCCGACCACCGCCAATCCCCTCGCCATTTCGAATGTCCACGGGTAGATTTGCACAGCGAGCCACAACCGGGTATCCTTTCACAGTGCCATGCGAAGACAGCTTGGTCTTGTCTGCATACAGGATGAAGCAAAAAGGGGCAGCATTGGCGAGATCTGATGGGAGATGCGACTGATTACATAGACACGATCACTGCACATGAATATACATAAATATCGAACATAGTATTAACATACTTGGATATCCCACCACCGGTCCCCTGTCCACGGTTCACTGAAGAAACGCTCAAAGTTCGTTCCATTGTGTTTGTAGACGCGCTGCGCATCCCAAACAAAATATGGTGCGAGTAGCGGGTTTTCCAAAAGGTCAAGGGCCCAGTCCCATAACGGCCTTGCGTGTACCTCGAAAACTTGTTGCTCCTTCTTGTATGGTACCGTAATTTCATGTTTGGTAAACTATATAACAACCTAAGCAGTCAGACAAGTATCGCGCGTCGATTCAAAAAAAATACATACCGGTGTCAACTCGGCCGCAGCATTATCTAATGCCGTGCGAAGGTCGGCCTCATTTCTCAGTGTTACCTGAGTGCCGCCCTGTGCTATGCGAGAAATAAGACTGAGAAGCCTGTCAACATGGCCCTTATTGAGAGCAGCATCAAGCACGATTTCGGAGAACTCAAAATCTCCGCGCGATTGGAATGGGCGCCAAGGTACTTCGTCCGCAGGAGGTGCTCGTGTCTCTGGGATGACACCGAACTCCTCGAACTTTTGATAAAGTGTTTCACAGCCACTACGTGGGTGGAACTCAGTTTTGAACTCTTGAGGGTGTTCAAACTCCAATGCAGGCTGATGTGGGATGTTGGGAGCAGTGTTACTGGCCATGCTAGCATCAGATAGAACTGCGACATAGATAATAGTCACTGATTTGTTGAAAAATGAAGAGAGAAGTACATACCTGGGCTCTGAACATCCCCATTTCCAGCATCAAATTCAATGTGCTCGTCTGGGCCGGCTATAGGCGCTGAAGGATGTTCGAAGTGTCAGAGCAAACAAATCTAGTGGGATGATGACATACCTTGTGCTTGTGGTTCTGGATTTGCGGAGGAGTCATCTGTGATTATGCGCGATGGGCCAGCTGCTGCTGCTACAGCTGTCGTTCGTCGAGTTTTCTTGTAGCGTGCTGATCAAAATGATTGTCTCGAATATCAGTAAATAAATGCAAGCAATGGATCACCTGGACTCACACATCCGCTGATCTCTCTCATATTCTTGATTAAAAGCCTCTCGACCCTCCACATCGCGCATCTTGCACACTGATTCGTGCCGCTTGATGCCTTGGGACTTGTACATATTGCCGCAATGTGGGCACTGAGACCCACTAGTTAGCGTCTTCTCAGTGTAATTATACTTACCTCGGCTCGGGCGGTTCGGAGCCATGATTCAGACTATTAGACAGTATGAAAACAGTTTGTACACGTCGGTGTACAGGAGAGAAGGACGAGAAGAACTCGAGGTGATTGATTATTACATACGTTGATCTGACAAGGTCACATGATAATACTTGTCACAATACTCATAGCCCCTGTGACAAGGCCTTCTATTTTCTCCGCCGTCCTTAAAAGGCACTTACAAGGCACCTTGTGACGCATGTGACTAGAGTTGTAAGCCGGCAGCATTATAAAGGTCGTTTACCTTTTTCCGACATGACAAGTCCAGAGTTCATCACCTCCAGGTTCGATGCTGCAATTGTCCAAATGCCATGAGTCCAGACATTCAAATGTTTCGACATGGATTTTTCCCCACTTCATTTAACAAGCCAAAGACTTTGTTCACCTTCAGGGTGCTCGATGATTTTCTATTGGACAACCTTGAATGTGGGACCTCAGCGATGAACTATTACAGCAAGCTCTGGCGAATGACCTCAAGCAGAGCATGTTTCCACACCTTGTACCGGTAATGCTATATCTCTCTCATCTAAAGGACATTATATTGACAAAGCATGTGGCAAGGACCAATACTGAGAGCTTGCAAGAGTCGCCCGACAGTGGAGGGAGTTGAAGGCCATGAAATGGTATGGATTTGGGCATCATTCTGACAACCTGAATGCAGGTGATCTCGCATTATTTGGCCCCGCTTGTCCTCAGCCAGGGATCAATGTATCCTTGTCAGGGGATGAATCACTTGATGAGTGAGTCTCATTTGATACCGAAGTCACCTCAGCAATAATAACAACTCCAAGGTGGAAATACACCCAGTCATTTGTTATGGATGGAAATTTCAAAGCCAAACACCTGCATCCCATCAAGCCATTTGATGAAGTTTGGCTGTCAGATGGGTTGGGATTCATGGTGGGAAAGGACAGGTATAAAACACATCTTGCAGAGGCTGCCGACACTTTATAAAAATCAAGCTGCAACAATCACCAGGCAGTAAATCAAGCAAATGCGGCTCGGCACAAGCTGGAGTCCACGGGCATTGGGGGAGTAGCCTGTGCTCAACATGGTTGCTTTGTTCCTCACTCAATGGTAGATTTTCAGAAAGGCGAAAGGCAAGCCAACCCTGCCATTCAACATTCACAAGTTAACCATGCATCATTCACAGACAAATGAACATGGACTACGCCCTTTGTGAGGCTGCCCAGCACAACATGGAAGGCATCACCAGGGTGGTCACCTTCTATGATATCAACTGTCAATACAACAAGCACTTTTGGGTTCGGGTGGATCGAAGCTGATTTCTCGAAATGGTTCCGGAATTGACCATCATTCCCGGAATCGGGTTGTGGCACATCCATGGACATCAGGACTAGAGTTTAAAAGTCCGGTTGGGTCCGGTCTTTTGCCTTATTTGGAGGCAACCGGACCAGGACCGGTTGCCTGATTCCCACAATATCAGGCAACCTTGGACTGGACCTCAAAAGACCGATATTTTCAGTCTCTTGCAGTCTTACAACCGGTCTGAAACCGGTCTAAGACCGGTTGTACTCCTTCCCACGATTCCAACGGTCTAATTTTTGTAGTAAACGGTTAAGATCTGAGCAAGATATGAGCATTATAAAAAAGGGTTCCCAAACTCCACCCTGCATGTGAGTCAAATATGAAATGTCATTACTATGCTTAAGTTTCTTGACAAAATATGTGCTGCTAGTCAAGGCAATTGTATAGCTAGTCTTAACTTTTCAATAGGGTAAGATATAACATTGATATAAGCTTGACAAAAAATTGTTATCAGGCTTGTCTTTGAAAAATAAAAGTTGTTATAAGGCTTAGGTGTCTTGACGAAATATGTGCTGCTAGTCAAGGCGGCACTATAGCTAGTCTTATCTTGTCAATAGAGTAAGATATAAGCAAGATATAAGCTTGGCAAAAAATCGTTATCAGGCTCGTCTTTGAAAAATAAAAGTTGTTGTAAGGCTTAGGTGTCTCAATGGTAATTGTAGTCCTAGTCTAGGCAAGTCTATAGCTACTCATATCTTGTCAAGCACTCAAGTTTTGGGTACATTATGAGCCAATCGGTGATTTTGACTGATTTTGACTTGCCGTTCTAACACATCTGATCTTTGTGCTAGTCTTGGAGCATGATAATCATCAAGAGTTATCTAAATTTGATGTTCCATACCATTTTTGAGGTCTACGAATACACTGGTAAAGGTTTTTAAGCTTGGAAATCAATCCCTGGTTCAGTGCCAACAAGCCTAAAAACATGCCCCACAGATTTATACGAGCCATTCTTAAAATGCTTGTAACTTTCCCAAATCTCAACCAATTTTGAAGATCAGATCACCAATAGAATTGCCTAAATGAGCACTATCCATATATAGGCAACCGGTCCCACAATGGACCGGTTGAGACCGGTCTTTTACCGGTCTTTCATTTTTTGCAAAGTTAGGCAACTGCAACTGGACTTTCCTGGATCTGAGGCAACTGGCAACTGAGGTCTGGTCTTTTTCGGTCCGGTCGGTCTGGTTGCAGTCTTTTTTTTGGTCCTGCAACCGGACTTTTAAACACTAGCCATACCGCTAGGCTATCCACCCTAGGACTATCATTCCTCGCTCCAGATTCCGTCTGCATCTAGTCTACCCGTCCCGCATCCGTAGCGGACCATATAGATCAAAAGCCCGCCGGCTTGATTCCTTCGCCTTATTGTGGAGAGTATCTTTCAGAAGCAATCCCCTTGGGATGAGCAACCACACTCGCACTCATACGGATAAGTAGTCTCCTTCTGCGGACTACTCAGGATTACTTTCTCACACCGGACTACGTGTTTTCATCCCACTTATGTCTCTTTCATGATATTGTGGATCTGGGAGATCCATCCAGGATTGTATCCAGCTATGATACTCCATGGTGGATTGGACGCACTGCAATCCCTAACCAATTATGGCAATGGGATAGGGTTATGGGTAGTTGTGTCTGTCACTACCAGCATTGGCTAGTGAGAATTATGAATAATTTTCTTAAGTGATGACTAATTCTTTCCAGTCTGGTGTTGAGAACAATGGTCTCATTCCTCCTGAGCAGGTGGATGAAACCTCGGGCCCATCACTACTGGCACTGAGATGGATTAGAGAACACCTCGTGACATTGATTGAGGACCAAAAAGAGGGCATCCGTGAAAAGATGGTGGAGATCAAGACGTACACCTGGATCCTAGCCAGATTGAACAGAGGAGGAGGAGAGTAGTCCTAGTCCTTTAGTTCAGAATGTTGAAATACAAACTCCATGGAAAGCACATACTGTCTTCCAACTATGTAACATAACATTGTATGCTGTGTCCTGGATACTGTATTGAGATCCAGATATCTAACTTTGAGTATTGAGTCCAGACCAAGATATATTGAGTTCCAAATTTCAACACTTCAGTCAACCACTTGAAATGACCTCTTAGGTCTATGTGTTTGTGGCTAGCAAAGGACCTAGTAGGTGTCTTCTAGAATGGTATTCCCATTATTTTACCCTATGTTCTGGGATGTCCCAGCCCACTCTGAAGCAAGTATCTGGGCCATCTCAAGGACCTATTTGTGATCTTTCCCAATCCCAACTGGGATCAATCTAGCATGTCTCTGGGATGTCCCGGTGCATTTATTAGGTGGGCTTTCCCATCATAAATAGGGGTGATAGGGGTCCTTTTTCAAACAATTTTGGGACATTGGGATCCACAATTTTGTACAATTATGGGAAGCAGTGGTGGGTATGTACATCTGTAAGGCAATTGGTACAGACATAAAATAGATTCAGGCCCCTGAATGATGGCACTCATGCGACCTAGATGCCTTAACAGCAACAACGGAAGATACTGTGATGTACCACCAAATGACTCACACATTGTATAGCAAAAACATTGAATAGGTACATTATGTGGCCAGTACCGCCAAATGAATATTGTATGCTTACTATGAGTCAGACACTGAAATGGGCCTTCCTGCTGACCCTGCCAACACCATTTGGGCTCTCCCACCAACCCATTTCACATCATCTGGGCTCTCCCGCCTGTTGTTCTATTAGCAAATATTCACAAATTATATTCTATTTTGGTTGCCTCCCCATGCTATTCCCACACATCACATTTCTGCATTTTTCAGCCCCACAGTGTGGGAATTACCCCACAACACCAAAAATATCGCCCATTTTTAGAATCTCCACAACATTAATTAATTTATAAAACATATCCCATTTGAGTCATAAACACTAACCACCCAGCACAATAGCAACAAGTGGAAAACGATTCAGCCAACGGAATAGCATAGTGGGCGGTAAACAACTGGGAGATCTGTGCAATCACCACATGGAGCTCTGGGTGCTCTGCAAGCACTTTCCGGTTGACATAGACATGGGTGTTAAGCATCTGAGGAGTGATTGAGGATTTGGGAGGTACTGCACCAGGATCAGGTTATTACGGCAAGACATTCTATGATTGTTACGATAACATGCTTCAGACCGAACCCCCCTATCTTTTCCCTTATCTTGTACTGCCTTATGATGTTCCCATCATCTTCTTGTATAGCATCTCTGATTGCCGTCTTATCTCATATCTCTTATCTTGTACCCTGTACCCTTACCATTACCTTGGTAGTCTTGCCCTGAAGTCGTCTTTACCTATAAGTAGTCAATCAGCCTGTCCTGTATTCTCTAACTTGAATCTACTCAGTATTCTGATAGACCTTCCTTGAGCAAGATCGCTCTCGTATACGATTTCACTTAAGACTCCTCGTCTAAGTGTCTATACTCGACCAATACCTTTAGCCTTGTCTTTACTTGACGAGTCTTGTCACCAAGTCTTGACACCAATGACAACGATAATGAACCTCTGCATCATCTTCATCTTTGCCGAGACTTAGTACAGAGCTCTTACCTGAGTCTATGCTTTCAGCGTAACAATGATAGGAAGTCGAAGTATTCCCTTGGCTGTCAGGTAACATTTTTTTGTCATCTTCATGTGCAAAAATTAATTTAATTCTAGGCAGTCATCTTGCCCCACAACCTCCTGATCATTGATTATTCTCTTGGTCATCCTGGGAGCGTCCATGATGCATTCACTTTTGATCCACTTGCCTCTATAACAAGCACACTGATCTTCTGCCTGATGGTCATTGGGTTTGGGCGGACAGTGCTTATCCATTGGAACCATGGTGTATTCCCCCTTTCAAGAAGCCTCGCAATGGACGGCTGACAAAGAACAAGAAGACATTCAATTATCACCTCTCTAAGGTATGTTTTTTTTTTCAATTGTGGTTTTCAATTGATTTACATTTATTTAGATTTGTGTTCGTGTTTGACACACATTTGCTATTTTGAAGGGATGGTTACAGTCCCTTCAAGAGCTATGGTTCAGAATTCAGACCGAGAAAGACCTCGAGTTTTCTGTGCAGTGGATTAAGTGTTGTATCATCCTGCACAACATGATCATCCGCTTTGAAACTGACCGTCACAAACAGGATGGAACATATAAGAGTTCTCTAAAGTGGGCTCGTGTATAGGGCGAAGATTTCATTGCTCAAGAGTATGAGGCTCCAGATGGTGATGAAGTAGTTAGTGACAGGACATATGATGGCACTCCAGGTCAGGCTACTTGTGCAAGGCTAATGGATGAGCTCTTTGACAGTCCTCAATCTAATGCACAACGTAGAGCAGGATAAGGATCACATTGACATGTACTACTTGACATGTACTACTACTAAATGTACAACACATATGTACCTATGTAACATCAACTTGAATCAGATAGTGTAGGAGAAAAACATATATGCAACAATGACAACACAAAAACAACAACAAAAGAAACATATGGTAGCAAGAACAAATGAAGAAGAAGGCAAAACAAGATGATGACGATGACGAGGAAAAACTCATACAGCTCCTCCATCTGACCTGTTGCCCTGTATCATCTTGTGGGACTTGATTTGAGGCGGAGGTTTTCAGCCTCCTTATCAAGCACCAGCAAATGAGCTTTGTGCACTCAAATATCAGTTTCACAAAGACAAATCTCAGCATCTTGCTTCTCCTGCTCACACTGATGGTTGGTGGTGGCCAGCGAGGCCTCATGCTCTTGCGCGCTGCACAGATATTCATACTTCCTTGTGTCGCGATGGTGCTTGGTCTTCATGTCGAGCTTCATGAGGAACCACTCTTGCTTGTGGTCATGGCGTGACCTCATGTCTGAATGCAGGCTCTCAATCTCGTCCTGAACGTGGTCAATCTGTTGAGCGACGTTGGACTTGGCCTTCCTCTTTTTTGAGCCGGCACTCGTTTGCTGTGAGGTTTGCGGGGTAGGGGACATGTGGTATCTGACGAGGATGTGGTGTTGCGAGTCATTGTCGATGGTGTTGACATGTTGCGGGACATGTTGGTCGATGCCTTGTGTCGACCCCCACAAGCAACCGGCCTCTGCGCCCCAAAGGCTTCCTGACTGTCATAAAATGACGCCGGCGACCTCGGGGGCATTTTGAATGGGTGGGGGGGGGGGGTGAGGAGGAGGGGATGGGGAAGAAGGCAGCTGGTGTTTCTTCCCCACAGCCTGGGAAGGGCTCTTGTGGGTGGCCGTGTCACTGTCCATCATGTCATCTCCGTCAATGGGGGCAACAAATGGGCCAGCGCTATCATCAGTGGGCCCCAAATCACGAGTGGGTTCGAAATTGTCAGTAATGTCCATGTCAGTGGAGTTGTCGTGCCCGGGAAGGTGAAAGGGTGGATATGTGTTTTTAGGGGGGTATGGGTTGGGGGGTGGATCTGGGCTGGGGGCTGGGTATGGGTTGGGGGGCATATGTGCGCTGGGGGGCTGGGGCTGGGTATGGGCCAGGGGGCAGATGTGCACTGGGGGCTGGATATGTGTTTGGGGGCAGATGCGCGCTGGAGGGGCCAGCCCCAGCAGTAGCACCAAAGTGCATGGAGGGAGGGCCAGCACCACCACACAGTTGCACAAGGGAATAGAGGGCTGTGACGTGGTCAACACCCTGCTTAGACCAGTGTGTCTTTGCCACCATGGCGGGATTGCCGTGCCAGATTGCATTGAGATCCTGGTACCATGGAAGGTCCCCACATACCACTTCTATAAAAATAAATCAGCCGTTAACTAAAAATAAGGGAAGACGAACTCACGTAGAATATTTTGGGCAGATGGCCCATCGAGCAGCACGATGCCAGTGCCAGTGGCGGTGAATTTGTTCTTGTGCTTCTTGTACTTAGTTTTAATGCTTGATGTATTTTGTTAGTGTTTGTGTGAATAAAAAAAATGAGAACACTTACCTTGTGATGCGATTGGAGACCAAATCACTGAATTTCTTCTGATTTTAGCAGTATGCGGAGCCGTACTTGATGTGATGTGTGAATATGAGGTGGGCGATGGCGCCATATAAGATAGGGCTCATGCACAACCAACTAACATCACATGACCAGGAGTGACTTTTGGGTGACTTTGGAGTGTACAGCTAATGGCCGTCATAAATGTCACTTTTCGGCGAAAAAAAATCCACAGTCTTCTTTGTATATGTATTTAGAAAAACTCTGTGGGGCTGGATTTAAAAAAATTGAGAATTGCAAGTGCCATTAAAAAAATGAGTCTTATGTGCTCGGAAATGAAATCTTTGCATGTGACAATTAGGAGGTAACTTCCGCATGCGCCTCATACTACTGCACCACAGGCTGCACAATGCTGAACAGTGTGCACTGGATAACCTGAATAATATGCTACAAGGAACACCAAGAAAATCAGACTCAACCAAGCACGAGCAAAAGAGAAGAAAAATGTGCAGGCAAGTTGTTTTGTCTCGAAAGAAAGTACAAAGGTCAGTGAGTCCTCCCTTAGGTGTAGTTTGAACAACGACTCCAGGTTCAAAATTCCTGGTTCAAACTGCACATGATGACCACACGTGATGACCACACTGTGTTAATAAGCATCTATTATAATAAACAAAAGATACTCTGTCACCACAATGTCTGATGATAAATCAAGCAGCAGCTCTTCGCATTCCCTACGTTCTTGAGGTACTATAGATGTGACATCGGCTGCTGCATCTGGTGGAACGATCAGGAAAGCTCCTGCGGTGTGGTCAAAGGCGGAGGAAACTACCCTTCTTGAGTTCCTTCTGCAGGCCCTTCCTTCATCAGGCGATGGAGGCTTCAAGTTGGCCACCTTCAATCAAGCATCTGCGCACCTCAAGACAAAACACCCGCATCAAAGGGGTACAGAAAAGAGTGGTGGAGTTTGCAAGAATAAATGGACAGCGGTATGTTTCCAGTGAACTTTCAGCTGCCAGCAAATCAATGACATATATTTTTATAGTTAAAGAAAGCATACCAAATCATCGTTGAAATCAAGTGTATGTTGGGTTTTACTTGGAGTGATGAGCATGGAGCGGGTATTATGGACAGAAAGGATGATGTCTGGGCGCGCTTTACAAAGGTAAGTCATCGCAATAGACTGCATGCATGCCCCTCTACTGACATTATTTTAGTCACATCCTCACGCAAAGCCCTTCATGACGAAGGGCTTCGACCACTTCAAGATCATGCAGCAGTTGACACCAAGCAAGTCGAAAGGCTTGCACGTCTTCCGACCTACTACCACCGTCGCCAATGCCAACACACTATCCTCCATCCCCCCAGCCACAGATAATGCACTTCCAGAGCCACCACCATCCTCAGTGGGCCCACCACCATCCTCAGTGTACCCACCACCATCCTCAGTGTACCCGCCACCATCCTCAGTGTACCCGCCACCATCCTCAGTGTACCCGCCACCATCCTCAGCATACCCGCCACCATCCTCAGCGTACCCACCACCATCCTCAGTGGACCTTGAGCCACCTATTCCTCCATCTACCTTTCTCGCTCCTTCCACTGAAGGGTCTACCTCTGCTGGTGGCTCGGCATGGACAAGCATAAGCCGTGGAAAGCGAAAATACAGTGCACTTTCTCCTGCGTCAGTTGCAGGCTCCCAGAAGCGAAGTTGGCCACCATCTGCCACGCTATTGGCACAGCAGGAGGGTATGGAAACGATGAAGAGCCTCGTTGAAGTAGTGCGTGAGATGCAGAAGAATCTTGTGTTAGCCCCGGCGCTGCCGCTAGTGCAGCCACAGCCTTCCACACATGTTGGGAGCGCCATTTCCCTCCTCAATAAATATACAAACCTCACGAGCAAAGAGCGCTTGGGCATTGCCAACTTTCTAGCTGAACATGAGAACCAGGCTATCATTTTCTACTCATTGGATGAGGTGACGAGGCTTGAGTGGTTGGAAGAGAAGCGAGTGCCTTGCGGTGGTGCACCACGGCGATCAGTGGACTCACAAGAATATATGATTGTGTCGTAGCGCCGTACAGATCATTTCGTAGTACAGAATTCATGTATCACCTACAACTATGGCAATGGGAGTCCCCTTCGTGCACGTTCTGCTAGATAATCAGTCCACATTGCTTGCGTGATTCTGTCCCTACAAGCATCTGCGCGTCTGCGCTCAGCAGCATCCACCGGTCCCTCTGAATGTGCGCCAGATCCAACACCATCATCCTCTGCAAGATCATGCCCGTGCTTGAGGGCAAGATCAAATATATCACTGTTGGTTCTTCGCATGAAGTTGTGAATGGCGCAAAGCGCCGCTGGGATCCAGGACTGGATATCCATGGAGTATTCAGGTGCGCATATCAAAATGCGCCATTGCCACTTCATGACGCCAAATATCTGTTTGATAATGTTGTGCAGTGCAGCGTGTCGCAAGTTGAACAATTCTTTTGGGTCTTTAGGCCTAGAAAAAAATTAGTAGACATACAGAGTAAGAAAAAAAAAGAACTCACGCGAGATTAGCTTGACGCCATTCCTTCAGGTGGTAGTGCACGCCTCGATAAGGCACGAGAAGCGCGTCACACGTACCAAAGCCAGCGTCAGCTAGAAGGTATCTGTGCGCGGGCATGCGCAAATCATGAGAGCACGCGTCATTCCAAAGGGAAGCATCGGCAACTGAGCCATCCCACCCTGTGAGGGAGTAAATGAAAAAAAAAATTGAGGTCGCAGATGAACAGGCAGTTCTGCAATAGAAAGCCTTTCTGGTTGCGCAGGACAACATGGTCTTCAAGCGGCGCGAAAACACAGATGTGGGTGCCGTTGACGGCGCCAATGCAATGATCAAAGAATCGGAATCATGGGTCATGAATTGCCGCAGAAAGTGGGGTGTCGTGATCCGGGAAGCAGACATTCGAGGTGTAGAAGGGAGGTGATGAAAAGAACATGAGCATGCATTTAATATCTGCAAAAATCAGCACACTATTAGTTATATCAAAAGTTAGGCATACTTACCTTGTAATTGTGTCAGGAGAGTGCTGGAATCTTTCTCCGACGTGGCGAGACGAGAGTCCAGTAACACACGTGTACAAAAAAATACCGAGTTGCTCTGACATGGTTACCCCATTCCAGGACTGGATGAAGCCGTGTCAGTTAAGAACCACTAACAGCTCATCAAAAATTTGAAGGTTGACGCCGAAGTTGTGACTGATCCTGTCTGGGTGACCACTGATCAGTTCATATACCCATGCTTGGCCGGTAAGGATAGATGTATGGTAAGGAATTCTTTCAGCATGGGATAAGAATAAAAGATGGTATAGATGTGTGATTTGAGCAACCACAATGGTAATGATAATAACCATGATTTTGTGACGTCGATTATGTTGTGTTTGCGCTTTGAGATCCATGGGTGAAGTGATCAATCGATGGATATGCCAACACGCATACATATGCTATATCATTACATATTATTATCGTTATCTATCTATCACGCCATCTGAATCTATCACGTGCGGTCATCACGTGCAGTTTGAACCAAGAACTTTGAACCCGGAGTCGTTGTCCAAACTACACCTTACATTATTCTCACTGAGCCCAATACTAGACTTTAATAGTAGTATCGTTCACTCATTTATACACCTCCCAGTTCAATAAATAGATGCAACTTCATAGCACAGTTGATACAATGAATATGATAATGGGCCATCAATGCATCAGTGGTTGCATTACTTAATCACATGGTGTCACATGGTGTCACAAGGCATCACAGGTTGGTTGGTTGTGCATGAGACCTATCTTACGTCCCCTTTGTCCCTGTTAGAGGGGGGGTCATTGATAAGAGCCGCTTTCTTCTTCCCCTTGGAATAAAACAGGATCCTACAACCAGTGAGATGGTAGTTAGGTAGTTCACCAAGATGTCAGTAACTTAGGGCATGTTCACTTTGCCACTGGATTGACATCCTGGATCCAGTTGTTTCTGGAGGGAGTCCTTTGAAGGGGGATTCTTGAAGGTCCATTGTCATTGAGCTCGCTCAAGTAACTCGAGTGTTGGCTCTGAGCTGTGCAAAACAGCGAACACATTGGCAGGCAGCAGGCATGGATTCAAACTCTGCCGTGCCATGCCGGCCTGACTTTCAATTGTAGTCATCAAGCCGATACCTTTAGCCGGTGTTGGAAGGGTTTAGCTGTGCTCTACCCAAGTTTCCAAAAAGTTTTGAATTTGATATTGAGTACCACTACTATTAAGAAATCATAGTTTTAATAAGCAAAACATGGTCACATGACTTGTGTGCCTGAACTTTCTTGAACACATCACTTTCTAGTATTTTGCTAATAACTCACTAGGATCTTACCCTATGAACATCATGAGACTGTGGATAGACTTCCCTTGACAATGTCTATAACTTTCATTTTGGTTGAAACCTTTCCCACAGTTTACCCCAGTTGTTCCTTATTCTCGGCTTAATCAAAAGGACTTGAATTAATTTTCACAATTGTGATGATATAAGCACAAACACAAACAAACATGAATTATGTCTAACATCTCTTCTCTTTCTTATTTTCTCTCTTTCTTACCTTTTTGGTTTCATTTTGTTCTCTTCACTGTTAACTGTGGGCACCGTGGGAAACAGTGAGTAGGAGGGCAGGAGGCGCTAAAGTAACTGGGTTACTTTCCCGCCCATCAACAGTGAGCAAGCATAGGTCTTTTTTGTGAGTTTTTCTGATGTTTTCTTTCTTTCTTACTCTTATTCTGGCTCTTCCCTTAGCAATTTCCAATTTTTTTTCGTCATTTGGCGAGTCCACTCTTTATTCCTTTGTTTTTCTCTGACACTCAGGCTCTGCCCCTCCTCTCTCTCACTCACTCTTTCGCTCTCTCCAGCTCTCTGCACCTGCACCTGCTTTTGCTCCTGCTCTGGCTTCTGCTCTTGCTCCTGATCTCACTCCTACAACTGCTCCCGTTGTGGCTTTGGTAAGTTTTTTTTTCCCTCTCTGATTCTTTCTCTCTAACCCTCTTTTGCTAGCTATCTCCCTTCCTTCTGCTTCTCCAAGTATTCCTCAAATTCGAGTTTTTGACTTTTTCGTAAGATCTCTTAGACACCGTAGTTAGCAGTATACACCCATGTATAAGTTAGTATGAGTATACTTGAATTTACACTTTTTGTTTTATGTCATAATGCCAATAAATAGCTACTAAGAGCTATAATGGCAAGGTTATTGATTTTTTTTTGACTTGTCCATAAAAGCTACTAGGAGCCATCATAGCTATCATGAAAAATCATGCTGCTATTATGCCAGCTATAGAAGGGACTTGTCAATCATTCACATATATGCTATAACAGCTATTATAGCTCCTAGTAGTAACTAGTAGCTATAATGGCAAGTATGCATTTTCCTGATGGCCTTTGACATTCAAGTTCTCAATTGTTCAAGAAACCTCACTCTGATGAGTGCCTCTGTGCTATCAAGTCTTTATTAGCTGAATCTTGCATGTGATGGAACTGATGCTGTAAGTTTTGCGGATATGATTGTTTAATTTTTAAACTTGTTTCTTCAATTTTAACCTTGGCACTATCCAGTTGACATTCACCCTCAACATTGAAGCACAATCTGGCTGGCTCACTGGCAGTGCAATACAGGAACATTTCGTCAACTCTCCATCATCACTCTGAACTTAACAAGGTCGAAGAATCTAAGTGAGGGTGATTCCTACAAGCTCACAGATGATCAGATTTTAGTCCCCGCATGCAAGAAATCATTCAACACGGACTGAAAGAACGCACCTAGTCAAGTCTCATCCTGTAATGCAGGAGGTGGCTGGATCATTGGTAAGTTTTGTTTTCATATGGCTTTACAACTCTAACATTGACATGGTGTTATAGAGGAAAACAACATGTTTCAGTAGGGCAGCCAGGTGTCAGTAGCATTTGAACTACCCACATGTCCATTGCACTCGAGCACAAGCCAGCAGGCCCCTCACTCAGTACCTACCATCAACCAAACACAGTCTGCACCTATGACTTCCAACCAGACACAGTCTACACCTATGACTCCCAACCAGACACAGTCTGCACCTACTACAACTCCCAACCAAATTCATCGTGCATCACAACCCCATGACTGACCCTCTCATTCAATCCACCCAAAGCACTTGGTTCATCTCGACAGACTGGTAATCAACAACATTCCACACCACACCGCCAAACTATGCAGGCAGGCTGTCAGTCCTGGCATGTTCATTTTGATGAAGCATCTGACTTAGAGGTGTCTGTTACGCTGTGAGCGTAGACTCAGGTAAGAGCTCTGTACTAAGCCTCCACGTGAGGCGAAGATAATGCAGAGGTTCGTTTATCGTTATTGTTGGAGTCAAGGCTTGGTGACAAGAGTCAGCAAGCGAAGACAAGGCTGAATGGTATTGATCAGGTAAAGGCACTTAAGACAAAGAGTCTTTAGTGAAATCGTATACGAGAGCTGTCTTGCTCAAGGAAGGTCTATCAGAAGACTGAGTAGATTCAAGTTAGAGAATACAAGACAAGACGATCGACTACTTATAGGTAAAGGTCAGTTCAGGGCAGGACTACCAAGGCAATGGTAAGGGTACAGGGTACAAGATAAGAGATACGAGATAAGACGGCGATCAAGGATGCTGTACAAGAAGGTGATAAGGCGTCATATGGCAGTACATGATAGGAGAAAAGATAGGGGGCCCGGTCCGAAGTATGTTATCATAACATTACCTCCCGTTCAAAGGTTTGAAGTCACCGACTTCAATCATCCTGGTTGGAATAGTAGATGGGGTCAACATCAATATCTGCCAACATGGCGATGGCGTCGAGTTCATTCTCTTCCCGTTCTTCTGCAACGCGAGCACGCTCATGGTCAAAGGCAGCTTCGAGCTTAGCCATTTCTCCATGGAACCTATCAGCAGATTTTCCGCGATGAAGGAGCTTCTTGCCCTTGAGGAGGGGACAGAATGGGGTAAGGTGCTTGGGAGCGTATTTGCCACAAATGCGGCACTGGTACCTCTTGCAGTGCTTTTGCTTATGCCCCCAATTGTTGCCAGTACGACAGACGCAGTTGAAGGGATAGGTTTGAGTCGTTTCTCCAGCTTCATACTGTGCTCTCTCAATGGAGTATTGTGTGGCGGTGGTACATCCTGGTGCAGATTTGAAGTTGTAATGTTTGTAATGATGTTGGCTTAAAGGGAGCCCCATAGAGAAAAGCAATCTAGGCTTCATCCGAGTAAGCCTTTGCGCTCTGCGGAGAACGTCCATCCTATCGTCAAGATTGACGGGTGTAGTAGGAGGTGGGACAGGGATAGGGGCAGCATTTTGCAATGGAGAGTAATGCAAAAGTTCAGGGGAGAGCGTCCTTGATGGGAGGAGATAGACCGAGGAACGAATAATAGTCCTGAACTGGCTGGGCTACAGGAGGGGGTGTGTATGGCACATAGAGCGAGCTGCTACACTCTACTACTTCTTCATCTTCTTCGATGACTAGGGGAGGGGTCGGAGTCATATGCCTCATTGCTGCGATGAATGGCTCGGGAGGTGGATTAAACTCATTTTCATCCTCTATCCTTCTGATTGCGTCATCGAAATCAACGGTGAGTCGGATGGCGTTCAAGACTGCATTCTTGATCTTGCTTTGGTTGTATCTGATGGGGATCGCACCAAGACTGGTGGAGGAATCGAGTTGGAACTGCATTGCTGCGGGAGTGAGGGCGTCTGCTGCCCGGAAAATGATGATGAATTCTTTGAGGGTGGCATTGCCGACCCTCTCTACATAGGCGTCAAGCCTCATAGCATATTGGATGTCGAGAATAACGGCTTCCCACATGGCCCGATGCTGGCCAGGGGTCTGGGGACGAGTAAAGGGGTTGTTTTCAAAGAAGTTGGTGATACTGTGGTCGGAACCATAAGAGCAGCTGGAGCGGTCAGACATGTTGGTTTTGAATCAAGGTAGGTTTAGAGGCCTAATGCTCTAGAGACGAGCTTGAGTCTCTTCTTATAGGCGTTGAGAAGCTCCGCTGCATTTTCAAGTTCCGTTTCAAGGATCCATGAGTTCTCAGATTCAGGGTATCCAACCCAAGATACGAGATAATGATGTCTTGTGCCTGCCCCTTTGTGTGAGAGTATGGCTTCAATTTCGTAATGTTCTTCTCCGTTGATAAGGTCAGGAGGTGGTTTGGTGAAGTTCGGGCCGTGTATCTCTGTCTCTTGATAGGAGGATAGTTCAGAAGCATGGAATGTGGAGTGAACTCTCCAGGTTTTCGGTAGCTTCAATTTGAACGTGATAGGCGATAGAACTTCTGTGATTTCGAAAGGGCCGTATCGTTTGGGAGCTAACTTCTTTGAGGGAAGTCGTGTGATGAGGTGTGCTGCGGAAAGCCAAACTTTATCACCACGTTTCCATGGTTCGTACTTCTGTCCATGAGATATTTCTGCCATTCATTGTTGAGCAAGGCTGTGAGAAGCTAGGGCTTCTTCTCTGATCTTCTGAAGGTGTTTGATGCGGTCTTCTGCGGCTGGAAGAGTGGAGTCAGGGAAGGCGTGTGGGTATCCGCGAGGTTCGTATCCCATCATAAGGGAGAATGGAGAGGCGTTTCTGGCGCTGCCTTTTCTGGAGTTGTGGACAAATTCTGCCATGGGAAGGTGATTTGCCCAATCATTAGGGTTCGTTTGACAATATATCCGGAGATAGGTTTCTAGTTCTTGATTCATTCGTTCAGTTTGTCCATCAGTCTGGGGGTGATAGGCGGTAGAAAGGGCGACTTGATAGTCTAGGAGCCTTCCAAGTTCTTTTGCGAGTTTAGAGGCGAACTGTGGTCCTCTATCGGAGATGATCTTGTCGTAGAGGCCGAATCTAAGGAAGACCTTTTCAAAGAAAAGTTGGGCTACTCCTTCTGCGGTGATCGTTTTTCTGCAAGGGCAGAGAATTACCCCCTTCGTAAGGCCATGGTCTACCACGACCATGATAGAATCAAAGTCAAGGGACGGGGGAAGGTCGGTGATAAGATCAACAGAGACCTGGGAAAAGGGGCGAGAGGCGGTGGAGGAGATCGGTAATAAGGGAGGGGTAGTAAGATGCGTATTCGGCTTCATTTGCTGACAAGTTGCACATCCATCAACGTATTTCCTAATATACGTTCCCATCCCGGGCCACCAATAGGCTTTCTTCACATTCCATTCCGTAATAGTGCGGCCCAGGTGTCCGGCCGTAGGATGATCATGGTGGAGGGTAAGGATTCGATGACGGAGGTCAGAGGGAACATAAGCATGATTTTTGTAGAAAAGGACATCATCCTCGAATTTCCAATCAGAAAGTGCAGATTTCATAGGGGGAGCGCATACGCCGTTTAAGGCGTCTAATGCAGTGCGAATAGTAGCATCGTCAGATGCGTCGTGAAGGAGTTTGAAATCTTCTGCGAGTTCAGCATCAATGAGGTTGACAAAAAGCGAATCGGGAAGGAGGATAAGATCTTCGTTATCGGATCCAGAGAAAGCGTGATCAGATCGACGGGAAAGAGCGTCGGGGGCGGCGAGTTTGGACCCGGGAACGTGATGGAAGGTAAGATCATAGTTGCACAATGTGAGCTGCCAACGAGCTTGCCTCCTGGTGAGTTTCTGTGCGGATCTGAAATATAGAAGATTCTTATGGTCAGTGAAGATTATGACCGGGTGAGGATTTCCTTCTAGGAAATGTCTCCAGGCTTGTAGAGCGCGGATGACAGCAAGGAGTTCTCTATCATAGATCTGATAATTTCGTTCTGCCGGGTTCAGGGATTGGGAAAGGTACCCGCAAGGGTGATACGCTCCATTCTCGTCTGTCTGAAGGAGTACTGCTCCAGTAGCAAACAATGATGCATCGGTTGCGAGGGCGAATTGTCGAGTAGGATTGGGATTTCGGAGGACGGGTTCAGAGAGGAAGCAGTGCTTCAGTTTCTGGAAAGCTTCTTCACAGATGCTTGACCAAGAGAAGACGTTGTCCTTCTTTGTAAGGTCGATCAGCGGGCGAGCAATATTGGAGTAATGGGAGATGAAGTGTCGGTAGAAGTTGCAAAATCCAAGGAATGATCGGACTTCTTTGACTGAGGAGGGAGAAGTCCAGTCGCTGATTCCTTTCAGTTTTGCTGGGTCCATAGCAACTTGCCCAGGTCGGATAATCATGCCGAGATATTCAACTTCCTGCGCATCAAAAGTACATTCCTCTGGTTTGAGGAAGAGTGACTCTTTTCCAAGTTTCTCCAGGACTCGTCTAGTTCGTCCCTTCTGTTCTTCCAAGGTGTCCGAGAAAATAAGGATGTCATCCATATAAACAATGAGCCATCCTTCATTGATTTCAGTTACGAAGGTTTGGTTCATGTATGCTTGGAAAGTTGCTGGGGAATTGCAGAGGCCGAAGAACATGACTTTTGGTTCAAAGAGACCAAAGGAGGTAGAGAATGCGGCTTTCCATCTATCGTCGGGATGAATGAGAATGTTGTTATATCCGGAGCGGACATCTATTTTGGTGAAGAACTTTGCATCGCTCAATTTCGCAATGAGAGGGGGAATCAACGGAAGAGGGTAGGCGTTCTTCACGGTCCATTCGTTAATGTACCGATAATCTTGGCAAGGTCTAAGCGACCTGTCTTTCTTTCCAACGAAGAAGAAGCCAGATGCTTGTGGAGATTTTGACGAGGTGATAAAATCTTTCGCTAAATGTTCGTCTAGGAAAGCTTTTAATGCGTCAGTTTCTTTCGGGGATAGAGGATACACTCTAGACGATTTCGGAATGAAACCTTCTTTGGTGTCGATTCTGTGGTCAAATCCAGGGCGAGAGGGGGGGGGGAGTTTGTTCAAGCCATCTTTTGCGAAGATGTCTGCGAAGTCATGGAGATATTCTGGAACAAGTTCTTCGAAGGTTTTCCTCTTCTTTGCCTGAGCGTCTTCCATAGCAAACTCCTGTGCTTTGTTGCTTGTTTTGGTGTATTCTTGCGAAGCAGCAAGTATCCAGATGTTCCTAAGCGGAGTTTGTTTGGCAGAGATTTCTTTCTTGGAGGTCCTGTCACGGGTCAAAGGAGAGTTGAAAGTGATGTTCTCGATTATTCGGACATTGGTTCCATCCGTAGCATATTCGATTAATACTTCGTCATTGGATAGAGGATAAGTGGCAATATCGTCAGGGTGTGGAAGGAATTGGGTGTTTCCAACCCATACATCTTCCATAGCGTTGAAATTAGGGAGTTCGGAGGTGGTTTCTGCAGGTTTCTTGGATTTCTTCTTTTTCTTCTTGATTTCCTCGATACAATACTCTTTCTCATTAGAGAGCGTTTTGAGAGGATGAAAAGAACCGGTTTCTTCTTCTTCAATGGTTGCTTTCTTGGCTTCGAATAAGAAAGGTTCTACATGGTTTTTCCTTCTTTCAAGATTAATCTCAGTTTCGACGAGTTTGGATCGAGGTGATGGGGGGAGGGATATCATGTTCTTAGTCCAGTCGATATCTGGATTCATGGCGGAGAGCCAAGGTTTCCCAAGGAGGATATTGTCTCTAGCAGAGAGTTGGGTGATGTTGAATTTTCCCCATATGCATCTCTTATCGAGTCTGATGGGTAGAACACAATAATGGGACACCATTCCCGCTTTCGAGTTACTTCCATCCACGGTGGTAATATGGAAAGGTTTTCGGAGTTTGTGGGAGTTAATCTTGTGCTTCTCGACGAAGTTCTTATCAATAAAGGAGCCCCCTGCTCCAGAATCGATGATAGCGGTGGTTTCAACGGTTTTTGTGCTTTTTGTAGAGAAGAGTGTCACCGGGACACGGAATTCATTGCTTCGTCCTACAGTCTTAGTATACAGCACGTAAAGGGAGGAGTCTGACGTTGGTACAGGTCCTCTGTTTAAAAATCCACTCGGTTGGTATCCATATCTTCTTCATCATCGGTTTCATCATCAGGGGTTTTAGCCCTTCCCTTTCCTTTTCCTTTTCCTTCTGACGCTCCTGCGGCTCTGGTCTTGGTTTTCTTGTCAGGGCAATCCCTGGATCGATGGCCTTGTTTAGAGCAATTAAAGCAAAGTCCTTTCTTGAAATGGTCATCGCGTTGCTGGGGGGACAGAGTTCTGTCCACATCCATTGCATCAGGGTCACGTTGATGGTGGAAGCTGGGTTTAGGGTTGGCTCGTCCTTGATTGGAGCGATTCCCAGATCCTTTCCTAGATTGATTATTGTTTCTGTTTGCGTTTCTGAATGCTTGCTCCATCTGCCAGTTGGCGCTCTGCTGGGTTGCTGCGGCGAACCATTTGTCTATGGTATCAGGAACATCGGAGAGTCCATGAATGGCCTTCCTCAATCCATCTTTCAATCCTCTCTTGAAGAAGTACTTGAGCCCGATTCCTTATTTCATTCCTGCTAACGCAGAAAGGAGTTTGAACTCGGCAATATACTCAGCGATTTCTCCGGTTTGCCTGAGGTTTTCTAGTTTGTTCAAGGCGTCGGTTTGAGTATCAATGGATTGGAATGCGGTGTTGAAACTCTTTTCAAAGTCTGCCCATGATCCAAAGGATGGGACTGCACCGCTATACACATTGGTGTAGAATGTTTCTGCCCAAAGTGCGGCAGTTCCTTCAGTCATATAGGCGAGGGCAGTGATGATCTTCTTCTTGTCATCGGTGTAGGTATCGGAGTTGGCAAAATGATAAGCCTTAATGCTAAACAACCATCTTGTTGCTTGGGAGGTATCACCATTGAAATCTTTAGGAGAACCGATCTTGAGTTCTGGGACTTTCGACATGGTCAGCGGTCCTACTGGTGGTGGTACTGGTGGTCTGAATGGGTTCGGGGTAGAAGAACTAGGTGGAATTGGTGGAGGTCCAACAGGTGTTCTGGGTGGGACAACTAATCCTCTTGGTGGGGGAGGAGGAAAGAATTGTCTTGAGGTAGGTTCTGGGATATCGTCGGAGCTTTCGGATGAGCTATCAGAGGTTAGGACAACGTCGTCGGAATCTTCTCTCCGGGATGAAGACGTGTTGACTATTGGCCCTCAAGATATGAGGAGCCGATGGAAAACTTGAATCTTTTGTTACGCTGTGAGCGTAGACTCAGGTAAGAGCTCTGTACTAAGCCTCCACGTGAGGCGAAGATAATGCAGAGGTTTGTTTATTGTTATCATTGGAGTCAAGGCTTGGTGACAAGAGTCGGCAAGCGAAGACAAGGCTGAATGGTATCGATCAGGTAAAGGCACTTAAGACAAAGAGTCTTTAGTGAAATCGTATACGAGAGCTGTCTTGCTCAAGGAAGGTCTATCAGAAGACTGAGTAGATTCAAGTTAGAGAATACAAGACAAGACGATCGACTACTTATAGGTAAAGGTCAGTTCAGGGCAGGACTACCAAGGCAATGGTAAGGGTACAGGGTACAAGATAAGAGATACGAGATAAGACGGCGATCAAGGATGCTGTACAAGAAGGTGATAAGGCGTCATATGGCAGTACATGATAGGAGAAAAGATAGGGGGCCCGGTCCGAAGTATGTTATCGTAACAGTGTCTACATCAATACCTAACATTCCAATGTTGCCCCCTCCTTTGTGTATTCAGCCAACACCACTACCATCAGTAACAACAAGGTCTCCAATAGTTCTAGTAGAGTCTGACACTGACACTGATTCATTGTGATCACCTGAGGTGAGGAATCTGTTTTGGACCTTATAATCATGATGATTGGACACACAAACTTACATAGCATGTTTGCAGGAAGCTGAAGACAGACTATTGCTAGCACCTCATGGATCTAATGCTCAGCCTCCAGTGACCCTAAGTTGTCAGGCTTGTTACCAACCTCATACCCATGTTGTAATAATTCCACACCCTCTGAGTCTAACCAATAGTCCACCTCCTGCATATGAGTCTAGCATCAGAAACTCCGAGGGCAGTGGGACTCAGTAGATTGACCTAGATTGTGACCCTAGCACATCCTTTCAGGAACTCCAAGGGCAGCAGGACTCGGTAGAATGAGCTGACATCATTGCATTTTAACAAATTAACATGTACATTTTCTTTTTGAGTTAATGTTCTAGCCTGAGTGTGATTGCCTTGTGGTAAGTAGGCCTTGTCAGGAAACCACAACTTCAGCTAAAATATTTAATTGCCTAAATATTGGTCCCAAGTCCCCCCCCATTAGCTTTTTTTTCTATCACCATGCTCTCCGCTCAGAATTGTGAGCGTGCAAAGCTCACCACTGAGCAGAAAGCAGAACATCATCAAAAATATATGAAGATTCATCAGGAAAAAGAGTTTTGCACTTTTTATCTTTAGAAGCACATTAAATTCATATAGAGACATATAATGACAACAAAATGCCTAATTTACTACTGATCCTATGTCTAATTCAATTCTAACCCCAACCCAAACTAACCACACATGAGGCTGACTAATTCTAACTTAACTTAACTTAATCAGGAAAAGGATGTCTGCACTTTTTGTCTTTAGATGCACATAGTGCTACTATGGTATAGTAGACTATATAGATTGTGAGAATTTTTCGATAAAAAACCAAAGTTGTAGTCCTTGTCAAGGAGAGTCGATCCATGGTCTAATGACCTCAATAGGTGAAGTTCCTATTGAGTTATAAGCAAAATACTCGAAAAATATTGACACTTTCTAAAAAATTGTCAAGTGACATGGTAACAAAAGTCATAGTCTTTGTCAAGGAGAGTCCATCCAGAGTCTTAGAACAGCATTAGGATGAAAACTAATTGAGATATAAGCAACATACTCCAAAAATGACAGTGCATTTTCAATTTTTTTTAAAAAGTGTTAATGTTTTTTGAGTATTTTGCTTATAACTCAATAAGATCTTAACCTATTGAAGTCATTAGACCATGTATAGACTCTCCTTGAGAAGGACTACAACTTTGGTTTTCATCAAAAGATTTCCACAGTTTACCAAAAGTCACTTCTTATCATCATCCTTATCTTGATCCTAATGGTAATACAGCCATTTGCAGAACACTAGGCCACAACACAAAAAACCACACACACAGTGGTGTCTGAATTTCTATTTCAAATCACATACAGAGGGTACGGGGCTCTCGGCATCAACCAGGCTCACAGGTGCAATAGGAAAAATAGCAAGAAACTCATGTCCATCGAGCAGCTCACCCAAGTACCACTGACCTCTCTTCTTGTACTGCGACAGCACCGTCAAAGGCTCTGCGTGATTGACATAAAACTCAGTGAACACCGACAAGATGGCTCCATTGTCACAGTTGTCTTCAAAGAGTGTACCTCTCAGTTGAGCGGTCTTCAGATAGCTGATTGGGGAGGCATTCAGAATCCCCCTGGTGTGTCCACGAATGAAGTCCAAATCAATGTCTTTGATATCAGCAGCTTCATGGTATTAGTTGTGATGTCTGAATATGACGAGGGTGATAACATTGACTTACAAGCATACTTCACCAAAGCATTGCAAGCAGTAGAGTGAGATGACACTAGGCCAATTATATTGATACGGGAGAACAGCACATGAAATTTGAGGGCTTGCAAAAGTTGAGTTGCGATGTAACACTGGTGAACTTGTTCATCGACAACAAGCTGGGTGACCCAGCCAACTTAGATGAGGTCAGACGGCAAGCTTTGCGAGAAATTGTGAGAGCCTGCTGCCTTTATTTTCGCCATAGTCCCACACGGTAGCGAATGCATGACCATAGAGTTGAGGACTCTCGAATGGGTCAACCTGGAGGTAGCACATCACTAGAACAGTATTCTTCGGGTGAGAGCCACATCGCGTTCGAAGTCTTGCTCTGGTCATCTTGATGTTTTTGCCTGCATAAAGAAATCAGTGATCGCCAAGGACCCAAGCTTGATTACTTACCAGCTACAGTATGCTTTGAAATCATAGCTGCTTGTTCACCCCATATACCATAGTTAGAGCTGAATAGCTCGGTGCACGCTTTCAGCGTGTTGTCCGAGATCTCATTGCCCACCATGATCCTGTAAGAGAAGGATGCCTTGGAGGGAGAAGTAGGACAATTGGGGAGGGCAAGATGAGCACATGGAGGAGTTGCGGGTGATGGCATTGTTAGAATAAATGTGCAGTTCCATGGTTGTAACTAGATGGGTATATATAATCAAACATGGTCCGTGTGTGCTTGACACACATGATCAAACATGGCCCGTGCACTTGACACTTGACAGCACAATTGACTGAGAAAATATGGTGATGATTCTTTTCCCCGACAGTGTGCTACAGGTGTGCTGATAATGTCAAATTATTATGGTGTAATACCACAAAAAAAACTATAAGAGCCCCCCGATAAATGAGCTTGAAGCCCTTCTTCCTGACAATGTCAAGTACTCCTCCGAGTCAATCTGGCGCAGGCAATATTCACAACCTGCTCATCACTATCCACAACTGCCACCACCAACAACCTTTCATGCAGCATTACCCGTCGCACCACTATCTGCCACATTATGCACTGATGCATCCTGCTGCTGTACAGCATGGCCTGCCCCTAGTACCGCATTACGTGCCACTGCATTCTCCGACCGGACAGCATGGCCTGCCCCTCCTGCATTTCATTCTGCAGTATGCTGCATTGCCCCCAGCATCATCAAAACCCCCAGAATCATCCCTAGCATTGTCAAACCCCCCCAGCATCCCAAGCACCAAGATTGAGACCAAATCCTGAACCGCACCCTGGTGGTATCATCCTGATTTAGTCACCGCATCAACACACACTAACCGACTCACAGTTTTCAGTTTTGAAATTGAGGTTATTGCTGGCAGTGCAAAGCGCAGCGTTTGCAGTGAGCCTGACATGCCTTGCAAGGACTTCAAAAGTTGTGTCCTCACATACCTCGATAGTGCTGCTCAAGAGGTCCAACTTGTGTATAAATTTGCAGGTGATAATAGTTGAGCTTCTCACCTACATGATGCGGAAGCATTCAGTATTGCTATGGAATGTCTTTGTCGCAAAGCATCCAATGCACGCACACGAGTTGTTGCTTTAGAGGTGAAGAATGCAGTAAGTCATTATTCATATTATATTAAATGAAAGTGACTTACAGTTACTGCAAGGTCAAACAGACTGCAGTGACCAAAGCGAAAAAGAGGACATGCAAAGATGATATTCCTCCAGCTTCAAGTGACAAGAATCCCACACAACTTAAAGCATACAAACAGCTTGAGCACCAGATTCAATGTGAACTTCACCATGGTCATTGCTTTGTAGATTGCACCAGCGGCTATGATAACCATCGTCGTCTCGATCATGGCGAGATGACTCTCTGGGCTAAAAAGATTGTAAGTTTCATGCCCATGCTTTCGGGAATAAGTAAAAAAGATTGCACCTTGGGTTAGGCTCTTGGTCAAGCAACAATTTACAACCCTCCTCACTGCCTCAATTTTGACCGTGGCCCAGCCAAAAAGCCTTGTCACTTGAGGTCAGGATCATCACCTGAAGTCCATGTTACCATACAAAATATAACAGTGGATCCTACCATAGCTTCCACGTCACAAACACAGATCAAGACTCCCAGTCCTCCGCCACTTTTGCAGCCACACCGCTTTGAACCTCTGTGGCAGATCAGTCCTCCACTGCTTTCACAGCCACGCTGCGTTGAACCTACATCTCAGATCTCTAGTAGACCATTTCCCGACTATCCAGAAATTGGGGCGCTACTTGGAATGATTGATGCCAACAAACCAGAGCTCTGGCCTAGTGTTCTGCAAATGGCTGTAAGCAAAAATGCGAAATTTATTATTCCTTAGCATTATCCTTATTAAAGAATGTTACTGTCACTTGAATCATTGGTATATATTTAAGTGACTTTGGTCAAGTGGTCTTTAACACCGAAAAACTTTAGTTCAAGTCATGTGATTTTGGTCAAGAGTTCGATTCCCCTTGGGTGCAATTATTAAAAATAAAAAACTCGAAATTGTGTAAGTCAACTGGAGTTGTTTAAGACAACCAGAGTTGTTTAGAGACATCTAAAGTGATGTCTCAAAATATTTTATGACATCAATTTAGATTGTCTATATTTGCAATGATATTCAGGTGCTGCTATAGGTGAACATATATCACTATATGTCTTCTCTATAGAGGGGGAGTTTGCTTTAGACACTATGGACACTATAAGCACTATATATGCATATATAGTACTATATGTGGTAGTATAGCAAAAACCATTTTTCCTGATGTGGGACATAGCAGTGATACAGGAACTGACTATAGACGCCAAAGGCAACACAAGAGCAAACTTTGACTAGCACATGTTGCAGCAACATGGCCCTCTATTCTTTTTTCCGACTCTCTCACCTCATCACTTCGTCATGATGCCACACCATCACTTCTTCACGATTCACCATCATTCTTGAAGCACACTTCCTGATCCCTGCCGACCCTGACCTTCTGTGAGAGAAGCTAAACACTTCCTTTGTACCCTTGATCTTCCACCTCATGGCCTGTACTTCCATTTCCCTTGATATTCTTATGAACCCTTATCCCTGACCTCATGGTCACATACCCTTGATCCTGCTTTAGTTACCTAGCCTGCCCTGAACACTGTTCCCATTTCTATATATATATAACTGACTCCATTGTACTGTACTCCTTAACTTGAATCTACGGGGTTTTACCTGAATGATTACCTTCTCTTGAGTTCACTCTCTTGAGCCTGATCATGAATCGCTAGACTCTTGAATCACTATCCTCAAGTCGATACTTTGTTGATTCTCTTAGACTGTTTGTCTTTGAGCCGATACTGATCTCTTGTCCAGACACAACCCTTCTTTGGCTTCTCGCCTTATAAGCTTACCTATCCTTCTGGAGACCAGAGAAGCACTCTCACACGCCCAAGCTTGGATCAAACTCATGGTGGAATATGGACTATGCCAAGTACTACCAAAGGATAAGCCAACCCTGCAGTCGACCGGCTCCCAACATTGGACCAGACCTGATAATGTGCTCTGTACTGACAATACCCTGGACTTTGTTCGTAATCTGTGATACTGCCCCACACCTACGTGCGCCCAAGACAATCACAATCATGTTCCGATCCTAAGTACTCTGAATCTCAAACTCTCTCAAGCTACCACCAGTGTCAATCTCAACTACCATGACATTGACTGTATGCTATTAACCCACCCCAACCAATCACGGATCTCAAAGAATTCAGCCTTGCAGCAAAAAATCTTGCAACAACACTTCACGACATAATTGAGGAGATAGTGCCAAAATCAAAACTGAACCCACACACCAAACAATGTTAGACCAAGGAGATTTCTCAAGCACTGAAATAGAAACATGAACTAAGCAGCTTGTCCTACAGATTCAGAGCACTGCATGATCACCCTTCACATGAGGAGCACCTTAAAGCCAGAAACTGGGTATAAGAAATGATATAGATTGCTAATAAGTACGTACCATCACCCAGCAGCAACAGTGGGAAGGCTCATATACCAGTACTCCACGCCAAAGACACTGATGGCAATGACACCAGGGCAATATTCAATGATGACAAAAGCACCCTCCTCACCAGGACCTTCTTTCCACCACCACCAACACTCAGCTCAGTACCCGAGAACTATGACTACCCTAACCCAATCATACCAATCAAGCAAATCACCAGGGACCACATCAAAGATGCCATCAAGAACACAAGTCTGTGCAAAGCCCCAGGGCCCAATGGAGTGTGCAACATAGTATTTGAGCAAAATATAGGAACACTGGTCCCCTACCTATATCACCTCTTCAAGGCTGTCTTCACACTAAACACATATTACGAGCCCTGGCGGGAATTCACAACTGTCGTCCTGCAGAAACCAGGCAAAGCCGACTACTCAATCCCAGAAGCATATGGATCTATCGCGCTGATCAACACAACTTGCAAGATACTAACAATCATAATCACCCAACAAGTGACTCATATACTTGAAAGCCACCAACTACTCTCCACAACTGTCATATTCCATACCTGAAGCTTCTCGTCCGGTCCGGTCCATCCATTCTCTCGGGTCCATTCTAGAATTCATTTCCCTGTGTCCCCCATTTGTATATGCTTCTTGATGCCCCTATACGCCCGGATCCTTCTGACAGTTAATATCCGGGTTCATTCTGATCTGTCCGTTAGTCTATTCATTTCCCTTTCATTTAACTTGTCCCTCCTGTTTCATTTAATCTCTGGCTCCATTCTTGATCGTCTGCAGCAGTTCATATCCGTTAGTACATTTTCTACATAGCCCTCTGATCCGAAGACTGCACTTCGGCCGGATACCTGTCGGATACACTACAGTATATAAACCCTTTGTAACCTGTGGTATTTCCTTAGTTCGAATATTAACTTAGACTCTGTTCAATCCTCGTGTCCTCTCGGCTCTTAGGATTATTATCCTAGTCCGATCCTCCGAGCCTCAGGATTATATCCCTAAGGCTAAATACCTCCGCCTCTACCTTCGGGTAGTCTATACCTTGTTAGTTTCTACCCAGACAAAGTCTCGGGTAGTCTTTCCTCTTTCGTCCAGCCCGTCCATACCCCTCTCTCTCTCATCCGGCCCGTCTATACCCTTCGGCCGACGATATCTACCCCCCCTGTAAATTAGGGGCACGTACTCGGGTAAAGAGCGCAGCGCACGAGCTGAAGCTAAGCCCCTCCAGTCCGACCCGTTGAACACGGTCTTAATAATAACCCATTTTGGAGGTCGCCCAGGAAGATCAATGACAGATTCTGTTCACCTGCTAGAAGCAATAGTCAAAGACACATGGAGAACCAACAGAGTAGCCTCAGCACTATTCCTCAATATTGAAGGGGCATTCCCCAATGCAGTTACCAACCAACTACTCCACAACATGAAATGAGGACACCTACCATCAGAAATTGTGGCCTTCACCAAATGGATGCTAATGGGACGGCAAACCCAACTCAAGTTCAACAACTTCCTCTCAGAATGGTTCCCAGTCAACAATGGAATAGGACAAGGCGACCCGCTATTGATGATATGCTACCTGATACACAACTCAGACCTCATAAAGAATGCTAGAGGACGCATCAGCAACCAACAAGAAGAATTTGTGTTGGCCTTTGTTGACAACACCACCTACATAGTGGTCACAAGCACCTTAGAGGAAACCCATATCATTATCAAAGATATGCTTGAGTGAGAGGGAGGAGAATACCAATGGTCACAAGAACACAATTCAAGATTTGAAAGGAGCAAATTTGCACTTATTGACTTCACTTGCAGCAAGACCAAGGAAAGATAACCCATCAGTCTCAAAGGTATTCACATCACACCCTTGCATCACACATGTTTCTTAGGTATCCTGGTCGACCAAGAACTTACATGGAAGGAACACACTGCCTACACAATTGCTAAGGGCACCAAATATGTACTCCAAAAATCTGTTGACTCTCTATAACATCAATGGGGATTCCATTAAAACTAATGTGATAGCTGTATTAAACAGAGGCCATCCCAAAATTCACCTACAGCGCAGATTTATGGTTTTGGCTGATGTTTAAATGAGGAACAAACATCCTGCAACGAGGATCCAAAGGAATAGTGAATCGACTAACATCAGTACAACATATAGCTGCTGTCAGTATAACAGGACCAATGAGAACTTTTCTGACAGACTCACTTGAAGCACATGCTAATTTGCTCCCTGTCCTCATTCTCCTGCAAAAACTTTGCCACCTGGTGACCCTTCCCTAATCTCATCCCTTACACCAAAAGCTCAAGTGGACAGCTGGACACGATGTGAAGAAACACTGCTCCTCTCTCCTCTCTACATAATCTGATACACACCTTCTGCATCTACCCTGACAATGTGGAAACCATCAACCCAACATGCAAAACCCAGATGCAAAACATGTGTATCTACCAGACACAAGTAGCAAAGTCAAAGAAGGATGCAGTGCAAGACCATGACAAACTCACTAACACAATCAAGATATAGACAGATTCAGATACAGCGGAGGCATCAACATCAGCAAACCAGGGATCCTCTGTACAACCCTGGACAGTACTGGACAGAGCCACAGAGCCCACAGAGAGGGTTCTCTCTGTACAGCTCTGTACAGTGCAGTATTGACATTGTACAGAGTTGTACAGAGTAGTACAGAATATCAACAGAGTTGTACAGTGTAGTACAGAATCTCAACAGAGGCTCATAGAGGCTTACAGAATCTCAACAGAGGCTCACAGAATCATCAGAAGACTATTAGACTCTTACAATCAAAACACTAAAAATGCGAAAATTGAAGTCAAATTCAAAGTAACTACTACACTGATATGTACACTACTGACTAAGAAAATATTAAACTTACTAAGCTGGACAAACATGCGAAAATTGTTGGAGGAAAGGAGGAGGAGAGCTAGAAGGAGAGTTTCAGAGAGGGAAGGAGGAGAAGGAGAGAGAAAGGAAGATTTACCAAAGAAGCAAAAATGCGAAAATTTCTGGGGAGGAGGGAAGAGAGCTAGAAGGAGAGGGTCAGAGAGGTAAAAATGCGAAAATTAAAGGGAGGAGGAAGAGAGATAGCTACAGAGTGTGAAAGAAATTGAAAGAGAACTCAATTGAACACAAAGAAAGAGGAAGACTCACCAGAGTTCAAAGCACCAGTACCATCACCAGCACTAACAACACCAACACCAACACCAAAGGAAGAACAAGAGAAAAGAAGCAAAAACTCGAAATTTGTTAGAGAAAGACAGTGAGGGAAAGAAAGGAAAAAATCAGAAAAGACTTGTGGTTGGTTGACCGCACTTTTGCTTATATAAGCAGTGCCAAACAAAGCCACATCACAAGACTTAGTAGAATTTTCGAGTTTTTGGTTAATAGGGTTAGGGTTGAGATTAGACTAGGATTAGATTGACAAGGAAAAAACTTGTGAATTTTCGCATTTTGGAGTATTTTGCTTGGATCTTAACCTATTAGCTTCCATATGTATGTATACTCACAAATATTAATTGAGTAGTGATTTTAAATTTTGTATTAGCAAAATAACAAGCCTGTAAGCTCTGTACAGCTCTGTAGAACTCTGTGTTCTGTGGTGCTCTGTGGTGCTCTGTGTGCTCTGTGATGCTCTGTGTGCTCTGTGATGCTCTGTGTGCTCTGTGTGCTCTGTGATGCTCTGTGATGCTCTGTGATGCTCTGTGTGCACTCTGTGACACACTGTGACTTTTGGTGATTCTGTGATGACTGTCAAAATCCTGGACTCAAAACCAGTAGTTTGCTGATGAAAGCGGCCGCAGTACTCATGCGAAATGGACAGCAACCACGGACTCTGTGATATCACCTAGGCCCCAACAATGAGCACACGGTATACGAGGCGGAAACTCTAGGACTCACACTAGCAGCTCAACTTCTACTCACAGAAAGGAACACAACATATCCAGCATCTATTCTACTCGACAATCAGGCAGCAATATGATGTGGCAAAACCATTAGCAGAGAAGGTAGCAGCTACCTAGCGGACCAACTAAACAAGATGACAAGACTCATTGCAAAATGAAGGAAAAACAGTGGCAACAATGACTTCAACCTAATGATCAGGTGGGTACCAGGGCACAAAGACATTGTAGGAAATGAATTGGACAACCTGTCATATCCCGTGTTCTAGCCCCTATCTGGTCCGACCTTCCATCGGATCACTGGATCATTGGATCTGGTCCAGACTTCATATCTGTCCCTGCTTCTACTTCTGTTACCCCATTTGTATGTTCCCTTTATTCTGACCCCTATATGCCCGGATCCATTTGACAGTTAATATCCGGCTCCATTCTCGATCATATCTGGATCTATTAACATTTAATATCCAACTTCATTTCTCGATCATTCCTGTAGTATTTTTGTTGCACCTGTCAACTTAGCCTTTCCATATGAATGTTATAATGGGGAAGCTCACCACATTACACACGTACATGAGCCATTGACCCATCAATGCCATCAGCAAAGTTCCTAAAATTCACAAACAGCCTGCCCAAATGCTCGTCCAGTATGTATATCCAGCTTCACACTCACCACATACCTCTGAACCACCACCTGCACCACATGCATGCAGTCGACTCTCCACACTGTCCAATAATTACCAATGTAAATGAAACCATTCACCATTACCTTTTTGACTGTCTGCAATATCAGCGATAACACCACATATTCGCAAATGCAACCTGTTGTAATGCAACATCTATAGGAGACATCCTCACCTCACCAAAGATCATGCCTCATCTCATCTGCTTCATCAACAGTGCTTGTCGCTTCAAGCCAACCTTCGGTGAGCTGTCATATATGTAAAAGAATGTTACTACAGTAAATATGTACAGATTGAACATACCAACCAATCCACATACTTCCCAACAAAAGGATAGGCACCACTAGTGCCACTGACGAAACCGAAGGATACCAATGCCAAACAGAGAATGGTAACCTCAACAATATATGCCAACAATAAATGCCAACACATGCTGACCGAATACCTTTGTTTCCAAACCCACCACCTCTACTGACATACCTCCCTTTTGCAGCACTCCTTCTGAATCTGCCACTCATAGTGGCGAAGTACAAGTTCGCATTATTCACTTGACAGAAACCAACAAAATCAACAAAACCAACAAAAAGAACATCAGCAAACTACCAGTTTTGGATACAAGAATCCCACAGCAACATAACTGGCACAGCCCCACAGTGGTGCAGTGCACAGAGCACATAGGGTAACAGTGTGGCACAGTCTTGCACAGTGCACAGGCTCAGGCCTCAGGTCTCAGACCAGAGGCACCAAATAAATTGATATTTTGCTCATCTTCATACATATTAAGTCTGGGAGGAGTAATGCCATATGAAGCACTCAGAGAATGCATTTTACGGTGCAACAAATATTCATGTAATCATGTAACAAAGTGCAAATGTGAATATGTATTGACAATCGTCTACATGGTATAAGGAGTGCTATAGCTATGATTGCTAAATTGGTGTCAAACAGACAGGCCAATCAGTGATTTTGACTGATTTTGACTCACTGTTCTAATATGTCCGCCCCCGTGCTAGTCTTGGAGCATGATAAATCACCAAGAGTCACCTAAACTTGATGTCCCATACTATTCTTGAGGTCTATGAACCCACTGGTAAGAGTCTGTTCGGACACTGAATTTTGGTACATGTGAGCTTCGTATTTCAGAACTTTGTGCTTTGTAATCATTGAATAAACGGAGACTGAAAATCGTTGTCACACTGATAAGGGCATAATGATATGCCCTATGCCCTAGTACACCATGGAGCACGACCCCATCAATACTGCGGATATTGATCCACTAGACCCACCAGATGAAAGAGATGACATCACTGTCAATGAAGACAATATAGACAGCATCGAGGGAACCACGGCAATTGATACTGATGAGCTAGATATACTCCGGATACGCTAGCTGTTCGTCAAGGCCGCTCATGCGACCAGCTATATTGTAGATACTACCTCCAATGCACTACAACTCTACTTGAATTCCTATTATGAGAAGCAGCCCTATAACACTTCCACCCTATCAGAAATAGCATGGGTCAATGAACTTCTCACAGGACATCCAGACTGCATATGATGCAAACTCGGAGTACAGTGCCATGTATTCTATGTACTGCTTAATTTGCTTTGTGATTTTGGGTGCAACAACTCAAGATATGTCACGCTCAAGGAGCAACTTTGCATTTTCCTGCATGTGTCTGTTACAGGTCTCCCTGTTCGCCGCCATGTTGGTGAGCGCTTCCAACGCTTGAATGACACCATATCAAATTAAGTCATCCCCCCCTTATTGTGGACATACTTTTTAATTGTTTTGGAGGTATTTTAAATGCATTCTCAATGCATTCGCCTCCCTCCCCCCATTTATCCAAAGTATGTCCATCTGCCTGATGCAGATAGTCCCGCACCGCTGGAAGTCCTCCAGAACACAGAATTTTACCCATACTTTGCCGACACCATTGGTGCTATAGATGGCACTCATATTGTATGCCACCCTGATCATGCGGCTCGTGACTCTGCTCTCAATCGAAAGGGCAGCTTGACCCAAAACTGCCTCACAGCCTGCAGTTTCAACATGTTGTTTCTCTATATGCTCAGCAGCTGGGAGGGGTCAGCAACAGATGCACATATCTATCATGATGCTCGCATTACCAACTTTCATATCCCCCCTGGCAAACTATCTTGCGGATGCTGGATTTGCAGCATGTGATGAGCTACTTGTGCCATATCATGGCATGTGCTACCATCTTGCTGAACATGGGCACAGCCATCTCACGTAAGTAGCCCTTTTCGTGCTTGTCATATCCCATACCTGAAGCTTCTCGTCCAGTCCGGTCCATCTGGTTCCTCAGGTCCATTCTAGAATTCATTTCCCTGAGTCCCCATTTGTATATGCTTCTTGCAGCCCCTATATGCCCGGATCCTTCTGACAGTTAATGTCTGGATTCATTCTGATCTTTCCGTCAGCCTATTCATTTCCTTTTCATTTAACTTGTTCCCTTTGTTTCATTTAATATCCTGCTCCATTCTCGATCATCCGCAGTATGTTTTGTCCGCTAATACATTTTCTACATAGCCTTATGTTCCGAGGACTGCGCTTTGGCCGGATACCCGTTGGATACACTACAGTATATAAACCCTTTGTAACCCGTAGTATTTCCTTAGTTCAAATATTAACTTAGACTCTGTTCATTCCTTGTGTCCTCTCAGCTCTTAGGATTATCATCCTAGTCCGATCCTCCGAGCCTCAGGATTGTATCCCTAAAGCTAAACCCCTCCGTTTCTACCTTCGGGTAGTCCGTACACTGTTAGTTTCTACCCAGACATTAGTCTCGGTAGCCTTCCCTCTCTCGTCCGGCCCGTCCATTACCCCTCAGCCGACGAGATCTATCCCCCGTAAGTTAGGGGCATGTACTCAGGTAAAGGGTGCAGCACACAAGCTGAAGCCAAGCCCCTCCGGTCCGACCTGTTGAATATGGTCTTAACAGCGCTCCTCACTCATGCTTACATTTTTTTAGCACTTGAAATCACCCAAACTGTGCAATCTGTGCCACGCCATGCTCCAAAATGTTGTTGAGTGCATTTTTGGCATTTTGAAAAACCACTTCCAAATCCTTTTTCTCCCACCTCACTATACCATGGAAATACAAGCTCATATCCCCCAACATTATGCCTGGTGCATAATATCATCTGTGTTCACGACCCCAGCAACATGTTAGATTACTGTCAAGTCAACCTTGACATCTACGGGCCCATGTACAACCCTGGTGCACTTGCTGAAGGCACTCCCTCCAATGAGGCATGCACACGTGCACATGAACATCATGATCAGATAGCTCATCAAATGTGGGAGGACTACAATAATGTAAGAGAGGAAAGAGGGCAGTCACTTGTGGCGGACAATCTTATGTAGTACTTACTGTCACTATTGAGTTTCTGTTGTTGTTGTCTTTACCATCAAATTTTCTTACTTAATATCAGATGCACGCCTAGGAATGATATCATTTGTGCAAAACACAACAAGTATGAATGACTAATTAAAATAATCCAATAAGAACAGCCTGCGGATACTATCTTACTCAATGGCAAGGTATGAATCAGTGATTGCGACATCCTTCTGGAAATGTTTGATCACCACCACCACTTGGTGATCCTCCAGACCATCCTCCTTCTGCAGCTGAATGATTGCCTTCTGTCGGCGCAGTGGAATGGGATCGATAGTGTGGGGTGTGCGCTCTTGAAAGACAATGGCTGCATGATCAAATGAGGTACTGAGATCCCGAATATCTGAACCTATCTGCTGAAATGCTTGAGGCATGCTGGAATGTGCAGACTTGAGTGACTTTCCCAAATGCCAACACAGCAACCTTCGACTTTGAAGTGTTGGGAGGACGAGAAGACGTCCTCATAAACTCATCACTGTCAGCTTTGTGCTTACCAGCAGCCACAGACATACCCGATGTACCCGGTGTAAATGGAGCAAAGGGGGATTGTAGCACTGTGTCAAATGGGGAGGGCAGCAGCAGCATGAGGACGTCTACTGGGTTCGCATCATTGGAGGTGTTCTCCATCTCATCCAGTGCCACTTCCTTGTTGCGCATCTCAACCTTGTCAAAACTCATGCCTGCAACAGCCATGCTGGTGCTAGCCAGTGAGGTGATGGAGGCCTGGAGGGGGTGGTAGGCATTTGTAACCTTTGCCTTTGAAGGAAGGATGTTCTTCAGTTTCTCGTATGGCGGCCAGCCCTCGGTCTTGTAGGACTTAGCGGCAGGAGGAGCCTATAAGCTAGTCTGAGTAGTTATACTGCAGTGAAAATTTTACTTACTTTGATGATATCAGCCCAGACAGTCTTTGATTTGGGTGTGATGTCGGCATCACAATCTTTGTCCCATGCAACACCCAAGTGATTCACTACTCTGTCAATAACAACGAAAGTGGCATGGAGCTAGAGGTGCATCAGTATCATATTCAGACGGAACATAGCAATGACTTATGTGATTCCACTTAGATAAACACGCATCCCCTGTCTTCACTGTGTCTTGTGAGGTGGACCCAGCTAGGTGCACAGCAATGTCGTTCCAGAATGTCTTGTTGAAGTTCATGCCATCGCCAGCCCTGGCTTTGTTGACCTTCACGAAGTCTATGAGCACAGTTTCATCATCCAGTGTCCAAAGCATCTGTCTTTGGGCTTGGGCTCCTGACTTCCTGTGGCTTGCTTTTTCTTCTGGGGTGCCATGGCATGTTTAATGTAGGAACAAGAGGAATAAATAGAATCACCTAGGTGGGTACTACAACATACAATAGGGTTAGGGTTACAAAAAACCAGTTACAACTGATCTGGACCAGTTTTTACCGGTTTTTGATTTTTGCCCAAGGGAGGCAACTGGCAACCAGACTGTGGGAATGGTTGCAACCGCCCAGGGTCCGGTCTGGCTGCCTGTCTTTTTTCAGTCCGGAATCTGCTGAATGTGCTATTCGTGTTTATCATGGGTTTTGTCATATACCGTACACTGAGCCCCTGAATCATATCCCATCTCTCGCAACACACAATGTCCGGACCTCCAAAATGTAGCCAAGCTATACCTTAACCCTATCCCTACCCCTCAGCAGGATAACTCCACATCCCAGTCTCCACCGGACATACCCTTCAGCAGGATCTGCCCTGCTTTCCTATACATCGGATGTCCTATACGTCGGATGCCCTATTCATCGGTCCTCCTCCTGTATGTCTCGGATCCCCTATACATCGGACGTCCTATACGTCGGACGTCTTATTCATCGGTCCTCCTCCTGCATACCTCGGATCTCCTTTTCGTCGGACGTCCTATTCGTCGGATCCCACTCATGTCGTCCACTCGTCCGCTCCTCCTGTACTCATCGGACATCCTATACGTCGGACCCGCTCGGGTCCACTTAACCCCTAAGCATCGGACCCTAAACATTGGACCTACTCAGATCCTGAGCTTCGGACCCAGGTCCACTTAACCCCTAAAACATCGGATCCACTTCACAGTTCATCTCCATCCCCATTTCCCGTGATCCGCTTGACAGTTCATTTCCGGTCCTGCTCCTATTCTGTTACCCCCATTTGTATAGTCCCCCTGTCCTAACCCCTATATGCCCGGATCTGTCTGACAGTTAATATCCGACTTCATTCTCGATCATACCTCCTATGCCCGGATCCATTCAATACTTCATCTCCGTCTCTGTTCCTGTATTATTTTCCTTGTGCCTGTCAGTTTAACCTTTTCATATGGTCCTCGTGTTGACCTGGATCTCCGCTGATTCTGTCCCCGTCGCACATGTCCATAGTATATAATACCTTGTAAACTCGTAGTAGTTTCCTCAGTTCGAATATCACCTTAGATTATCCTCATTCCTGTTTCCTCGGACCCGGATCCATTTCCATGGGCCCGGGTCCACTTCCCTGTCCAACCTCTGTGTCCTGGGATTGATTCCTCGGGCTATACTCCGCCTCTACCTTCAGGTAGTCTACCTCTGTCAGTTTCTACTCTGGACATTGTCTAGTGTAGTCTTACCTCTAGCTCCTGTCCTCTCGGACATCCTGTCCTTCTGTCCTCTCGGACTTCCTGTCCTTCTGTCCCCTCGGACTTCCTGTCTTTCCATCCTTACACCTGTCTGTTCTGTCCCCACGTCTGCCGGATGAAAGCCCCTATTCTCCGGGTGTACTAAGCCCCTATTGTCCGGCGGACTAATCCTCTTATGTCAGCCGGACTAATCCCCTTATGTCGGCCGACGAACCCCCTTTATGTCGGCCGGACTAATCCTCTTATGTCGGCCGGACTAACCCTCCTTACGTTGGCCGACGAACCCCCTTTATGTCGGCTGGACTAATCCTCTTATGTCAGCCGGACTAACCCTATGATCGGCCGGACTAACCCTCCTTATGTTGGCCGGACTAACCCCCTGAACATCGGCCTGACTCTTCCTCGAAAAGCCTACCAGACTTGTCCCCTTGAAGTCCACCGGGATTCATCATTTTCCCTCGGACTTTGTTTCTAGCCTTCGGAAATTAAGGGCACGTACTCAGGTAAGGGGCGCAGCGCACGAGCTGAAGCCAAGCCCTTCGGATCCGCCCTTTGAGCACGGTCTTAACAGGTTTATGACAGGCAACCACACCTGGAACCTTCAGGTAAGGTCTGATATCTCAATTTCTCGTTCCACATAGCTAACAAGACCACATAGGTGGGTATATGCATTAAATTTACAATAAATCAGAAGTGTGTTTGTATTCCAAATATAGTCAGCACAATTGTTTGTCTTAGTGCATCAATTAAATGTTGATGATATTTAAAATGGTATTTGCAGTGTGACAACATGCAGGATGGCCATCAAAAGACGCTGGATGACAATCAAAAGGCGCTGGATGACAATTAAAAGATGCAGGATGACAATCCAAACACATGGGATGGCAATCCAAACATGCGGGATGGCAATCCAACCACACAGATGGTAATCTAAACATGCAGGATCACGGTGCGGGATGACTATCTAAAGACATCAGATGGCTATCCAAAATGCGGGATGGCAATCGAAAGACATAGGTTGACAACCCAAACATAATGAACCTGTGGCCGGTGATTGTCATATTCCATGTTCTAGACCCTATTTCCAGTCCGGTCTTCCATCTGGTCATCATACCCAATCTACACTTCATTTCTGCCTCTGCTCCAATTCTGTTACCCCATTTGTATAGTCCCCTTGTCCTGGAGATATGGCACTTCAGTCGAGAAGAATCTGCAGGTGGTCATGCTTCGCCTTGATAACTCCTTCAAGGTTCTTTGCCTCAGGTTAGCCTTGGGAAATGACATCAGTGAAAGCTTGACCAAAACAACTTATTCATGGGAAGTTGCAGAATGTCACAGCCACAGCCAGCAACAAGTATGACATTCTACAAGGACAACCAAACATTTGTTTCTCCCCATCCTCATCACCCACCACCTCACATCATCCCTCCCTCATAACTTTCACCAAAGTGTAAGTTCCAGCCCCCTGCAGAAAAATTCATTTTTGTGCCAAACATTCATCAATTGCAGATATGGTCATTCTAGAGAGTAAATATGACATACCATTATGATATGAAGCACAGAAATATTGATGATGCTCTGAAAGCTGAGCTTGGCGCTCTTTTGGTTTGTGACCTTTCCTGGTGTAATAATTATCTTATCAATAATTGCGACTCATTTATTTCCCCTACACAACACAATGTGGTGATTTGACACTGGGCTAGACCAGGTGGTGCACTCATGGAGAACAAAGGAATCTATCAATGGACTGCAATTTTGAAAGTTCCCATGCCATTACAGTGTCAAAATTGGTTGGAGCCAATCGGCACCCCAGTCAATAAGACCTATGAGAGTCTTCTGACCGACTTCTTCAAGTATGTAAGTGATGTGAGTGCTACTACTTACCAAAACCTTACCATTGATTTTTAGGTCACAATTCTGAGCTGCAAACACAGAAACCATTTTAAGGAGGATTCCACAATTCTTGAGGATGTTGAATTGTGCTTGTGGATGAACAGAGCAGGACTTTACTGGAAGCTCATGTGGAATGGCCCTCCACATGTCTGTGTTCATGTGCAGTGGAAGCCTTCACTCTGAAGCGCTTGATATAGGTTTGGACCCTAAAGTGTTTTCCAAGGTGATGAACTACTTTATGGAAGCAGACCTTTTATGTCTGGGATATGAAATTCACATTTTCTGGGTTTTCCATGCCTCTGTCCAGGATTGGGATGATAAGCAGTATTGGCTGAATGAAGAAGTGGGCAAAACAGCATGTCTGAGTTCTAGTGTTTTAAAGTCCAGTTGTCAGACCAACAAAACTGGCAACCGAACCGGACTGCCAATGGTTGCAACCACATACCAATTCTTGGTGTTCAAATTCTCAGCAGCTCATTCCTTGGCTTGTTCTTCAGGACTGCCTCACGCCATTGTGATATATGTGAGTTTGTAGAAGTGATGTTGTAAAGAGTGATATGGCATATGATGATTGAAAATAAAAGCCATGTTCTCACTACCAAACACATTTGGTGCATGACACTGCAGATGATGACAGCAAAGATTCAGATGAAACAGGGAAAGTTGAATGTAAAGTTGAAAGGTAAGTATCATTTTGCCTTTCATTTATATACTAACAATCTCTGACTCTTCAGTGACTACAAGGTAAAGAGCAAGCCATTATGCTCCCACTGGTGACCAGAGATTTGCAATCGCCTTGTGATGTCCTCTGCTCTAACATCGGGGTTTTTGCCCGTATGCACATTCCATTGCTCTAAAAGCGGCCCCCTGGGTCGCTTGTTGATGGTGGGGTGGTACTTAGTATCCCTGGAGTATAATCCACATTCGTTAATGTGGGCAAGAATCATCCCAAGGGCGTTGAGTCCATGATTGTGGGGAGATTGCTACCTTGATTTGAAAAACACCAATCTGGTGTCCGTTAGTTAGGGTGTGCAAGTGAAGTGCCAGCAGAGTTTTTCCATAGGTTAGAACACAATGTGTATGACAGGGTGTGTGGTAGATGTGAACAGTGTTTTGGATGAGCATCCCTCTATGGTGCACTTGAGCAAGTCGGGTATGACGCAGATGCCATCTATAGGCAGAACTGGATTGATCAGCAGAGGCTTTGGAAGATGGGCATCCAACCCACACAGGGTATTGGAGACCCTTGCCTTGGATGGCAGTCATTTATTGGAGGTTCCTTTGGACTTATGTTGTCTATGGTGGTGGCCGTGTGCTTGCTCCCATGAGATTGTAACGGCACAGTCAAGGCATACGGTGAGGTTAAACATCAGGTCAACGTAGATGCCCCAACATTGTCCCATATCTGTGGCTCAACGAAAAACTGTCTTGTTGCTCAGATTGTACTTCACTTTCACTCATAATGTCTCTGGTGAAGCATGGAGTGGTTGGCTTTTACGTGTTGGTCCACTTGTAAATATGTCTTGTGGGGATGGAGAGATGCTGGAAGAGGCCTTCTGCTTGTTTAGGTCAGGTGTGATGATGCGCTATTAGAGAGTTTGGTCTCAGGAGAGTCTATAACATTTACTGAATAAAAGAATGCCCAAGCTGAACATTGAAACTTACATTCTGAAATATGTTTGGTGTCAGGAAGCTTGTGTGCTACTTCTTGAGATGTAACCCATTTTTTAGTTGGAGAGTTGTGTGAGCTCGTAAGTTAGACATGAATATATATGCCACAGTTGTGCCAACTCCAAATCCCGAGGTTCTACATACCAGAGATTAGGGAAGAGGAAGTAAGCATCATTGTATGGAGGAGAAATTCCAAGGCTCAATATAGTGATATACTTATTAATATGCAGAGAGTTGAAGTCCAAACCCTACAAGCTGCAACTGAACACGAGTCCGAGATCTGTCGATGCAGGACGAAAAGTGCCGAGGGACAATCTTTGAAGTTGTAGCATAGTGTCATTAAGCCCATGCAAATCCTTGTCATCCAGATGGCACATATTGAAGGAAGCCAGGTCGACATGTGTGAGTATCAACTGGTACAGTGGTTGAATGAAAGTAGATGGTAGTGGCATGCAGTTGTGTAAACATGAACTGTTCTAATTGTGATGCTGAAGGGGCGCAATGGATGGTCTAAACTGCTCTGAGGTTTATAAAAGGTTGGGTTGGTTCATTAAGGCCGCTCATGTGGACAACTTAGCTCAATAGGGTTCTGATCAAAGTTAGCTGGTTGCGGGTAATATATCATATGTAGATCAACTCGCCATTTGATGTGCCAAGAACATCCATCAGATGCAAATTGGATAATGTTCTGTATATTCAAAATGGGGTATTGAGATAGGCAATTTTGGCCGTGCATGTATATGTAGGTAACTACCAAAGTCTATGGTTGGACATTTGCTATTCAAGTTTAAAGGCCTCCACAAACAGTACTCGCCCTCGAGAATAAGGCACTCCTGTTTCTTCTTCCAAGGAAGGGCTGGGGCGAGATCTACCATAGGAATGTGTAATGCTGCATCACCCCCCTGCAGTTTTCACAGTGCACCAAGCTGCAATACAATTCTCAGGTGCAGGACCATTCAGACCGCAGAAGGGGTCAGGGCAATGTGTATATTCCAGGCGCTTGGCCAATTTCCCTCCCTGGAAACCAACCAACACCTAGAAGAGTGCATCACATCATACATGAACAACACAGGGGCAAACAAACTCCTTCAACCATGATGACGGCCCTATAATCAAATTGAGTTAAACATTGTGAAAGGTGAGCTCAAGACTTACCAGGTTTCTCTGAGAGTTTCAGGATGGCGGTGTCCTGGGTGTTGTCGGCATTGACAACCCACAGATTAGAAGTTGAGGAGGTCGGACCAGCAGTTGAACACCGCATCAGCAGACCAAGAAGTCCAGGAAGAAGATGAGGGGCTGGGGAAACCAATGGAGGGTGCCATCCTTTCAGGAGGAGGAGTAACGCTTCGAGGCTCAGGAGCCATGTTTTTTTTAGCATCCTACTTCTATTTCTGACTGACGTGAGCAGTTGAAAGGAACTTTGATGTATAACTAGCGCCTTGGCATTTTGGTCATTATCTTACGGCTACTTTCAACAATGCTAATGACTGCAACGACAACTTCACTGACAACTTCAGTGATGACACATACAGTGAAGTGTTCACTGATTATACTGCAGGATCTTACTACCCACAAGGGTTGGGTATGTATTACAATTTCAAAGATGGGATGTTTATTGACGAAGATGAAACCCCCATCACTAAAATGATAAGCATTGTATATCTTGCGGTCATTTATATTCACACTTTGTTCCTCCTCTCACACTACATAGGGAGAGATGCATATTGTCGGCCTCAATGATGAAGATGCAATGCTCATTGTCCAAGACACTATGCTCATTGACCAAGATAACACAAACACGGTGAGTATATTTTATGCCTTGTGGTGCTTTTAAAGATATTGACACTACGTGGTGTGGCCATGTCATAGAGTCTGACTGACATGTGAGGCTCACCATGCATGGAGGCAGTGCAACTGTCATCCCTGATGTTGTAATGTTGCGCGGTAGCCCTTTTTGTGACCCCCGATAATGTAGTCTTCTTGACCAACGAGTTCCTTGAACATATTGATGCTAGCATTCCAAATCTTTATTGCAAAACCAATGGAAACATTGACCTTAACACAGTTAGTGGTGGTGAATTTAACAACAATAATCAGACTTACGAGTGACTGATAACTCTCAGACAAGAGTAGCAACTGAACCTTGACTTAAGTCTACATGCTGCACTACCCCTGTAGTCATATACTTGGGCCCTCAGACAATACTAACTGAGTCTCCAGGCCCAACATCATAGCCCTTCTCCTTTGTAAACTTAAGGATGGTGGGCATGCATGTGTGTGACATGGGGAAGCAGAAGGTTGCTACTTGCAATGTGGCACAATACAGCATTTCAAAATTGGGTGAGTTTGTTTGCAATAAAGCTATATTGGGAATATCCACGGTAAGTATGTTGTGCTAAAATCTCCCTGATCACATCAACTTACATTTACATTAGCCATGTCTCGCATCATTTATGGACCTCACTCAGGTGCTACAAAGATTCAAATTGCTGATTAGGAGGGTGAGTTCTCTCCTTGCAGTTGTTCACACAACTAACAAACCCTTCTAGGGATAGATTTGTGCTACGACCTGCTGCAGTAATGACTGGATGACCCCACATGCATACCATCACACGCACACACCACAGTACTACCTACTAGATGTTTCAGAGGTAGTGCTCACCATACCTGGCTACCTGTGAGTGACTCAGTTATTGGAAAAAACAATGCAAGGTGTACTTTGACAAAGATGGCAGAGGCTGGCTTGACCGTTGAGGGCACACTGGATGGAAAGGCAAGGCAGCCAAAGATTTAAGTCTCAGGCATGGCATTGGCAGCTTTGGTGGGAGTGATACGGCCAGACATTGTTCAACTGTGTCTTTGACCTAGGTAGGTTAACACTATTGTCATTTGTCCAATTGGACGGTGATAGGACCATGGGGTATACCGGGGTATATAGCAATTCTCAAAGATTCAATGAATCTGAATATATTATCTCCATCCCAGGCTATGATAACTAGGTGGGCATGCAAACACATCCAACACGCTAGGACTGTCATGGCAGTTCTATCCCAAACCAAGCACTTTGGCAGGCACAGCAACCAGACCGTTAGCACTCTGGGAGAGTATAAAATTGTTGGTTGACGAGGACAATAGAGATGTTGCCTCTGAGGTGTGTAATAAGAATGATGGTGGTTGAGGATTAAGAGAGGACACTACGTAATGAATAAACAAACATCATTAAGCAGTTTGTGCATGATTATAAGTGGTAGAACCAAGGTTTATGACTGATTAAGTGCATGACTTTTTTTTGTCTGTTGATGCTGTCCTACCTGTTGCAAACAAATTATTCGACCTTGGACAAGACAGTTTTCAAAGGTCAGCTCATGTTTCTCCAATGCTCCATGTGATGGAAGATGAGCTGTGCCTTGTCTCAGTCAGGGTCATCTTAAGGGAATATGTTCATCACATCAAATCAGGCTATTAATAATGAGCTGCCAATGGGTGAGTTGGTTTCACAAGAGGAACTTTCATGGTATCTTCAACCATTCACATCTCTGGCTACATGATAACATGTTTCTTGTCACCCAATTGTACTAGTAATACCACCTATGCTACTCCCATTCCAAGTGTTGGAAATAATGTACGCAATAGCCATCAGCTGGACATTTGACCAAGTCTGGCGTAGCAGACCCACTGTTCTAGGGCACTGATAAACAACATTGACCATGTCACATTTTTCGGTGTTAATCTCACAATGACCCCTTATGACATGGAACTCATCTCCAACATCTGAGAATATCACAGTAGGAGGTTGCCTTACAGGTTGTCTCATCTAAATATCTTGGATCTGTGTTGTTATAGTTCATGCATTGTCGGCCCATACGCCCCATGGCCACATGCTCTACACAAGTTCATTTGTAAGGTCTAACACACAACTAACAGGGCTAGTCATCTGACATTCTAATTTTCAATACCACAACTAATAATACAGCACAACCAGCAACTGTGTCATTAATCATGTGGAAGAGGCGCAGGAATAGACAGACTGGACGTATGTATGGTCAACCGCATACCATCAGCTAGGCCCATAGGATAACATATAGGTAATGAATATGTATGTATAGAGACCATGAAAAGGATAGAAAAGCGTACTGTAGAGGTGAATAATCATATAACTAACACCAACCGTCATCCCAACACTCTAGCACCAAGCTGAGTCACACACACACTTCCAGCATTTCTCCTCAAAAATTTTCAGGTATATTTCTCCCGAAGTCAGTTAGAAATCACCCCATATCAAATGAAGTGAGTGAAATCAATTGTGTGATGCAATGGAATGGAGTGCGCTTTGGAGAGGCGCAATGCTGCGCACACGCAACTGAAATACTCGACTCCGTACACGCCCAGCCAGCAGTGCAAAACGGTGAATGTCGATTTATACCATTTATCTTGATGAATAACAAGTTCATTATTTTTAGGCAAATTGGCCAGACCATGCTCAGGGCCGCTGCCTGCTGCGACAACACAGGCAGCATCTGGCGAGCACTGACATTTTATGATGTTAATTGCCAGTACCAATTCTTAAATTGAACTGGCAGCATGGAACATTGGATGTGGATTCACACTAATATGTATTTCCAATGTTTGTTGAATGCTGATTAAGTGTGGTGTGCCCGACAACAAAAGAACGAAGTGAGAGGGTTTCTGTCTAAATCAAGTTCCTTTTCACTGTAAAAGGAGCAATAGTTACACTTGTATTCCTTAAAATTACCTGGAAGATCAATGGCTGCATTGAATACACTGCCTGCACGCGATCGGCAACACTTCCTGCTCTTCAGCAGATTTTGCAAAAGTGAAAGTTAAACTTGTTCCTTCCATCACCAGTAAATACAAAAGCATCTAACCAGAAGTGGCTCGCCATCGGAACCTCCTGAGTACTCTTGCCAGGATTGGCGCACCGAGTAAAAACATGTGATGTTTGCGAAACAGATTTCCATTTTCTTTTCTTTTCCCGTCATGTGTGGCCAAAGGATTGGATATGTTGCTGCAACCTGTGACAATGACAAGAAATTGTACAAAGAGGACTCACAGTGAAACCACTTTCGCCAGTTTGAAAAATGTTGCTCACATTGTTTGGCTTTACCAATGCTCTCCAACACCACAGGCTGGAAACGCGGTGATCAACAGCATATCATTTGGTGCCAACATTATATTCTTCGCTGCGGATATCTCAGCCGAAAGACATTGTCAACCTTCTGCCTGAACTAAACCTAAAAGTGCTTGCTCAATGAAAATCCTTGGCTACTTCCTCGTATTTCTCAGATCGCTTATCTGGTTTCAATCTTCTGAGTCTTCTTTTGTAGAATCCTTTGTAGACGGTGTCATTCTGATTCATCAATTGATGCCCTTGAAACTTTGGCATTTTGTTGCCATCAGGAAATCTGATGGCTGTTGCTACAATCATGCATGTAACCTAGTTAGTTCCACATGGCTATGGCCTAGTCTTCCACTTTTGTCTAATGGATCCAAACCCAAGCACCGGGCCTCGGTCACCTAGCTGTTCGAATTCTGGTTTAACATTGGATTTTACTGTTTTGGTGTCAAATTGGATGAAGTGGTTCGTATGCAGGGGTTGATGGGCTCCACAGTACTAAATGTTGTTTGTTTGGATGACAGAACACTGACTGAGTGTTATGCAATATGTCTCCATTCCTGTATATGTCACAAGATGCTCGCACAGGCACCTGGCATGTTGATCATTTCCATCTCAAACACCTTGCAATCCATAAGACTGTCACTGCATGTTCTTCCATATTCCAGAAATTTTCTCCACTAAGCAGGGGAGACACAGATGTGCTCGGGGTGCCTGTAATCGTGATTGCACATGTACAGCCATTGTCCCAATATGCCTGTTTATAGTCATCCTGGCTCCAGCACTGTAACACTTCTCAATTCAGTACCCCTGATCCAGCACCATTAGTGAATTTCTACAGCTCTTACCTGCAACTGACGGAGTAAGCAGGATGAAGAATAGTACTGCCTTCAAGAATGTCATGCAGAAGCACTCATCAGTGGGTAAACTCCATTTATCTAAGGCCATTGTTAACATGGCATTGGAACTGCGTAGTTGCTCAGAGCTTCCGGCCTTCTGCAACAAGTACCCATCTGGCAATCGAAGCACTGGTCAATCTGAACTTCATGACAAATGGACGAGAGGCTACACGGTGGGCGTGGGTAGGGGAATTTTATGGCATTGAAAAGAAAAACTCACAAACTAATTCACCCAGAAGAATTAATGCAAATCATGAGGTGGGATTTTCAGGTTGAATTTGATGCCCAGTGAAAATAAGTGAAGATAGAAATTGGTAGTTCAATACGAATCAATTCCTGGTATGGCATTATTTCTCTATTCAAAACATCTACATTATATGCTCATTATATATTAGATTCTAGTAATGAAGATGGGGGAAATAAGGGCAGTGGTGATGAGGGCACCAATGATGGAGATGAAGATGTATCCATGGAGAGCACAGGTCTGAGCAAGATATGAGCATTATAAAAAAAAAGGTTCCCAAACTCCACCCTGGATGTGAGTCAAATATGAAATGTCATTACCATGCTTAGAGTATGTTTGGCAGGTCAGATTTAGCCCACTTAGCTAACATTTTCAAACTTCAAACTGCATTAAGTAAGCTTGCTCCTCCTAGCCAGAGCTTGAATTCAAGTCACGCTGTTATCTCTGATACACACTACCATGCTCCCTCGCCTGTTGCGCCATGGCAGTGACCCTGACTCAGATCCACCATCCCATGGTACTAGAAGTGACGAAGTCTCGGAAGATTACTCAGATTTTGGGATGATGATGAGGTGGACAATGAAGATGATTCAGAGCGGGCAGATAAGAAGACTCTTCGAGTGGTCATAGGCCTATACCACCAAATCATTACATCAGGTCCTGAAATCCTTGAAATCCTTCAACTCCTATACCAACACCCACTACAACAAGATACCCTACCATACCTCGGCACTACGAGGGATCATAAGGAGAAGTCATCAGATACAAGTATAAAGGGGAGGAGTATTACGGCGGTCTTCTCAAGAAAACCTTCCATCAATATGCAACCGAGTTAGTCCCACATTCCCCACCCCAATGATATCCACCTCCATCTCCAATCTGGATGGGATACCAATGCCAAGAAAACAGAAATTGCCTTCTCCAAACTCTCCTTGCAAGCTGGAGATTCCATTCACCTCCGTACACCTGATGAAACTGGGCAAATGTACACTATCCTTACAACAGATCATTCCTTTGGTGGTTCAGTCACCATGGAATTTGTTGGATGGTCACCGAAAAAACATGAAAGCCATGCTTGCTGAAATAGAGTGGGTCTTTGACATTGGGGATGAAGTTTGTGTTGTCACTGGAGTTTGTTCAGGCGTGAAAGGGCACATCATACTGAAGTACAACAACAACTTTACCATTTGCCAGTCCGGCACACAGCCAGAGGTATGTATTTTATATTAACACAATACTCTCTCTAACTAAAATAATGTTTAGATCAAAGTCTCCAAGTCTGGTCGGGTAGTTTCCAGGAATGTTGATAAAATGTCACAATATCTGACAATATTGTCCAAAACTGTGATAGCATACATATGCAGGTACCCAATGTGTATGTAAGGAAATATGCAGTCCAGACGGCGCTACAAATTACAATTATACTTTGCATGGATGGAAAAATATGCATTCACACTGCCACAATGCAAGTCTCAATGAGAACTGACTAATACATGATTCCAGTGACATGTGAACAAATGTATGAATGGCCACTCAGATATCCTTCATTCTCTGTGTGGAATTTGCCCCAATTACCTGACAGGAACTAAATTAATTATGATGGTTAAATGTTCTGAAGGACTGACCTGCTTGGGTACACCAGCTCTACACCAATCACATAGCTTAACAGTTCCAAGTTGGAAGCAGGTATCACTGCAGCCATCCATAAAGGCACCAGGGATAATCCTAAGATACTGGTCCTTAAGCGCCCATTGCTTTTGCTCTTCCACGCCAAGACACTTGGGCCTAGCGCTGATCTCCACCCCTTGTCACTGGGATCCCAAAATACAACTGAGTGCGCCTCCTCCCCATCTCGTCTTGCTCTCCCAGACTCTTGTTCTTTGTCTAGCAGGTTGTGAGGTGATTTCCAATGCACCACCATACGCACTGAGGGGTTGTCCATGCCAGCGCCAAGACAGCTGGTGGTGGTCAGGATACAGGAACCTTGGCCACTTGTCCATTGATTGTAAACAAGTTTTTGGCATGCTTCGTCAAGTTTGGTGTGATAGAAACCACAACCCAATCGCCCCGCAAGCAATTCAGCATCATGTGAGGCAATAGACAAGTATACGACCTCCCACCCAGAGATTCTTGGAATAATTCAAAATGAATATCACAATATTTTGAGACCTGCCATCCCCATCTGTGAAGGTGAGCCTATTTGTGTCTTGAGAATCGATCTTAAAGCGAGAATAGACAATATTGGGATGTGTGGTGGGTGCGTGAATCAGCTTAGTAGTAGCTGGTAGGATCTGCAGCAACTGGGCTGTCGCTGTAACAGGCATTGTAGCTAACAACAAAAGAAGCTGCACTGCAAGCTCCCGAAGTGTTCTGACGTTAGGATAGCTTGCACCTCATCAAGGACAATGCGCGCCAACTGCTTGGCAAGGAATATCTTGGCCAGGAAAGTTAAGAAAGATGGGCTTGCTGCAGTGTCTGCAGAGACCAAGATGCAGTGGGTGTTATGTCGAACTTCAGAAGTGCCTGCAGTCCACTGAATATATTTGATGTTCTTCTCATCCAACCCGCGGCTCATGTCTTGTAAAAGTGCTTGAAGGGGAATGACTACAATTGTCATCAGCCCCTGCCGGATTTCCTCTGCATTGGCTGCCGCAGCCATGAATACAAATCACTTTCCTCCTCCCATCTCTAATATCAAGAAAAGATTGTATCTCTGCTGGGCTGTAAGTTTTACTTACCGCAGCTGCTTGCTCTTTGGATCGTAATGAAGCCTGGGAACCCATGATTGCGCGGAGTTCTGCATATCTTGCAGGGTCCACGGAGACAGCACCTGCATCTATAACTTCCATACCGGCCTCCATGCGGACAGATGGCCCATAATGCCTATCAAGACATGGCGGGTAGCTGCCAATCCCAGTGGATATCCTAGGCCTCTGCCTGCGACTGGTTCTCCAGAAATTGATGACCAGATATGCTGCTGAGATCCTCAGAGTCCCACTCCCTGTCCAGGCTGGTGAAAACAAGAGTGTGAAAGTGGATGGCTTCTGCTTTTGATGGAGCGTAGATGGATGTAGAGCAGGTGCCACCAGTGACCCCCAAAGTATGAAGAGCTGACTGACATGGGGCTCCAAGCTATGAGATATGAGTCTGTGGCTCCCATGTTGGTTGGGTCTTGTTATAGAGAGTGATGATGTTGAGATGTCCACCAAATCAATAAAGGTTCCTGGGGTGTAGGACAGTGTTGACCCAACACAAGATACTTAATTCGGTTCCCCTGCCTGGTTACCCTGATTTGTAGTGCATCAGGGCAAAGAGATTGCCCAGGCAAGTCTCGACCGCCTTCAGCCACTCCTGCACTCCTGACATATTCCAAACTATGCGGCTGGGATTGGAGTAATTCTGGTACAAAAATCAGGTTCCAGTCTTGGATGCGTCCAGCATTGCGCTGATAAGAAACTGGCAATGAAGGTGGAATGTATTGTGTTGGTCGGTCACAAAGGAGTATCCAGGGGTTGTCTCACTTAGAATGTCATGAATGATGTGATGGTTGAGGTGAGGTAGCTGAAGCTCAAGAAGGACGACTTGGTGAAGGAGGGTTGTGGTGTTTTCCAAAAGTCGCTTGAACATGTTGCAAAAGGCAGCCATAGATAATGGTCAGCCATCTAGCATAAGCTCTGCACTAACTTGATCCATCCACATCATCAGGTGAGGCATCAGGACGAACTTGGCAGCCAAATGACTGACAAAGCGAGAAAGCTCTAGTATATAGCCGAAGAGGGTGAACCCATCCTGTTTGAGATATCGCTATACAGATTCCACCACCCTTCATAATATTGAGTCAAGATCCCAGTAAGTATTAGTCGAGAACGCTCACTCGCGCTCATTTGCTTCTGAGTCCCCAAGAGCTGTCAGTTGAATTGAGATTTCCCTGAATGCAGATGCTCGAAATGGCCACTTCAACTCAGTCAACATCCCCCTAATATCTTCCGGATTTTTGATCTGCCCTGATTCGTTAACATTCCTAAACACAATGAAGAGGGCACAGAGTGACATTGAAGTATTAAAGGGGATTATTCGAGGCTCCTGCAAAAGGGACATTAACAAGTGATGGATTGCATCTGACAATGCTATCGGACTGCTGGGACTGCTTAGGGAGTCCAAAAGGTGCTGGGAAGCTTCCGATAAAGGAGGAGATATCCTAAGGATTGGGGTATGATCTCCGAGTCTAACTTTGCCAAGTTTAAACCGCAGAACAAAAGTTAATAAGCAAGAAATTGCTGAGACATATCACATAGTGGTGTTGTGTTTCATGGGGACATTGAAAGCACTCACCCCTTGGATGTGTTGATATACCGCAGCACCATGGTCCATGCATCAGGGATATTTCATCTGCAACTGCCGAGTAGTGCACTCTCACAGCATTTACTAGCATGGCTAATTCAACCTCCTCAATTGTTGGTAAAGAAATCCAAGCTTTGATCTAGTCCGGACGCAGACCCTGAATGACTGTATCCCAGTTATACACGGCGAGGAATGGAGTGAGATGTGCACTGTCCCGCGAGACTGGTGGTGCTTCTATTTGAGATATAAGACTCAAATATTCTGAGAATAAAACTTGGTCCATGTCTGGCGGATTAACTGGTGGTGCTGTGACCAGACCAGGAAGTATTACCAGGTGATTGGTTGTATTAGAATCAAATAACACCTGGATGAGACTTGGAACCGGCTCCCATTCACGGATGCTAGACTGATGAGAAACAATGATATGCTCCCCGATCTTTTTTCTCCCTCCCCTTCTACCATGGTGACAATTAGGGAAAGTACAGCGCAATCCAGAGGTGTAAGTATCCCTGGGACTACTAGGAATGGATCGTAGATTGATGATGACGTCGCCCAGAAGGAGGTCATATTTGGTGATGAGGGTGTTGATTTGTGCCTTTGGCAGGGAGGTTGAGTCTGAGTGTGCTAAGCCTCGGTGGTGCCGCTGTAGTGAATTGGGCTGCACACCTATACAGCAAATAATGCATATCAGGAGAAGTGATGATGTCCGGGCTTCCATAAGGGATCGGGAGAATCAAAATATGATCTTCCATACTAGGATCATTGGGTGTTGCCTCCCGTTTCGTTTAGAGATACAGCATCAAGACAATAGGTCAGTTCATGTCCTCCGCGGAGACATATGTGCAAGCACGTCTATGGTGAGCCCAGCATCACCTTGCAAACTTTCGCTTGTTGAAATGACGCTCAGGCCGGTGCTCGTCTGAGGCTAGCAGACCTTCAATCTGGTCTCTTTTATCAAATAATACTGTTTTACCCCTTGCCATGATCAATTTTCCCAAGACGTCTCTCACAAGTTGCAGCTAACACTCACCCTTATCTTACAGGAAATATATTCTAATCCAGATCCCACACGACCAGTGGCACCTCGTCTTTACTGGCAAATGGCTTGTCTTTCTGCCTCCTTATCTGTCTCCATGGAGGCACACATGTCTTCGTTAAGACCCTCAAATTGTGGTTAGTGCTGGGGTATACTTGAAGAAGAAGAAAAAAGGGGGGGCTTAACAAGGCAGAAGTCCAAGGCCCAGGACAACAATCATACCCAAACCACGAGATTTGATGTGTGAATACCCTTGTGTGTGGCAATGTCGAATGGGACCTCTAGTAATTCTAGTTTGCACAAAGCCTGCAATGATGTGATGGTCGTTCTAAGTCCCATAGATCAAGACACAGTTCCCTAGCTTCTGCATCTCCGGGTGAGGTCCAGGTCCCAGATGAAAAGATCACAGAGATCACTACCGATGGAGTAAAACACCTGTATGTTGCCTGAGGCGCAGGCAACTCAGAGGAGTTCTTTGAATGTGAATTTGTTGGGTGTGCTGTTAAAGTAATCATGTGATCGGCCGACATGTAACATGTCAATAACCCCTTGGGAGCTCAGTCTATTGCCAATCATCAATATTAACATGACTTGCACCCAAACCTGTAAAGAGAAGTGGAAGGCTCGTCAGCTGAAGATTGTTCACCCTCATGGGCCCAGGCAAAATTTCAACCTACAGGCAGCAATTGGTCTGAAACGGAAGAAGAAGAAATATCTTGGCATACTTGTGAGTATATGCGCCTCTCTCTAGGTGGATTTCCTCTAATTTTTCATAAAGAGAGCGGTCCACCATATTACAAACCGCAAGGGTATAGACATGGAACAGACCATCAGCTATCAATCACCCTTACTTTTGGGGAAGGTCATTGTACTGCTCTCATTTCCACCCATACACGCACTAATATTATGTAGGCCATGAAAGAAGTACTTTTTTTGACCAAGTTAAAGGATGGCTGGCCTGTCAAGGAGATTCTCCAGCAATATCTCCAAAACAAAACTGATCACGAGAGGAGGAGGCGTCTCATTACAAGTGATGAAAAGGACTCCTCTGAGGCAGATGATGAGGAAGAAGCAGTGTATTCTGAGGCAGATAGTGAGGGAGAAGCAGCATATTCTGAGGCAGATGAAGATGGAAATAAAGATAGGCTAGTAGTAAAAGAAGAGCCTCTACCTGTGGAGACCACAGAGCGCTTCAAGAACTGGCTGGACGAATATTTAGGTGAGTCTTGCCCATATGACCACTTTGTTTAGCCTGAGCTGTGCTTACTGTCACCCTTCAGAAAAGAAATGCAGACTTCCAAGCCTTGGCATCAACTGCCAGGACCCTGGCTGTTCCATCCCACAGAGCTTGATGCACACATTAGAGCCCTTCCTTCATGCTATGGCATACACTGCTTTCAAAATGAAGCCCAAGCCAAAGGTCGGTCCTGTCCTTCAATGCCTGATAATGTCTTTAGCTCCCTGCCTTGGACCAATCTGTTCGTGTGGTCCAGCCAGACAATCATCTCCTCGCCTCAGCAGCTCCTAGATCTATGAAATGTCAATCTCAGGCGGCAATGGACCAGATAGTCTTCGACCAATCAGCCCATCGGGTCCGAAAATTTATGTCAGCTGCACGTGTCTTCAGCACACTCCACCATTCAACAATTAGATTCTCGGTCCAAGAATCTTAAACACAACATCAAGAGTGCCCAGATAGGGCTACCTATTACAACTCCGCCCGCTGGGTGCATGAGAACGGCATCCTGGTGGCTTTCTGTTTGTTATCTAGATTGTGTACAATGACGAGCCCAAGGCAAGGATGACATGGAGGTACATGAAGGAGAGCACCAGGCAGATAAGACATTGGGTACCAGCTGATTGACCAACAGGTGTATGTGAAACTCTGCCTTATATGCCTAGGAGAGGAGCTCAATTAGATGATACCAACTTCAAAATGATCATTCCAATACATTAACATTTGAGAGCGCTTAAATGCAATGGCTGGGACATTCATTCTGGATTTGGTCATGTCAAGCAATGACTTCCCAGACTGTGCAACACATGACCCTGAGTAGCATCCAGTGATGGGACAGACCACAAAGTTTCAGTCAAGCAATTATGGGATGTGCAACAGCAAGGCAAATACTGGAGTTACCATTTTCAACAATATGTTTGAGGATGCTCATTCAAGAGGAGTTTCATAATATTCCTTTAAAGAATGTTGGGACTGAGGACCCTCAGTATGTCAACAGCCTGGACAGTTACTCACACTACCTAGTTAGCAAATTGTGCTGAAAGTGGCACCTTGCGACAGATTCCAGCTTTCAAAGAGTTAATAGAGCAGTGGAAGGAGATTGCAGCATTCATTCCCCACTGGGGCTGATATAAGCCTTTCAGATCTGCCCTTCCTGCACAGTCTTAACACCAAGGCACAAAGGAATAGAGGGAAATGAGGTACCCAGTTATCATCATATGTACAAATCATTCTGAATATGTTACTTACATCATGTACTCTCTACTATGGGGCCCTTGCACCAACAGACAATAAATAAGAACAAAAAAAAATTGGACATGGTGTATGGTACGTGCTCCACTTGCTTTAGTTTGAATAATTGCCATATCCATAAGTGTCATTTTGCTCGCTTAAATAAGACATCATCACTTGTTCCTCTCAATATCTTCCTACCACCACCTTGACCTCTTGTTGGAAATTTCAGCAAGTCATTGCGACTGCATCCTGTCTACACACAACTTCTGCTTATTGTTGCACTACAAACTCCTTGGGACCTAACCCTGGCTAACACCCAAACCTCTCATTGGAAATTCCAGCATATCATTTCTGCATCTGAATTTACCATGCCCCGCTATCCATACAACACTGAACCCAGACCTTCACCCTCCAAGCCTTGCAGAAAGATCCCTGTGATGTTGGTCCCTTGTCCATACTTCACTTGCACCCATGCCTCCCTTTATCTGTACTGCTGGACATGGGGCAGGTCATAGAACTCCAAGGGCAAACACAGTGATAGCGCGAACACTGATATGGGAGTGGATTTCCCCAAGGACCCTGAGACTCTTGAAAGAACTTGTATGTTGTCACAATCATCTCCAGGAGGGCTTACCGTCAATGTGTATGGCTCCCTTGTTATACTCAGAGATGGTAGGAGGGCGACGACCCAAAGTGTTTGTGACACGGACATGAGTTATGGATGTGTGCACCCGATGGTGTCCTCAACCCTGAAGCCTTCGATGAGATCACGTTCCACATAAGTGAAGATGAATGGTAAAATAATGCAGCATGGAAGTGCTCAGCACCAAATGTGAATGAGTGCTGGACTCCATGACTGTAATGAAATATATTTTACATGAGGCAGCAAAGTTGTGGTAATGTATGCACCATCTGACACAAGCTTTGAAGTCAGTGAAAGCATCAATTTCATGTAACATATGCCTACATACCAACATCCACAGTGTGGCTCCCTTGAGATAGCCTACTATGCTTACATTGTCGAGTGAGTAGGTGACAGGCTCCCCTCACCTTTAATCTTTGAGGTCTCAAACACCTTCATTTCAACTGAAATTCCAGTGTAACAGCTTTATCTAGATAGTGCATCCGACCAGATGTCGCTAGAACCACAAAATCAAGGGATTTCAGTCTATGGCCAAAGTGTTGTGCTATTGTACACCCGAGGATGCAGTAGACACTAAGAACAAAGGAGATGGAACATAAAGTCTTTGTGGCGATTTGTGCACCTAGACCCAGGATGGTGAGGATGCTGGATTGACTGCCAGAATGACACTTGCCTATCATAGTGAGCCAAACAGTAAGTGTGCTCATTTGGGCCCACAACATAACACATACCATGGTAATTTGAGCTTTAGCCTGAACGCTGAAATCTCCTGTGAATCTCTGGATGTCCACCCCGTTTACTACGACCATTGTTGTAACATTTACAAGGCCATCAAGATAAATGCTTTTAAGGTGTTTGAGCATCATTATTGGAATCCAAAAACATTGCGACTGCAATGCCAGTTATGAGGGGAGAATGTTCTAGATCCTTACATCTCTTGTGCAGCGAATGCATTCGCACCAAGCGAGCTTCATATTGGCCATAGTGATACAAGTATTGGTGATGCCCTTTTTCAATTATTCAATCAATAACATCTAGTATGGCAAAATGACATTGTACAAGCATGTGCAGCAATGTACCTGTTTGTGATGAACAAGCTAAGTTTAAAATTGCCCGTTATTTTATGGCTTACACACCACAGATTGCGATACTTGGTTCCCCCATCGCCCCATCAGATCCTGCAAGTCCCTCTGTCCTTTGGTCATCAACTTGAAATGCAGATCTTGTTGAGGGTAGGGCAAGACCAATCAAGGCGACATCAAGTGACAGGAACACAAAACCAGCTTGCCTGATGTAGATGAAACCACTTGTGCACGCTCATGAGTTGCTGACAGCTGACACAATGCCCAAGATGTTCTCTAAGGCCATCATGCAAAAAGCTGCCACCCTTACATGCCTGCCTGAATGAGCTCAAAACTTTGTTGCAATGGGAACTTAATGGGCCACTTCTAGAGGCTACTGAGTGACCAAAGAAGACTAGGACTAGAGTCCAGAGTAAGTTGCCAACATATAGAAGTGTAGTGAAGGTATACAGTCCTAGGGAGGTCAGGAAAATAATGTGAATGGACAGAGAAATATAGGTAGTTGATCTATAGATATAGAGACCATGAAAAAAATAGAAATGTGTACATTAGAGTGGTTCAAAATCTGTTGGAGCACTAATCAAGTGTGCTCATGGCAGAGAGCCCATAGGTGCTGTGTCACATATTAATACTTATCTGATTTGGACTCTGCAACACATGAACGGTCCACCATGGACAGCACCATTTCACATGTTGTACACACTAATATTCATTTGACTGGTCTGTTATCTTTGACCGGGTTATTTAGGGTAACTGTCCAGCGTCATTAGTTCACAGAATTCAGACTTAGCATAATGTCTGGTACATGGCACCTGATCTGGGATTATTGTTTGCCTTGTCACCTGTTAAATTTATGAATAATACCACAAATAAATTGCCTTCACATCATCACCAGTATTTTTATCTCGTTATCATCATCATCCTCACCTTATCATATCTTCTGACACCAATATCAATATCTTTGCTCTGCCTCCTGCTGTGCCCGGGTGTAGTAGGTTGTACTCTGAACACCTTTTGTAACACTATACCTGAATACCTGACATGCAGGTGACCTGAATCTGGATTCACTCAGTCTTCTCAGGTTGTGGGTTGCCATCATGACAACAATGGGGAATATTCTTCTATCACACGCTGCCGACAAGTTATTGTTATTTGGGCTGGTAGTAGCAATAGGGCATGAGTGGATTGACATTGAGTCTCTTGAATATTTTGTATGGGTGAATCTGGAGATCAGTGGATTAATTTGACTGCTGCTGCACAAATATATATGCTGTACCGGGCCTCGTGCATTGACTAGGGAGAGCCGTCCCTTTGAACAGGCAGACTGGTTTCCGGAAAGAAAAAGACTGTGCTAACCCACCCAGTAGTGATACCTGTCTTGGTCAGTTTCTTGAGGCACGGGGGCCAGAAACCATTCACTGACGTGATGGCAAAGGGTGCCAGACATGAGTATTAAGATATCCCCGGGTTGATAGCTGAGGAGGCAATTAAAAAGTGTTGAGGGAAGTGAGACAGGCACTCATGCTCATACACCAGTGTCGAAAGCCCAGTGGTACTTTCTTTGGCACATTTTAGGCTGAAATCATTGTTAGTTTGCAAGATAGTAAGAAGGTCAACCTCAAACTTACCAGCAAACTATCTCTAACTACTTTACCTCCAGTTCCAGGATAAAAATCCTCCAAGGTCTTAATCATGCCACAATCATCGCAGTGATTGCCCTTCAAGTGTACATAGCTGATGTCAAGACACACATCACGGGGGCTGTTACCACTGCATGCATGTCATGGAGGTGGAGTATGCCATAGATGGGAAACTCCATGCATTGTGTATGGCTTGTGTCAGCTCATCCTCTTGATTATGCTGATAATTGATACAAACATTTAGTGTTAAGCATGCTTCCCAAATCTACTGCCCACCTGTTGCCAAACCCAACCAAAGTCAATCAATCACCTCATTTGCAATGTCTCGCTGCATCAATCCTATCGCCATCTCTGCTATGTTCGACTCCTGTCTTTCATGTCACTCTAACATATATGCGCAAACATGCCCCACAAGATTCTACCAAGTTTTTGGACATTAGTGACCAGTCGCCATAATGTGGGAGCACGAATCCCTGCTTTACAGTCTAGGACATGTCACCATGAGGACAAAGTAGTTATACCACTTGGGTTTCTTGGGCTTCTTTCATTCTTGGCACATGGCCCATTGAAAGTCACAAATTCAACGAAGATATAGAATAGTTACTCCAGGTCATCACCTGTTGTGTGAATGACTGTTGCTTCCTTCTCGTTGTTCTCAATACCTTCCCGCAGAAGGCAGATCACTTTAGACGATGTGATTAATGATTTAATTTAATACTGTTGGGTGATCCTGGCATACATTCAACTGTACTGGCATTCCATGCACATCCTCTCTACCCATGGCTAACCACTTCTGCCTCAGGCAGACGTAGCCCTGGTTCTACTTGTGTTTGCTTCAGGCAGGTGCTTGTATGTCCATTTTTTGCCCTTTTCCTGTCTCCAACTAGCTGCTACTTTGACATCAAATAATACATTATATTTCCTTTTTATTTTCTTCGCTTGCAGGTGATATGACCTCCCACTCTTGCCTTGCATCCACATATGATAGCCCACAGCCAATCACAATGGTACTGATTGCAAAAACATTAA